GATGCTTTTCCTAATAAACTTTTGATTTTTGTTTAAACTTAAACATTCATAGAAAGTTTAATTTTCTTACAAGGTTTTAAATGTTAATGGGAAAAAGAGACATCATTCGTTGTTTTAACTTGCCATATCAAATAATTCGATCATGACGATGACGTAAGCAAAGATGTAATGGTTGAAGAAAGAAGTTTCACGGGCGATCCTAGAGAGATTCAGATTCTTTCGATTCTTTGACCACCGTTGGTTTTGAATTTCGATATAAGTGTGGCACTACATTTCTTTTCTCATTTCATGGCATTTACTTAACTTATATAATAAGAAAGAAACATGCATGAATAAAGCTGCAAAGAAAACTATTTGTTTTTGGAATAGTGTTTTGACTGTTGCCCAATTTAATTTCTTTTTTAAGTTAGAAACTGAAAAGCAAACCCGTGTTTTTCGGCTGAATCAAAGCCTTCTATCATCTTTTTCTATTGTTGTCAGTTTAAATATATACTAAGCTTTCATTGTTTTTTTTTCTTATTCAACCTCCAAACTTCTTTTAGCGACGATTCAACATATAACTAAATGTCTCAAAAAGTTAGATTGCGAATTAGTTAGCTACACGTGCATTCACATCCTTCACTTAAAATGATGGTTTTCGTCAACCAGAAAATTGCTTACTTCACATTAAAACATAACAAAACAAAACAAATCGTCTACTTTAAAGAGAATGATAGTTACCTCCTTATAAAAACGGGTTTATATTAGAAATTAGTCATATTGCTCCGAGTCAAAAATTGTTGTGATCAAATGGAAAATGGCTACGTAGAAAACTAACAATATAACTCGGTTTATTTTTCTTTAAGACCACCAGTTGAAGTACTACATCAATACTTTAAATTTGAACTCTTATGTGCTTTAATTTTCGAATCCTTTATCACTGTTTTGTCCCTCAAAAACATTATAATTGTATACTTCGGATATTTAGGCATAGACATATTTATAAATTATATAAGTATTGTTCAATAAATGAAGTCTTCACTCTTCAGTTTAACTTTCTTTTTACTACAATGCTCACAAGGTGACATCTAGCTTTCATTATCTTTGGTCAACTTTTTCACGAGAAAAGTTACATACACTATTCAACTGTTTCATTTTTTTTTTGACCAAGAAAAATATCGTAGTCTCAATTATTGTAGTTCCGTACGTTGTTCTCGTAGTCAACTGAAATGTCAGGCTAAATCGCTGGCCATGGACCGGACCGAGTGCGAATAGATTCAAAAAGGTTCATAACGTGTCAGGAGCTTGTCGCTCGCTGCCCAAACCATATGACTCGTCTGAATCTGTCGTTCTTTATAAACCGACACCACACGTGGTCTACTTCGATCGGTACGTGTCCCTATTGAAACATAAAACCCTCTCTAGTGGTCGGCAGGTTCTTTCTTTTATGTTCTTTCTTTTTTCTCTTCACGCACAAGAAATAACATATGTGGCATTGGCAAGTAAGTAAAACAAAAACTAGAGAATATTATTAACTAATAACTATTAAGAGATGCATTCATCGGACGTGCACGCACCAAGTCCATATGTTCGGTCTCTCCCCGACTGACCCTATCAATAGGTCAAACACTTTCTTATTTCCAATAGTGTTTTCTTTTTTCGATCTCCAACTATTTTTTGAACCGAAACTCAACCATCATTACCAAGTAGTCAATACCATAATTATTATGTGTTAACGTTGTTATTACGAATCAATTAGTCGCAAAATTGTTTTATAGTGTGTATATATATACGGAGTAATTAAAGAGGATATATATATGTTGAAATTAATTGTAAGCTTACAGTAATGCAAATAATTTGGGGTCAATATCAGTTGGGGACATTCAACGTGTCTAAATTGACATGAGGTTTTTGGCATATATAATTTTGTCAAGTTGATGTGATTTTTAGGGGTGGATTAAAAGAAAGTAGAAGAAATGAGTTGTAAAGAGTTGCAATGAAGTGAGAAATGAGAGTGTGATTACATGTAAAGAAGCTTATTCTACGTTGTTGGTTTGGTGTGTTTCTTATCGCTTTCCTATCTTTTCTTTTTCTGTCGAAGCATTATGGAGCTAACACGTTTCGATACGTTTTTTCTTCGATGTAAATATGGATTTGTTCTCCGTGAAGTAATGAGATTTTATATGTGATTCTGAATTCAGCAATTTCGTAAAACCATCTAAGCGAAATTTGTAAACTGAAAGAAAAATTTAGAGAATATGTAGAAATGTAATATAATACATTTATTGGTTAACAGATTTCTTAAGATAACTATATACTTTTATTTTATTAGATTAATTTAAAAAAGTAATACATTGAATTAGTTGATGGATATACAAATTTAAGGATTTCCTTGGTTGATAGCTACAAAACAAAAAAAAAAACTAAATAATTGACAAATATGAAATACCCACACAAAGAATATAGAATCTAAACAGACGTATGAATGAAAATAACCATACAGAAAAAAAATCCTGTCAACATTTAGAATAAATAAATATTCTTGGACCATAACAGTTCCCTATCACATGGAATAAGGAAGAGGAAAAAAAACCATAGGATGTAAGGAATTGTATTCTTCATTTTTATTTTTACTTTCGATGTGTTATATACTTATAAGTTATGCTGAATATTTATGAAAATGTAAGATAAAGAAAATAACAAAAAAAAAGAGGTAAAATGACAGGTAAACGGAAACAACTACCAAAGCCTAACGGTATCGCTGCCTTCAATGCACTTTCGGTCATAGATATGGGCCCACTTCTGCACCCCCACGGCTTTCCTACGTCTTTCTGACTCAGTTCCTTCTTGGCCCACAGGCCCATAAACATGATAAATTATTTTAATTGATTTAAAATCAAAACACTTTTTAAATTAGTGGTTATTGAACACGATTACACGAAGACAATCCGACTTCAATTATACAACCATCATAAACCAATTTTAATCAGCAGTGACTAATTTAAGGCATGATCTGAAAGTGCTTATAAGTTATGATTTTTTAAAAAACTTTTTAGGTGAAATGCTGTTTTTCCATTTTATTATTTCATGAGTTTGCAAAAAAGGAAGATGGAAAATGAGTTGCCACTTATGTCGGCCCACGCATACAATGCTAAAAGCCTAAAAGAGAAAAAGTATCTTGAAAAACAAAGTTATGATTCTTTTGTCATTATATGATTTGCTTTATTTATTTTTGTTATCTTCATATCATTTGCTTTATACCCTTGTTTTTGAGTAAAAAAGGTTTATGATACTAATCGGATGGATTTAAGCAATTTGATATTATTTTTAGATTATGAAAACATAAAGTCGGTTTCTTCTTCTTTTATCATGGTTCAATTCACAGTGCTTGGTTGTGTGTTCTTTAGCCAGTCGATTGCAGGAGAAAAAAATAATTTTATCGAGTACTTACAATAATTAGTGATGATAAGAATCCAACGCAATGATAATTTAGTACATGGTTAACAATCAAAGTCACAATATAGTGACTTATCCTATAAGGCTATAAATTAATACTGTATTAGTTTAAGTTAGAAATGCTTCCACAATGCTATTACTATTTTTGTTTGTTGTTAAAGCTTGTCTTCTTCATTATATCTCTTTATCTCAAAAAGGAAGATTTAGTATATGCTAGCTTTTTGTTATCGACTTAGCGCGATGAGGCGTCTCTGTTCATTAAGTATAAGCTTCCATATCTTTAAAGAACCTTATTGATTGAATATCTCAGCAGACTAAACACTGTAGATGGATAATAGGGTTATAGATTAGATATAAGTAACTAGCTGGTGTTAAAATTAATAAGAAGATCAAGAGTAATCGGTGCTGCTTTAATAATTTGGAAACAAATAGAATCAACAACCTTTAAGAATCTGAGACTAGCGAGGAGATATTGAAATTGGAGAGAAAATCTAGAAATACCACGCCCAAATCCGCATGGTTTGCAAAAGTGTTTGAAAAAGCTAGCATTTTAAAATTACAAAAAATAAATGAAGCAGAACTTTCCAAGAAAATCAGGAAAAGAGAAATTTACAAGTATCACAAAACCGGTAAAAGATTACAAATATTCAACAATTAGCTTGAGGACAGGGCATATTAAGAATGGATTACAAGTGGGTGTCTTTAAACCATATCAGATTCTGATTTGATGTAATCCTCAACGGTTCGCAAATCACCTCTTTGATTACTATTTTCTCATATATAAAAATAAAAATTAGAGAAAGCATACGAATTCTGACAGAAAAAAATAAAAAGCATTAGAATATATTTAATCAAAATGTGATGTGCTTTGGGACTCTTGTGATAATCAAATCTGGGCCGTATAAATTGGTGGGTGCACACCCAACTTGGTTGCAGAATATGAATATACTGTATATGATAATGATACAATATACGAACAAAATTGTATGCTCCAAGTTTCGAAATAAGAAACTCGTTTGGAAAATAAACTAATGTTTTCTGTTGACAAACAATTTAATATCTCAAGAACATAATGTAAATGCAAATTACAAGGAGCACTTTGACACAAAGAAAAAGGCATATGCTACGTTTATTACTATTTTCTTTAGAATGGTCTTAGCAAATAGCAAGACATACATTATGGAACTGATTAAATATATACTGCTCACATGAATACTCCCAAATTCCTAAAACCCAACAGAAAAAACAAATTATGTATCTGGGTTTTATAAGCCCAGTTCTGATATCATGTTTCATAAAATAAAAAAATGGGATGCAGTTGACCAAAAGTAAAAAGATCTGTTCCAACGGATTGATTATAGCTACACTAACGGAATGTCCACATAATTAACAATTGTGATCTCTCAAGCAACGAAAGAAAAAGAAAAAAAAAAATTATAATCATAAATTAATCGTCCTCGCTTAAGCGAACAAATGAAGGATTACAATAAATCTTAATGTTCTCAACATTCCTCGATTTCATACGATTTGGCTGTACGATCAAAAAGAGTAAACATAAGACGACGATGTTACGCGGCAGCTCCACAGTCATCCTAAGTTTCCTCCTCCTCCTCACCACCGTCGCAATCGCTCTCGCCGTAAGTCACTTTCTTGCAACTATACACACATCGCATAATACAAATCATCAATCGTTACGCACTTGATGACTAATGTTTGTTTCCATTATAGTCGGACAGAGATGACGACAACATGTGCGTGTTCACGGTTTACATACGAACCGGTACGGTTTGGAAAGCCGGTACAGACTCCGTAATGAGCCTCCGTCTTTACGACAGTTACGGCCAAGATGCAGTTATCTCCGATTTGGTTACGTGGGGAGGTTTAATGGGTCCGTTTCATGACTATTTCGAGAGGGGTAATCTCGACATTTTCACCGGGTTGGGTTCTTGTCTCTCGGGTCCGGTCTGTGCGATGAATCTGACATCTGACGGCTCCGGCGGTCATCACGGTTGGTATTGTAACTACGTGGAAGTGACGATGAGTGAGAGTCGTCGGAGAAGTTGTTCTCAGGAGAAGTTCGAGGTTGAGCAATGGTTAGCTCGTGACACGTCGCCGTATGAGCTGTCCGCGATTAGGAATCATTGCTCCGACTTTGTCAAGAATCGTCGAGTTGTTCTTCCCACGATGTGAATGTGACATTCATTTCATTTCATTTTATTTTTTACTTGGTGGTCAATGAAACACGATGTGATGTGTTTCTAACGTGTGATTGCGATTTGTTAGTTTGCTTTTTGTTTCATCAATACAGAAAATGAAAGCAAAATGTGTGATCGTATTGCAATGCTTGACATTTTGGAGTGATTATAAGATGTCAAAAATCGTATAAAAAGATTTGGAAATCACACCACTCACCGTGTTTTAAATGGATGATTAATTAATAAATCTGTATGATATGGGCCTAGGGCCCAATTAAAAATCTAATGCCCAACATTGTAAAATTTTGACAATTTTATGTTTTTGTTTAAGCTAAATACAGCATAATCATAACCACAATCTCATTTGCTATACAAATCAATTTAATCCAAACCCAAAAAGAAACAAAAAGTAAAGAATCACACATTTTGTTCGTTTAAAGTGTCTATCGCCGGCAACAAAATGAAAATCAAACAAATGAATTTTCCGGCGGTATCTTTCTCAATCCATATTAGCCGTCACGGTGGTTTTTTAACCGCCGAATAAATTATCAAGAATCTTGGCCGTGTCGTTTCATGAGTTGTTGTTGAGCTTCTGATAATCCTCTAATGACCTCTTCATCTTCCGGTGACTCTTTTCTCAATATCTCGTAATCTGCTACCGTCAATTCCCACTTTCGCATCTGCACCACAAAATACCCGTAATTACAAAAAGCTCCCAGAATTTATTATTTTTTTCCAAATTGACCCCAATAGTTTTGTTCTTGCTACCTTGGCGTTACAGTCGGCTCTTCTGAGACGAGCTTTGCGGTAACCCGGCCTGACAGAGATCGCCGCCGTGCAATCCTCAACAGATTTTTCGAGTTGACCCAATTTTGACCGACAAGCCGCACGGTTACAGAGCAAAACAGAGTTTCGAGGATCGTGGTCTAATCCTTCGCCGTAAGCGGCGCAAGCCTCCTCGTACCTCCCGGCTTTAAACAGCTCATTTCCTCTGAATCTAGCTTCCGTCACCGCTTGAGCCCGCCTTGAAACCATGTTCACCTCCCGGTTGTTTCCGTCTAGCTTCCCGGCGCGTTGGATCGCCTCCACTGCCTCGTCGAATCTGATCAAGTCAAATGTTAAAACCGGAGAATCAATACCAGGATAAAAAACAAAAACCAGGATTAAACCGGTATTTCAAATTTCAAACCGGTACATACTCTATACCGGCTTAACACAAGAATTGTGAAATGAAACATGGAATTCAAATTTGATTAGTTTACAGTCAGTAACATGGTTTAAACATTTGTCATACGAAACCAGTATTTCAAATTTGACCAGATTACACTAACTACCTAAGAATTGTGCTATGAAAATGGAATTTCAAAGAACCGGTAATAAACCAAGAATTGGCAAGAACAACAGAAGAGAAACCAACCTGCCAATAGCCAAGTGAACCTGAGCACGGACGACCAAGAAACCAGCATAACCGACCGGTCCATAGTACCGAGTACTGGTTTCCACATCGAAAACCGGACATCTAGACAAAGCATCATCAGCTTCTTGATGTCTATGCGTTTTCAACAATGCTTCAACTTGCAATGCATATACCTGTGGAGCTGCATCAGCTCCTGAAGAGATTGTGTTTGTCGTCTCTGTAATCAAACCATTCCAATCTCTTAACCTCTTAGCTTCAGTGCACTTGCTGATATGTGTCTGTACGGTTTTCGCCTTTGCAATGTCTTCAGGATCAGCCTCTGGACCCGAATGCTTGAAATGATATATCGATTTCTCCACTTCTCCTAACCTATAAAAAACTTGCAAGATAAGTTTCTTACAGAACAAGAGTTTGATTGAGATTAGTGAGGGTTTTAACATTTTATCTTACCTGAGGTACAAGTTACCCAAGCGATGATGTGCTCTATGGTAATGAGGCTCGATTCTGATGGCTTCTCTGCATTCGAAAACCGCATCAAGAATCCTCCCGAGTGCGGTCAAAGCAGCGCTCTTGTTGCTACGATACGCAGCTTTGTTCGGATCAATCGCAATCGCAGCATCATACAATGCTAAAGCCTCTGCGAAGTTCCCGTTCTTGTAATCTTCATTCCCCATTATCTTCAACGTTTCCGGATCCATTCTTGTTGAGATTGCTCTACACAATGATCCTGACTGATCTTGACTCTTCACTGTCGCCGCCGGTGAAGCAGCCACCGTCGTCCTCTTACCACCATAACCAGTGTTGACATTACCGTAGTTTGTAGTTGTTGCTGGTCCGCATTGATTTAAATTGCCAAGATTTCCGAATAACATGACATTGCTAGAGGAAGCACGAACAAGTCCATTGGCTCCTCTTGATTTCTGATGATCGGTGATCATGCTTTCAAGCTCGCCAGATAAACCGATGGCTTCTCTCGGCACTTTCCTCTGTCCTCCTCGGTATGGATCAACGCTACTACTATTGTTGTTATGACTACTTCGTTGTTGATTCTCGTAATGACCTAATTGGTGGTTATTAGGGTATTGGTTCGATGAGGATTTTGATGGAACTACGGACCTTTGGTTCTGGATCTTGTTGTTCTGGATTGGCTCAGCCGAAACCTTCTGGTCCTCGCGAGGTTTTTTGAAATCGGTACCGGGAGATTTAGTGAATTGGATGTTGCTGACGGGGGTTGCTGCCGTGGATGTGCTTTTCTGGCTACCATTATCGGCGACGGTAGGTTTCTTGGACCACAAGGCACGTCTACCGAACATAACGCTCAATAGACCACAACCAGATCTTCTCTCCGCCGCTGCCGCCGTGTTCTCCTCCATCCCAAGAACCGGCCTGAGAATTGGAAAAAAACCCTCTCCCTTTCCGATTAACAAATCACGATTCAGAAACTGAAGAAGAAGAAGGAATTGAGAAGGAAGAACAGAGATCAATGGGTATGAGAAGAGAAGAATCTCATGTTTTTAAAAAGAAGAACAGAGGAGAAAAATGTGATTAGGCTTTTCTCGGTCGGACGGTAAAGAGGAACGAAGATTCTTCCGTTTCGTGTTTTGTATTGGTGTCATAAATTTAATATTAAGTGTCATTATGATTTTTGGTTTAATCACACGGAAATGAAAAGGAAAGGACTTATTAGGTGAAGAAAAGAAAGGAAAAAACAATAACGACTGGAAATGTTTATTTTGTTATATTTCGATATCAAATGAGTTGGTGGTGAGTTTGAAAAAATTGATGCCAATTCATTAATGGTTAACTCATCTCTTCCATTCTGTTTTTTTTTTCTTCTTCTTCTTCTCTGCCAGCTCTTACTTTTTCCTGTTAGAAAAATCAAAAATCTATGGTTGTTGCTTGCTGACTCGGTCGTGTAAGAGAGAGAGGGAATATTTAGAAAGAAGGTGGGCGATTTGTCCGTAAATTAATCCGTGTTTTTTTCCAATTGATTCCATTTTTAGATGATTTTATGGAGAGCACGTATTTTCCTTTTTATCTAACAAACGTGTCTGATGATCTTTTCTGAAACGTTACATCAATAAAAAGAGTAGATAGACACGTATTCAAGAACATTAATTCCATATTCCCTTACATATTAAGACCGAGTCACGGTGTCAATCTAGACACTTTAGGTTTTCTTGAACGGATCAGAGAGCAAATTCTTAGCCTTCATCTTCAAAATGGCACTAGCTGGGTTAAGTCCTTTAGGACAAGTGGCCGTACAGTTCTTGATTGCTCTGCATCTATACACTTTCCTATCATCTTCTGTTATCGCTTGTATCCTCTCTTGTCTAAACTCATCGCGGCTGCGTGAAAACAATAATCCGATGTTAAAGACTGGCATTTAATTGAAACCATCTTTTCTTCAAATCCAATTTTTTTTGATAACCTGTCGCTGATCCAACGGTAAGCCTGTAGTAAAGCCGCGGGTCCTGGAAACTCCTCGGGGTTCCACCAATAAGAAGGACAGGATGTTGTACAACATGCACACAATATGCATTCGTATAACCCGTCTAGTTTCTTCCGGTCACTTGGTGATTGCCTGTGTTCACGTCCGTCTTTTGGTGGCTTCCTTGTCTTTAGCCATGGCTCCACTGATCTTTAATTCCAAGCAAACAATAGCATAGTGATTAGTGAAGAGTGTATACATTTTTATTAGTGACACGTGGAATAATCAAGAACGTGTGACTTTTACTTACTTGTATTGTTGGTAAAAGTTAGTGAGGTCGATGACTAGATCTTTGATGACGTACATGTGAGGCAAAGGAGTGATAATGGTGGGCTTCGACGTGTCTGAATTTATAGGTTTAAGACATGCGACGGTGTTAGTACCGTCGATGTTCATTGAGCAAGATCCACAAATCCCTTCTCTACATGATCTTCTATAACTCAAACTCGCATCTTCCTCTCCTTTAATCTTTTGTAACACGTCCAAAACCTATTGCAACACATCATATTAGTTAAGAGTAAAAAAAAATTAGGCTCTAGTTAATTTAAGAATTGTAGTTAATTACCATTGGACCACAAGTGGAAAGATCTACGAAGAAAGATTGAAGAAAAGGTTTAGTGTTTGGCTTGTCAGGGTTCCATCTGTAAATCTTGAATTCCTTTTTAACCACTTTGTATTGATCTGTTGGATATCAACAGATATCATCGTTACTAAAATCATTGCATCTTTAAGAATATTATGATTGTATTTCAATCTAGCTAATGAAAATATATTCTCGTTTTTTAGGCTATATTCGTATACCTTCTTTGGTTTTTGTTGTTTCATGGGAATTTAGAGTGTCTTTGGATAAGTCTTGAGCCGCTTTGTGACCTTTCAACACCGGAAAATCTCCGTCGCTGCTGCTTAGGCTGCTGCTAAAACGTACTTTCTCCGCCGCTGGACTGAAGATTCTCCGCCGCAGCACTCGCAACATCTCAGTTCGCTAGATCAATAGTTGTTTGACTCGTTGAGAAATACGTTTAATCAAATTTCGTTTTTTGTTAAAGGAAGGAGAGTAAATTTGGCATGGCGAGGACACGTGGAGACACTTTTTATTTGTTTCACTTACACGTGGGAGGGTGTAGGCACGTGTGCGACGACGTGCTCGAAGATAAATCTTTGATGGCGTCGTGTACTTTGTTAAGGCTCGTATAAAGCCCATTTATAAGAAAAGCCCACTGTTTATCTTATTTCAGGTCGGGTCGGTTCGAGATGTCGACCCTCTAACTGTAAAACCCGTTTCTTGTGGATTTGGGGAAAAAACGGTTTTTAATTTGTATGTTTGAAAGACAGAGAGCATTTTGTCAATTGCATTGGATCTCGAGCTTCTTATTGACAAATCCAGCACAATATACTGTAAGGAAAGTCAACGGTCTAATGTTCTGAAAGATAGATGACACGTGGCATGTCTCTTTGTCTGAAGCAGGACCACCTTTGACTAATCTCACACACACTTTGAATGCTCTGCTTGTTTGAATGTCATCGTCGTCCATACGAAAACTTCCGAATGTATATCAGTATTGGTGTTAGTTATTCCAAACTTAAAATTTGTTATTACTATGCTTTAATGCAATTTTCAAAACATTCTTTGCTCATTGAAAAAACAAAAATATTATATAAGTTGCTCGTTGTATCTTCAAAGTCTAGTTAGCTCAGAAACTTGTAGAAGACAACTACAGACTTGGACGAAAATAGAAGTCAAAAGGGAAACTAACAAATTTGAGAAAGATAAAACTTGTTTTTTTCTTTCTTTCTTAGTAGTGGTGTCTAATCGCTCTACAACAATAAACAATACAGTAATAGACGACTTGCTGGGATTTTGTAAACCCTTTATTACTGTAAAAGTTCAGCTCTATTTACATTTGTTATTTTTATTTGTTTAGATAGAAGTATTTTTTTTGTTAAAGGCCTTCTAGATAGAAGTATTATTGCTAAACCGTGTGTAGACCAAAACAGAAGTAACTTGCCTTTAGAAATAATAAGTTTGACTGGTCCCACGTGATTTGTTTATCAGTGCTAACATTGATGTAACCACGAACGATAGTTACTAACTAATCGTATTTTCTCGAAACTTTTAAATAACTAACACCATTCTCAACTTTTTATTGTTGTCAAGACTCAAGACTCAAAACACCTATCTCATTGAGCTAGCTTGTGGTTGCAACTCGCATCAGATAAATCATATCAGGAAAAAAAAAAAAGAGATTTTGTATGATCTTAATGTACTTATTATTCTCAGCGAGTAATTGGACGTCAAAGAATAAAACCAGTGAGGAAACCAACAAAACCTAGCGGACAAAACAACAATATTCTTATAAGTGGAGGGAATATTTTTTTTGTTTGAACAATATAATTATTGCTAAACTGTGGGTAACAGCTTAGACATTCTCTTGAAAAGGAAACTAAACCTAAAGATACTAAATATTTAGCTAAACAATATAACTGAAAACACAATTGTGATTCTTGTAATGCCAATTGAACGTTTATGAATAATTCTGGTTAAAATTTAGAAGAAAAAAAAAGAGTTAGATAAATTTAAGGGGACCATGAAAAGGAAGCACTGTAACAGTGTCAAGGCCCAAGAGTTATGTTAAGTGCATTTAAATTTTGTGATTTTGTAAAGGGAGTGTCTAATCAACCCAACATCTTCTCATACGTCACGATATCTTTTATGAAAAGTGTCCTACATCTACCGCTTTTATATGTATATATGGAGTATATGTTTAGTTTTCGTATTAGTAATTATCATCTGGTGTGTAAAAAAAGTAACTATTCCAACTCCCGTACGTCTGTGGTTACTTTTAGATTTTTTACAGTATGGATATATACTTCTTATAGTATGAAAAATTTAACCCTTAAGAGTAGTTAATTTACGAAGGGTTATTAGTTTAAGCGACCTAATAAAACGATGTTATTAGGTGAGTGATTTGATAGCTCTAACGTGCCACAAATATAAAGTGTATGGCCCGATACAGATGTATCATAATCTTATATGCTATTTTTTTCTAGAAATATATATATTATCATAATTTTATATGCTATCATAATTCATAACTTTGTGTTTAATGTTGTCTGTAATAGCATTTTTTGCACGAGAAATATTTTTATCAGTTTTTGTTTTTGACTGTAAGCTCTTATTTAGAAAAATATTTATAGTTTTATAAAAAAAGGAAAAGTACGTGAAGATGTTCTCGGGATTTCACTTCAAGATTTGGTCTTTTGAAGAGGCAAATCTAGGCAAGTAGACAACAGCTATAAAACAGTACGACAATGACCTCAACGAGTACACAGTCACCTCTAATTTATCCATACAACATAATACATAATTAAATCTACGATAAAAAAACATATAAAACTATCGATTAAATAAATACAATAAACAAAATTTGTAAACATCTTAAGAAACAATAAAGTACACGCAAAAGGCTTCTTTCAAAATTCAAATTCTTTCGCCTTTTTTGTGTCAGATTAAAAAGTTTGCTGGATATTTCAAAATAGATTAAACAACAAGGAGTTCGCCCTAGTTTCTCCCAGGCGATCTTACCGAGGCACAGCCGCCGCTGCGCGACGCAACTCAATCCGATGAGTTTCCGACCGTGCTTCCCCTGCGTAGGTTCGTGCATCGTGTTCCCCTGAAACCAGTGTTCCGTCTAGTCGCCACAGAGGCTGGTCGGAGGTTGGTCTTCTCCCTCATCGTGCCCTGTTTTCTCGACGAGTCCTCTCTGCTTTTACACAGCGTCTGCTCACTGTCTCGCTCTCCCATGGCACCATTGCTGCTCCTCCGCCTCCGTGAGAACTCTCCACCGCTGGATCCTCAAGATCCGGTGAAGAAGGAGTGGTCTCTTGGTTCCCTGTTGTTGCTACCTTCAAACGCCTCTGTTAATCCTCCAGATCCACCGGACCCGCCTGACCCGCCGGAACCACCATACTCGCAAATCAACTGTCAGGTTCTTCTTCAACTGTTGGGTTCCTCTTCAGATCTGGAACCGCCGGACTCGCAAATCTCGCGCCCATGCCCTTGTCATCGATATCTCTTACAGCCCTCCAACCCTCCGCTGCTCTTTCACCCTCTACCGCCTTCCTCCATTGTTGTTTCTATCACCACCGGCCTTGTTATAGGCTACGGTACTCTCTCTGACAACAAACTCAAAAGATCCCACTTCATAGATTCGCCGGGATTTCCATCTCTGGCGCTTTATCAAAAGATTAACCTTCCTTCCGGTTCATCCCCTCCGAGCAATCCCATTCATGTGATGGATCCAAGCTTGCGTTTTGGCCATTGCAGCAATACAACACCATCATTCAATGATATTTTTTCAACTGTGTTGTTTTGCTTCGAGCCTTGCTCTCCCACCACAACCCTTTCGCTAGCCAACGTTCAACCTCCATCAGCAGAGGTGGGCTTTCGACACAGTTTCAGTATGTCTATTGTCAAATCTACCGGATCATGTGCCGGGATTTCTTACTTGGGTCTTGGAGGATTGTCAACTTATTGGCGTCTCTCCACACCTACATCTGCGGTTGTTGATAATTGCCAACCGTTTGATTCTAAACGCTCATTAGCCTTCATCAGCCTTGACGGAGCATCACGAGCTATTTGTCCTATTCCATTGCTTTTAACAGCATAAGAGCTGGAGATTGTATTCAAAACAATCATCTCAGAAGCCCTTTTGAAGAAGCTTCCAGTTTTTATCTCCGATCTAAACTGCTTAACCTATCCTCTTATTGCTTTGTATTTCATTTATGCATCAAGTTGTTTCTACTCTTTGGCAAAGAGTTTCAGCTTTGGACTTATGTAATCATGTTTTAAGTTTCTAATGAGAAGTTGTTAAAAAAAAAAAAAAAATTAAAAAGTTTGCTGGATTTGCACCTTTGAATCTTTGATTGTTGTTGAACTGAATCTACCCGTCTAGACATTATTCATCGCTCTTTTTGTATAAATAATGTCACATACAAATAATATAGAGCACCGGCTACCATCAAAAATAAAATTGAAACCATGATTCAAATGATAGACAGTTATAGAATTCCAAAACCAAAATCCAGGCTACTCTCTACGTGTGAGAGTCCAAATCATGATCTCCAAAACTTATATATAGGGATACTACTCACTCTATAGATATGATAAAACTAATCTATGTGATTAATCTTTTGCTAAGATTCAGAATAAAAATCCTGGCGTTGCGTTTGTTAAATTTTAACCATAACTATCAGTCTATCGCATTTTTTGTCTGTAGATAGAAGAAAGGGTTAATTTGCTCAGTGACAATATTGGGTATGATATTTAAGCTTATAGCCATGATAATCTGAAAATAGAGTAACTAACAAAGAGAAAAGATTTTGGACATTACTCTCCCTCACACAAGCGGGAACTTTCCTTCCAAAAATTCCTCTCACACATGACCTTCATCGTAGACGTCATCCCTTACGACGTGGAAACATTTATATCCACTATGATAAATGTACAATTAAATCTTAATCAAGATTTCTAAACTTTAAATTATAAAAACTAAACTCTAATTAAGATTAGTGAAACTGATAGATGTAAAATACATCCAATTTAGAAATTTATGGTTTAAGGTTTAGGGTATGGGTTTTAGGATTCTAAACCCTAACTAAAAACTAACCCCCTAATCTCTAAACTATAAATCATAAAAATCTAAATCCTAATTAAGATTAGTGAATTCAAATTAATAAATGTACAATATATCCAGTTTATAGTTTAGGATTTAGAGTTTAGGGTTTTAAATCATAAACCTCAAACACTAAGATGTACAACAGTTAAATAAATCTAGGAAGAATGAATATAGACTATACCATAGTAAAATGTCTTTATACTATTTACCAAGTTAGGAAATGGTATAACAAAAGGTTATATATTGTGAGCGTGGAGATGGACACCGTTTGGCAGAACAAACAATCAAGCATAAGAAACAAAATGGCGCACACCGAAAAAATGGAACGACAATAACATGAACAACATCAACACCGACAATAACATATTTTTGTACATCGGTTAACAAAACAACAACACCCATAAAAGTTTCCAAATCATAGATAACATTTTTACACACCCGTAACAGAACAACAATATAGTATGAAAGTGTGACCTAATTTTTTTTTAAAAGTCATCATTAATCAAAGCCACCATATGGTATACTTTCTCCTCATCTTTTTCGTCTTCAAATCGGATTTCCTGAACACACTCCCCACATCCATTTCTAATTATTGATAGGCCAGCAGCTTGAACACGAATAAGTAACTAAAGAATATGAATTAGTACTTGATCCCAACCAAATATCTTATTATATCTATACTACACACGAAGTGGATAAAAAAGACAAAAAAAAATCAATCAGGAAAGTCGTATAAACAAATCAAAATCAACGAATCTAGCGGAAATCGGTTTATAATGAGATTATAAACACTAAATATAAGATAGGAGAGAATAGAGAGAGAAATCTGGGGAAAAGCTACCCTCGAGGAAGCGGAGAAATCAATCGGAGATCTGATTAACAATTTGTACATGTGTAGGTTGTTGAGGATAATAGAGAAAATGTTGATGAAGGAGCAATTGAGATTTGAGAGAAGCATATGTTTGTGGTTTTGCAAACAAGAACGAAACTCCAGATTTTCGCTATCGTTGTTATCGAAGAGCGTATGAATTTTGGTTTAATAGAACTGTTACTAGAATTTCTTACTATCCCTTCGGAAATTGACCTAATTTTGAAATCTGTAACATTTTCCCTCATCAAAGGGCTAACTTATAAATACTTCATAATTTACACAGAATATCATAATCATGGGATTGTTATTGCTAGTTTGTTAATTATCCCAATTAATATTGTCATATAGTATAATTTCCCTAGAAGAAAACTGTTGACGAAGAAAACAAAAGAAAAGTTAATTAGCTACGAGTCTACGACTAAATCAGGAAAAACTACACACATTATTCTCTTTTCTACATTTAATTTGGTCTCACCGATCATTGACCGAGTCAAAGGCTGTGCTCTATTTGACAACTTCTGATACATGTCATATATACCAAATGTCGCTATTTCACATGTAATTACGCATCTACGTACATATAGTTACACATATAGTAGTATTATCACATAGTCAAGATCATGAATGTCGATGGTTGAATATTAGCCTCTCATTAAAATTTTACTTTAGGAAACACAAGTTCAAATTCAATTTTCTAATTCTAAATAGTAGATTGTTAGATATAGGAAAAACGTTTTTACAATATGATATAATTACATTTAATATACTAAAGTACGAGAAAAGGGAAATGAGCGATGCTTGCTGCTTGTATCCTTTTCCATATAGACTAATAACCATTTACCCAAAAATCTTAAAAGCTTTTCCTCCGTTATCATTTAGTTACCTTTTTAAAAGTTAAATAGTATTTGTTGTCATTGTAATTTTGTAAAACCTTATTGAATTTGTTCCCCTCTCCCTATAGTCAATATTATTAAATCCCGTCTACCTTTCTCTGTTTCCATTCACATATGGAAACAACATTTCGAGGCACACTCATTGAAAAAAACAATGATAATGAAACTGATTACATTTCCAAAAGAATATAATTTCTAGATGCTTTTAGATTTGTATTACTATCATGTAATTAATTTAGAAATCTTGTGGTGTAGACTGTAGTCTCAAGGCCAATCACTTTTTTAGGAAACTATTAAAATTTAGAAACAAATACAGAAATGACTAAACAAGTTGCATATGAAAACACTTTCCATAAATAAAATCAGAACAAAGCTATTAATTAGCAGAATATGTTTATGTTGTATATAAAAACATTTTATCACAAAAACGTTGCTAGGTTTTGAGTCACTTAATTTTGTCTAGAATTAAAAGTTCGATTAAGATAGAAGTGTTATTTGAAAATGCTAATTTCGCGATTATATGGATGTAATGGACTTTTATACTTTCAATAGGTTAATAGGTGTATCTACGACGAACCACTCTCGTCGTAACGATCAAAGAACATATTTGTATCATCCTATCTCTCTTTCGTTGAATTATTTTATACGCCAAAATGGAGCTACCCTAGCTCCACATATCAAAATTTCAAGTTTCAAGTAGAGAAAAAAAGTGGGAACAAAAGGTAAATAATGGGAAAAAAAAACAAATTAAAAAAGCTGTCCACCTTTTATTGGCTTTTCTCTCCCACACAACACAACCATCAATTCCTTTCACACTCCCTTCTTTTTTTTCTGAAGTTTCTCTGCAACCAAAAAAATCATCATAACCCTCTCCTTCACCTTCATCATTCATTCTCTCTCTAACCCATCATCTCTCTTTCTCTCCCCATCTCCCTCTCACTATCTCTGTCTCTGCCATGGATTCCGGCAACAGTAGCAGCATGCAGTCCTCAAGCGGTGGTGGTGGAGGAGATCAAGAAGAGTACGACTCACGGGCCGATCAATCCATCTCTGCTTTCTTCAACAACAGCAACAACAACACAACCACCGTCTCCACCAACATCGCCGGTCCAACACAGCTTGAATCTCTCATAGCCAACTACTTTAACACCGGTTGGTCGACGGATAATACAACCTGGTCAACAGCGACTGCAAATCCCACCGATGGCGCTAGTCCACGACCACCACCACCACCGATCTCATCAGAACCAGTCTTCTTCACAAACCCACTTCAACAAAACCAGAACACAAACACAAGTAGACCCATCTGTTCTGTCCCAACCGACAAGAAAAACGGTCTAAACAACCTGGCGACACGGAATCCAAAGAAGAGATCTCGAGTTTCTAGACGAGCGCCTACTACTGTTTTGACCACCGACACTTCAAACTTCAGAGCCATGGTTCAAGAATTCACCGGTAATCCTTCAACTCCGTTCACCGGATTATCTTCATCTTCTGCGTATCCAAGATCAAGATTTGACCTCTTCGGTTCTTCTTCTTCTTCATTACCCTTAAAACCCTTTCCTCACAAACTCTCTCAGCAGTCGACGACGAATCATCATCAATACCTCATTCCTCCTCCTCCTTCAACAACAGATTATCATCAAAGTCTTCTCCTTAGTATGAACACGCAAAACATCCAAAACCCTTTTCTCAACAACCAATCTCTGAGCATCCCCTTCACAGATCAGTCACTTTTATCTCAAAAGTCGAAACCTTTGTTCGATCAATCATCGAGCTTGAAAACGAGTAATGGTTTTGGACACGTGGACGAGGGAACAAACTTTGAAGCACTCCACAACATTGTTGTCTCTTCTTCATCATCATCGATGACACAACCAACCCTAAATATCATCCATGGAGAGAGGAATCTTGAAGCTGAGAATGGTAATGATCTGTTAAGATCCATCAATGCGGAACATCAATCCATGGTGCAAAGATCCGATGGTTACACGCCGCCGGTTGCTTCTGGATCGGATAACAATACATCAGCGGTGAGAAATGAAGGTATGGTGGAATTATCATGGATCTCTTCTTCTGAGTAGATTCAACCTAGCTAACATTTTTATCTTACTATTATTAGCCATAAAAAAAATTCTTAGCAAAAAAAACAACTGATGAATGAAACATTAAGTAGTGTATGGAAAGATTTTGGAATCTTTTATGTTCTAAAGCTTCTATGGTCTAATTAACAATGACTTTCTACGTATTCGAACATTGTTTTGTTTTCTCTTAATTCGGCTTTATTCAGTTTATGGGAATGGCAGTGTGTAATTATATAAATGGACTATAATTTTGCGATTTTCTTAACATCTGTTTGTTGGTATGAGATTGGTATAGTTTGAAATTTCATTGGACTCGTACTAATAATAATGATATTATGGTATAGTATGAAATTTCAATTAGTCAAAGGGCGTTTAACTCACAAGGGACTTAGAAAAATGAGTCGCTTTTGTTTTGACGACGAGAAAGGTGTTGAAGCTCTTTTGTTATTAGGGTTGCGTATGAACCCTAAAAAAGAAACCTTGCATTGTTACTATAGTATGAAACTGCAGATAACACATTTTGGACCTATGAAACCATATTTTATTTGCGTATAATATAAAGAAAATATGTAGAGAGAGAGAGAGAGAGAAAGAGTGATTGGTGGCGAGATCTAGGGAATCGTTAGCCGCCGCTTATCCTAAATTTATCATATTTGTTTAAAACTCACATGACACTTCCCGATATATTCATGAGTCTATATTCATCATCTTTTTCTTTTCATTTTCTTTTGTGCTAGAAGCTAATTTTTCCCAACAAAAAAACTATAGGCTGTATCATAATAATTTGATTTTTTAAACATACCGTCATTCAGTACGTCACAACGTCATGTCCCGTAATTTCTGTAATTCTAATTGTCGCCATTATATTCAATCAAATCAAACTTAGATGATTACATCTATCGAGCAATATCACATTAGTAAAGCAAATTTGCTTCAGTCACACACACCGAAACAAATCTCAAAACCTGTTTATTTGATCATGATCTCATCACTTTTTATGGGTGAGTTTATCAATATCCATTTCCCGCCAAAATAACTCGTCACTTTTTTGTTAGATTTGCACAATCTCTTCCACTGAGACGCGTGAAACGATAGCGTTTAGTGAAAGTAGGCATAAATCTTTCATCCTTTTTTTACAAGAATCCCTTTTGATTGATATAACAAGATCTTCTATTCTTTTTGTACTTTGAGGTAAATCGTTGGTTTTGTTTTCCCTTCTTTAATTCAAAATATCTGAGCCTTTTCCCACTTATTTATTTAGGCAAATGCCTTTAGAAAATAATATAAAGTAAGCAACCCAGGAAAAGGAAAAAACCTTTTTCGATGTATCTCTTTGTTTTTATGAATTATATATACAAATTTGATGATTGATAAAAACATGGATTTTTGTGAAGATAAAACTTTCTTTTTCTTTCTTTATATATATTTCTGGAGATTGGAAATCCAAATGATTAGGCAAAGGATTTTAAGAAGATTTTGGCTGGGGGCAAACAATTATATCCCAACAAGAGAGATAGAGAGAGCGAATAAAAAGAAAAACGAAAGGAGTTTTGTTGTTTTGCAATGATGTTTCCACGTTGATATACATACCTATGTTAAGAACTTACTAGTTTATTTCAGATTTACATAAATATTCTAATGATGTTTATATCAGTTGAAAATTATCTGTATCTACAATCCTACGATCTAAAGTATTTTTTTTTATAATTCACATGCAGTTTCTGTATCTTTGGTCTACAAACTCTTTGATTCTTACACAACGAGTCTCATTATATACACTGTAAGTTTAAAATTTCTAAGTTTGATATTTGTTTTGTATACAAGATCCACTAGGAAAAAAGAAAGTTGTAGAGTAGTATATAATGCGTTTTTCATAGGCAAGACAGGACAGGCCTTTTTAGCAGTAGCAATGCCCCCACTATTTCTCTTTACTGATTTCGTAAATTTGTAAAGGTGAAAACCTTTTTATTGATTACCATCGATAACACTATTTTATATATGTACGCAAACAGGAGTATGTAATACCCCACTAATAATCAACTTTATATAAAATTTGGACCATATACATCTATAGTAACCATATAAATCAAGAGATTAGTATTAGTTTTAAATTTGGGGAATTAAGAGGGCCATTAGTGTCGGGTACATGTAAAGCTGGACATGAAAGTAGGGAAAATGTCAACTCCGATGCTAAATCAGATGATTAGACAGCCCAAAAAAAAAATTAAGAGTAGAGTTTTCAAAATACCAGTCATATAAACTCATTGGTTTAAGAAGCACTACAAAGCATACAATCTAGTCATGCAGCGGCTACGGCTAAGTATATTTTTTAGTCGTTCGTCACAATTTTCAAATGACAACAAATGTAAATTACTTTGTGATCATGTGTTTTTTTATAAGAGTTCTCGTGATCATGTAATCTTGATTCTTGAGTCATGACAACATCACAACTCATCGAACAACTTTTAATTGTGATAGTCTCTACTTTTAACGGCCGCCGTTCGACTGTTATATTTGTTTGGTTTGTTGTCGCATCGAAATAGATTTGTCTGCCATGAAACCAAACTAGCTGATCCTATCTAGTGTATGTTTGTATGTTCATTACGTTGGAGACGCTAGATATTTTCACATCTCACCATTTTTTTCTGTTCTTCTACTTTTTGGACATAGAAACATAAATAATTATCGAATTTTCAAACCAATACAAAAAATACGTGACTCGTGTAAAATCTCTCCACCATTACCCATTTTATTGATCGTATTTGTGTTAACGCAGAACTGATTAAACTGATAATGCTGCAACTACTCACATCCGAGTATCCAACTGACTTTATCATTTTTAAAAACTGGTATGATTTGGGCCTCAATAAGCCCATTACATCAGATTAAGGCCTAAAACGAGCACTCAAAGAACAATTTCCTTTTCTGATCGTCTTTCTCTTACAGTATTTTTTTTTTCAGGGACCAAAAAAAAAGTGAAAAAATCAGAAAATATGGAAATGAGATGAATGTAAAGAAATTAAAAATGCGAAAAATGAAGTAAGAAATTAATGGCAGACGGATTTAGGACAAAGAGAGAGAGACAACTCCTTCATTGATGTTTTGCTCCCCTGCGATTATCGCTCCTTGTTTCTCTCTAAAGATTAGGGATTGATTCCGGTGTCAAACTCCGGCATCCTCCACCGGCCTCTCCTAGGTTTTTGTTTACGCCCCGCCGTAAGATTTGTCCTCCACCGCCGCGTTCCCGTCGTGGAAGCTGTATCATTCTGGGTTTTAGCTCCGTCTCCTTTTCCGAAAAATCACTTTTTTCTTCTTCTTCTAGGGTTTTGTTTTCATTTTGGGTTGGAGATGAGTAGTGAATTTAGTGAAGAGATTCTCATTGATAAGCTCGCCGAGCTCAACAGCAGCCAACAATCCATCGAAAGTATCCTTTTTTTCTTTCAAATTCCAATTTGTTCTACCTTAAAGCTGATGCCTTTGTTGTTTGATTACATTTCTGATTGTTTGGTTATTGACCCTTTTTGGAATATGCTCATTCATTGCCTCAAATCTATTGCTGTTTGATGATTGTTTGATTCCTTGACCCTTTTTGTGTGTGTGGATAAGATCTGTCACAATGGTGTATAGCACACCGTAGTGAAGCTGAGCTGGTGGTAACGACATGGGAGAAACAGTTTCACAGCACAGAGATGGTGCAGAAAGTGCCTCTCATGTACCTTGCCAACGACATTCTCCAGAACAGTAAGCGTCAGGGGAATGAGTTCGTGCAGGAGTTCTGGAATGTTCTTCCCAAGGCTGTCAAAGACATGGTTTCTCAAGAAGATGATCGTGGCAAACGCGTCGTCTCAAGATTGGTAATCCTTTTTGTTAGGATTTCAGATTTAGTTAAACCACTGTGATTGAATATGTTGAAGTGATTGGTTAGGGTAAAGAACATGTTTTTATGCAAATGGATCAGAGTCAAAAGTTTTGGTTTCTTTGGGGCAAGTGGTGTTAATGCTTTTGATTCTTTTAATGGATATTATCCTCTTTTAGTGTTGGATGTTTCATCAGTCTTATGTTTAGGTTATTTAGTGGATTTGATGGCTTTTTAACTTAAGAGGTAAATGCTAGAATCTCTTCTTAAGATTTGTCTTCTTGCATCGTTTTGGAATACTGCTGAATGCTCATAATTATTGAAAGTTTTGAGTTGTTGAGAGTCTTAAGCTGATTTATGAATACATTGATACAGCGTGTAATGTTTTGTTGAGTGATTTTTTTTTTTTTTTTCATTTTCATGATGGCTAGGTTAATATATGGGAAGAGAGAAGAGTGTTTGGGTCTCGTTCAAAGAGTCTTAGGGACGTCATGCTCTCAGAAGAAGCTCCTCCACCGCTTGATCTTGATGTCAGTAAAAAGCGTTTCAGGGGATCGAAATCTTCGAAACGAGACTCCAAATCTGCCAGAACGGTAACAATTTTGTCTCTCTAATTAAACCCTACTTAGGGTTTTTTCCTCGGTGTTGATCAGATTCATTTATCTCCAGAAATCATCAAGTGGAGGTGTGACCGAGAAGATAGCAGCTGCGTTTAGCTTGGTTCGTGCGGAGAACTCAAACGAAGAGACAGAGATGAGCAAGTGCAAGTCTGCAGTCAAACGTATCAAGAAGATGGAGAAAGATGTTGAAGATGCTTGCTCCACTGGTAAAAACACTTCTTATCTCTTAACACCACATTTTCATTATGAACACATAGTAGTACTCAATCTTTTGCTTGTCTTGCAGCAAAAGACCCCAGGAGAGAAACACTGGCAAAAGAGTTGGAAGAAGAAGAAAACACTCTGAAGAAGTCTGTTGAGAAACTCAAATCTGTTGAAGAAAGTAGAACAACCCTCGTCAAACACCTAAGAGAAGCTCTACGTGAACAGGTTAAAAGAAAGATCTTTCACTCTTACAAGTTTGTTCATTTGCTTATACATTTTTCGATTTACTCACTGAGTTTTGTCTGTCAGGAATCTGAATTAGAGGATCTTCAATCTCAGATACAGGTAATAAACTATTTTCACAATCTTGATGTCAAATAAGACATTTCAAGAATCAGCATTTTCTTGATTTTCTCTTTGTTCTTGATTCTTCAGGTAGCAAAAGAACAAACCGAAGAAGCTCAAAAGATGCAGAAACGGCTCAATACCGAAGCACCACCGGTTAACAACAACGGAACGTCGGCGAAACTCACTCCTGCTTCAATCGCTGCAATGCTAACCGCGTCGACGAACTCATCAATGATCATGCAATCCGTTCTCTCTTCCTTCGCAGCCGAAGCCACACAGACTTCCGGTTTATCCAAATCAAACGGTTCAGAGACATCAACTCCATTCGCTCCTCCTCCAAACCCCCAGCAGCAACAGCAGCAGTATCATCACATCATCCCTAACCAAACCGCTCCACCGCAACAACAGTTCTTGCCTTACGGTTTTAGTAACATTCCGTTAATGCCGCCACCACCGCACATGATGAGTAATAATCAGTCAAACGCAGCTCAGCAACAACCGCAACAAGGTCAGACTTTTCAGCCACCGGGTATGATGTATTATGGACCTCCTCACCATTCTTAAGCCTTTTTTCTCTCTTCTTTGCATTGTAGAAAATTAGGGTTCGTGACCTTTTTTGTCTTAGCAAATCTTTGTACCAAAAGTACCTTAAGAGCATTAGAATTGTTCATAACGGTCGAATTAATTAATGTTTAATCATTACAAAATCCGCATTACAAATATTTATCTACATTTTTTCAATTCTTTTTCAAGTCACAATGTTACAACAAAATTTCATCACAAACATTTTCAATCTTTCTTTCAAGTAAATAAACAAAAGGAATGTGATTAATTTGAGATTAGAAGCCAGAAGAATTCTGAGTGACGATTCGGTTTCTACCAACTCGGAATCTGGACCGGATCGAACCGGTCGAGTCGATAACTCTATCCCAATCAATTGATCCTTCACCGTCTTCTTCGTCTTCCTCCGGCACTCTCTCCCTCATCAACTGAAGAATCTTCCTCGCTTTCTCTCTTGCTCTCTCCGTTCCTCTCTCCTCCACTTCCTTCAACACTTCCACCGCTCTCGCCTCCTTCGCTAGTCCCTTGAACCGTAAACTCTCGTGACTCAACGCGAACAACGCCGCCACGCAATTCTCACGCGCCGATGACGACGAACGAGAACGATCCTCCGTTGAATCCGGACTCTCCTCCCGCAGCTTCCCGACGAGAATCGCGACTGCGTTCGCATCCAGCATCGCCGATCGTCCTTCGCTACAGCAAGCTAGATTACAGATCACCAGGAGCGCTCTGCTCGCCGATTCGCCGGATCTGACCAGCGAGAAAAGCGCCGGCACTGCTCCGAGCCTGACGAGCTTCGACCGATTCGTCTGGTTGAGTGACAAATGGTAGAGCGCGAGAGCCGAATCGTGCCGCGTCCGATCGCTCTCGGAGGCTCGCAACGCGTGGAGCAACGGCTGAAGCGCGCCTAAAACTCCGATCGGCATTTTGTTGTCGTCTTCTAGAGAGAGGCTGAAAATTGATCCGGCGGCGTGTTCCTGCGCTTCTCTGGATCCCGATTTCAAAACGTCGATCAAAATGGGAACGAATCCTAACCGTACGATCGTCAATTTGTTCTGCTTCTCCAGCGAGAGATTCACGAGCGAGGCTAGAGAATTCGTCTGCACTAAGCTGTATCTCGAAACAATCATATTCTTCAGGAGAGAGAGAATCCGAGGTGAACAAAGAGAAACCCTAGCTTCGTCTTTGGTGCGAGTCATCTTCCTCATCATAATCAGACCTTGCTCTTGATCGAAAATATCAGTGCTCTTGAGCTTGTCGTAGATCTCTTCCTCTTCGGGAGCCACATTCGCGGCGGCGGAAGTAGAGGGATTGAAGAAATTGTCCTGTGTTAAGGTTTCGATTTCGGAAGAAGACGACGAAGGAGAGAAGCAAGCGGGTCGGGTCGTTAGAGGAAGAGGAGTGAACGGGCTTTGAGCTACAATTACAGATTCGTCAGACGAGCTTGTGGAGTTGAAACTTTCCGGCGGTCTTCTCCTTCCCATGACTTCAGTGTCAGCGTGGTGAATCATCATCGGAGCTCGGTCTGCAACATCTCTGAGCAGCTCCTGTTCTGAGACACGAATATCCACGTCAGCCGGAATCTGCTGACGTAGATTCCTCTCGACGGCGGAGTAATCGGGAGGCTGGGGACGCTCGGCGCCGACGCTGTCGCACCAACTATCGATGGTTGATTTCATGTTGAGATTGGGGATGATTGTGGAGAAATCGGGTCGAGAGTCTTCGTCGTCGTCGAGTTTGGGAGCAAAGCCTAGGTCGCGACAGACTTGAACGCAGACCCGTTCGAAGGTTTGACCCGAAGATACAACAACCGGGTCAGACATTATTGACTTTGAAATCGGACAGAGAAATTCGACGGGAGGTTGTTGTTGTTGTTGTTGGCTTGAAGATGATGAGGAAGAAGACGATCTGTTGTTGAAAGGGTTCCATCTGAGCCGTCCGCTCTTACCCATCTGCAAAAAAATCAATGGTCAGAAATTGGTTGGTGAGTATGATTTCTGTAAACAATTTTGGGGTTTTGGTTTTTGGGGAGAAATTAGGGATTTGAATCCATCTTTCGTACCTTGAGATTTTCTGGGAAGAAGATGAAGAGGAAAGAGAGTCGTCTTCTTCCTCCTGAACTGAAGGACTTTGTGGCCTACTGACTTTCTTCTTTTTCTTTTGTTTTGTTTTTCTCTCTGTGTTATAAAATTTTAACTTCAACACTTGCAATATTTTTCGAAAATCTTTGACCGTAAATTATTAATAAGGGTGGACCATGGAATACTGAATTAGCTCTTGCAAGTCATGCATTCTGAGAAAGCTTTCTTTTTCAGGGGTCAAACTGTTCATATGTAAAAACTTTGATCAAGAGTATCCTAAATTTGTCGATTTGAAATCTAAGTACAGTAGTTTCGTTGCAGGTATATTACTGATTTTTTTGAACATAACACAAACATTGTGGACTGCCGCATCATTCTTGCTTTATTAAGCTTTAGATCGATTTATTACCTGCTTAAGCTTTAGACAGTGACAACTGACAAGATCCATACATGGGCTTACTGTAGTCTTGATTTGGGCTGTGTTGTGATTATGGGCCCATTACTATCATATCAATTCTATGTTGCTTGTGTTTAGCTTGTTTCGATAAAATGCAAACACGGTTAGGCAACATTTTCACATTCAAACAGTGTCCTTTAACCGAGAGAACTCTGCTACTCAACTTTGGCTCCCTTCTTCATGAAGCTCTTAGTAAGGAGAAAATCTTTGATGAAAATGGGCATATGGTGCATGATCGCCATAACGGTGGATAATCTCCCTGTAGAGAACCAAGCCGGTGGGTTTTTCTTCATCACCACAGACACAGTCTCTTTCGCAAACGTCTCCGTAGGTAATGGCTTTATGTTCTGTGACAAGAACGCCCTCTCACGTATCGCTTCCTCGAACGGCTTGTACAGTTTCAATTCAGGTAACTTGTTGAAGCTCGATATCGCTGAATCAGCTATGTTTGATTGAATCCCTCCTGGGACAATGTTGATCACGTCAATCCCAAATGGCTTAAGCTCCAACCTTAATGTATCGGTAAGTGCGTGAAGAGCAGCTTTTGATGCAGTGTAAACACCAGCCCATGGTCCTGGTGCCATTATGCTGATACTTCCTATGTTCACAATCTTTCCCTTCTTCTTAGACGCCATGTGAGGCACAACGGCTTGAGTCATCCTCATCGCACCTTGCAAATTGAGTCAGGAATTTTCACAAACACATGGTGATCATTCACGAAGGGAAATTGATTTTTTTTTTTTTTTGAATTTACCGAATACGTTGGTGTTGAAGGTGTTTTCCATGGCGGAAATTGGAGTCTCAGCGAGAGGTCCGATGCAATTGACTCCGGCGTTGTTGACGAGAACGTCGATCTGACCGAATTTGTCGATGATTTTGGAAAGAACTTTACTCACGCTCTGCTCCGATTGAACATCGAGCTCCTCCACGGAGAGTTTGGGATCTTTCTCCAGATCGGCCATCGTGCTCTGAGATCGGCTCGTGGCCACCACTCGACAGCCGTTCGCCGAGAACTCACGAGCCAGCGCGTGGCCGATTCCTCCCTGAGAACATCCTGTGATGAGAACCACTGGTGTTTCGTCGCTGCTTGCTGCCATTGTTAGCTCTCTCAAGGTTTCGGATAAAGCAATTGTAGAAGTTATAATTTTCCCGGAAAAAAAACTAAGGTTAATTCTGTATCAGACAAACTATGGTACTTATTTTAAATGATATCCAGAATTTAAGGATTGAATTGCAAAATTTGCGCCGTAGTTTCTCAACACAGCAAAAGTATGATGAAGTTTATCCACGTCAGCAGCGAAGACCCTGATCTTTGTTTAATGATCTTTACTTTGAGTGATTCGCCGGAGAAGACAAAGTCATAGTCCCAGATAGAAGGAAATCGTATCCAAAGTTTGAGTAAATTAAAACAGAAAATTACATTTGATTGATTCAGATACGGTTATTTACATATACACCCCAAGGCAGAAGAAAAAAGAAAAAAAGCACGAAATTATATGTGAACAAAATGGAATCAAGGTGAGAAGAAGCCATGAGAGATGGCGAGAGCAAACTGAGATTTAGCCTCAAACTTCTTCATGAAACTCACTATCTTCTTCTCGTTGACTCCTATAGTCATCTTCGCCGGAATATTCTTCCACCAATCAAATTCCACCGACGCTGGTCTCGAATCCGCCGTCTGTCTCACCCTCCTCTCGTACTCCTCGGCCACCAAAAGCGCTATGTCCGCCATTTGAATCGATCAATGTCTCTCTCTCTCTCGCTCTTTCTTTCGGTTATCTGCGGTTATTTCTCTCACGTTCGGTTATCTCTGGTTCTATAACATAAAAGATAATTCAACTCAGTGTACTTATAGTGCTTTGACGTGCGGCATTGGATAAGGTTGGGTCAATATTTCTCTAATATAATATTTGTTTATATGACGTGCCCAAACTGTTGGTATCGGTGGTTTTCGTGAGATGGTGGGCTTGGTCGGTTTTCGTGATACTTTACAGAATTGGTTGTTTTTTTTTTTTTTTTTTTTGAGAACTGGCTTTACAGAATTGGTTGTTTCAAAATGAATCAAAACAAAATCGTCGTTAAAGACATAAAAGAACAAATTATGTGTTTATAAAATCAGGGTTTAATCATCGATATTAATTTTGTGTGGAAGCTTGTTGAGTGCTATTCAAGGAGGTCGGTCCGTGCCATCGATGTATCATATCGTTTGGATCAAATCAATATCCATTTTCTTATTAATACGTTTGTCACTTTAAAATTTCGTTATATATGGCAGATTTATATGACAAGTTCAAATATATGGATTGTATAGATCTTTGTATCAACATATCAGATCGTCAATTTAAATATTAGACGTGATCCGCTACAAATATCTCAAAACAATGGTATTTATTAGATTTGAACTATTCGACAGAAAAAGGCAAAAAACAATATCTAGAAACTATGTATGGATTGGAAATCTGAAACTCTGCAGTTGAAAATAGACAAAGGTGGTGTTATTGGATTGGTTATTTGAATGTATTTGATTGTATTTGGAAAACAGAGTCAAAACAAGTGTTATTCAATTTTGTATTTGACAAAAGGGTTTTAAAATTCATTAAAAAACACTGTTATTGGATAAAGTATTTGTTCCATGTATTTCAAAATACAATCAAAACAGGTGTTATTCAATTTTGATTTGATTATTTAAAAAAACAGTTACAGTGGATTTCAGTGTATTCTCTCTCCTAAAACATGAACAAAGCAAATACATGAATTTTGTCTTGTGTTTTAAAATCCTCCATCATGGGTTTTTAATAAATTCATCAAAACACAACACAATCCTCCATAACTGCACTACATTAACACCAATCCAATAACAGGCCCAAAGTGTCGGGAGCTATTAACGTTAGTGATTAAATGGCTTTAGGTCCAATAGTTATTTCATAATAATGTTTCCTAATTTATGATATGGGCCTCATACAAGACAGAGCGTTACATTCTCGAAATAGAGAAGGCTTTGAAAGTTCTCTCATTTATATAGAGCATCGTTGAGTAGCCTGTAGATACATTACTAAATGTATAATGTATTTGAAGTACTATCTAATATAATAAATTCTGATTCAAATACGGTATTGTTTGTGCAACAGCTTACAAACAAAATTTGCGTATAAAGAAAAATAAATGGTTAATCTGAAGGGAAACAAAACGTAGAGAAGAAAACCAAGTAATCTTTATCGTGATGGTTTCCAATTCCTTTAGTGTACTTTAACTTCTTTCTCTTTTCCACAAAACTCCAAGTTTTTGTTTCTGACTATTATCTCGGTCTATCGTAAATGAAATTAAATTGTTGACCTACAAAAAAAAGGTCTATAAAGTAGTACTGTACTACAAATTTATTTATTCTCTGTTCCTACTCACCTTTTCTAGTCTATTTTCTTGCTTTCTTGGTGTCTTTTGATCTCTGTGGACTTATGACCCGGAAGACCGGACAATGTAATTTCGTTGTTATGATCACGTATTAGTTATTATCTGTTTATCAGTAAATATAATCCAAAACGACATACGTATTTCCTTAAAATGATCCGAAATGCTTATACGAAATATATTTGTGTCAAAGGCTTAGCCGATTTTAAATAAAAAACAAAAAAAAATCGAACTGGTCAATGGCTTAGATGACGATTAGGAGCCTTTTTATTTTGTTTGTCGACTATTAGGAGTCTAAATACGATTGGAAAACAAGCATAGTAGCTGAAATTATTTAAAACCGAATATTAAGAATACTGAACTTATTAAAGCATGACACCTTTACACCTAAGTGGATAAGTGGGATCTACTTCTATACCCCTATGAAGTCTTTTCCGAGCCCCGTAGGGGCATGGATCCCGTTACTTTTTTATTAACTAATACTACTAATTAGTATTCTAATTTGCAGGGTAATCTTTCTTTTCTTTATCGAGAATCTCTTCTGGAATAATTCTTAAAGCACTCGAATTCTTTAACAAAGAATCAGATCTAGAAAATGTGTTAGTACGATTTGGTATTAGCTTGCCAATAAAAGGTATTAATATCACAATATTCATTTTACGCAGTAAATTATTAGGGTCTGTTTCAAAAAGAAAATATTTATTGGGGTTTTTTGGAACATTGTTCTAGGAATATAAAAGTGCCTAATTGAGTTAGATGGTCGTATGACGCAAACAATGACCCAAACCGTCTTCTCAATTAAGTACGCTCCCCATATATGCATATAGATGAGCACATATCTTTGTATCAGATAATCATATAATATGAATCAGATATGGTCTAATGATGGGGGCCAAAGGTTGCTTTACTTCTAAGTTCTAATAACGTCCCTAAACATTTATTTTAATTGAAATTTGGTGTATGATTTCGCATTATTTTCTTCATTAATTATCTCATTGGTAAAGTTTGCATCTCCTTTAAGCGCATGCACGTGCCGTTGCATTAATCCAATTCTGTCAAATCACAGATCAATGATTTAGTGTTACACTAAACCAACGAGTCACACACTAAAATGATTTAGTGTGTACACTAACTCACTAAGCATACTTGTTGTTTAGAAATTATACCAGTACAAAAAATGTTATACCAATACAAACTTTTTTATTTTTATTTTTTAAATTTAATAGTTTTTTGTTAAAATAAAAATTTGACATTCCTATAAGGATGGGAATAACCTCGTTTATGCCAAATAATGAACAAAAAGGAATGAAAAATCCAAACACGAGGTAGCCACTCGTGGTGGCAAACCACTTTGCGAGATAGCACTTGAGAATAATTCTACAAACAGGCAAAAGCTCAGTGTTTAATTGTTTATGCGTGACGTCTCTTTTTCTATCTTCTCGTTTTTATATAGTTATATATAATATTATCGTCTTTATAATTCGAATAAAAATTGCTATACTTTAATACGTGGATAGAGTGTGAAATGGAAATTCACCAATATCTATCATCTATAATGGATCATACGGCTAAAAAGCCACCATCATATGAATTGTGTAACTTTACACACACATCATTAGCACGATCGAAGTTTCAGAAGCAAAAAAAGGATCGAATGATTAAAAACGTTATTTACTTATTAAACTTATCCTGTTGTAGTTAGTTTCCTCCTACTAGACAATCCAATATACTAGATCATGCATCTTTTATAGCTTAAAATATTATATTTTTCGTCTTTTATTGTACCTAATTTATGGGACTTATCTTCTCTCTAGCTCTCTCTCTATGCATATGCATGTCCATGAAGCGTCTCACGTGTATTGATCGTAACCCTTGATGTTATATGCATTCTTTTGATAAATTAATGTTATACATATAGAGACATACTACATACACTTATAAGCAAATGAGTGAGATTCTTTTATAAAAAAGGTTATGCTTCGCCATTTCACGCAAACAAATACATTTGTACACACTTCTAAAATCTCATTTGATTGACTTTTCAGTTAGAGCCAATTAATGTGTAATCATGGGTTATGGTAAATCTAATTGTGGGAATCAACGAAGACATGTCCAACTTTTCATTATGTCCACAACCAAACAATGGTTATATAATCATAATTTAATATGCACAATGTACGTCTCCAATGGGGCTTGAAGAGCCAGTCCGTTTCAATACATCAGTTAAAGGTTACAATATTAATTAGGTGATTCCTTCGCCTAATTATCTATACTAATATAGCCTGTCTGGACTCCCAAAGGCTAATAATCGCATTCTACGGTTATGTTTTTCTATTATTAACTAGGAGAATATATGGATACTTTTTGCCATATAAACTAATGAAATTAGCTTTACATTAAAATAGAGAAATTATACAATTCCGGTTAGCTTTCGAATGCAGTTGAAAAAAACACAAACCGGATAACATAATTTAGTTTTATTGATTAATATCTTCTTAAATTATTCGTTAAACAAACGTTGCTTGTTGAGAACAATTCATGCTGGTCATATTCGCTTATCTGCTTAGTCAATATTACATCAGCCAGCATATACTAGATTACAAGGAAAAATAATTACAAGCATGAATACTTGAAACAAAAATATACAAGCAGTTTTTGTTTCTTGTAAATAATTTCCAAACAGTCATGAAAATATTTAATGGGACAGCTATGATATTTGGATAAACATTAGTAACTTTATTGGCGTTAATAAGTGTAGAATAACCAGCTTGTCGAAAAAAAAAAATATTGATTACAGATTACTTAATTATTTATTCAGATATAGCCGTTAATACGTCACTAGAATCGAAGCAGACTCTCGGGTTCTCTATATTCCCCACTCGCGATACAACACGCGCTTATTTTCTTCTCTTTAACCGCCAGTTTCCGCGGGAATCATGTCGTTAGTTTTCTTAATTTTTAACAGACGCGCAATTTAAACGCGTGTATTAATGCTTGCCTTCGAACGAATTTTATGTTACCGGCGACGGTTGCGCAGGTTAGAAAGCAGACGTGCGCAAGGTAGAAAATAGAAAATCAAAACAATTTAAAGAAAATAAAAATTCTATAAAAGGGCGAAATTTTTTGCGCAAAAAAAAAAAAAGGGCGAAATTTAGAAGAGAATAAAAAATGGATTTACCTGGTGCGCACATCAGCGAGTAGTGGAGACAATGACAACTGAATAAAGAAAAAAAAACGAATAACTAGCAATAGATTTATAATTATTCAAAAATTGTTTTTTTTATGAATATTAAGATTCGAATCATACATATTAATTCGCAGCTAATCAAGTATTTCCTTTCATAAATTTCATTTGGTGCGGAAAACAGTTTGCATTTTATTTTCTTCTTCTTTTCGCACCAATCACCAAAAGTATATGTGATAAAAATGGTATTGTCCACAAACGGATTATAGTCTGCTATCTTTTTTGTTTTCTTAAATAAAAATCGAAAAATAGCATAGAGACATGTAATTATTGGTTTTGACTCACTGTAGCTTCGTTAGCTTAAAGACAAAAATCACCGAGAACCCACAATTTTTTAATTATTTATTTATTTGTTTTTTATTTGAAGAGAGAAATTTTAAATAACTCCGTCAAAGTTCTCATTTAAGTTGTCGTGTTCTCGCATGATTCCTCTTCTTCTTCAGGATGATGAGACTTGAGTTTCTGAGACAGAAGGAAGAGCTTTTAAAATCACTTCTGTTTACGGTCGGATCCGAACTCCGGACTTCTTGGCTTTACGTACGATCTTGTCGCTGAGATCTTTGTTTTTTTCTTTTCATGGTTTTCGCGACAAAAGTTGTCCTTTTTCAAGTCGTCTCCTTAACGCGAGAAAACATCAAAAGGTTCGGCTTTAGATCTCTGTTCTTAGCACGATTTATGGATTTTGTGTTCTTGGTTTTTCCTCAGTGAAAGCGAGAGAGCGAAAAGGTGAAAAGTCCGAAATTTCTCGGCGTCGTTTATGAATCAAAACCCCCCACTTTGACTTTACTCTGTTCTATTTCTTATCTTGTTATCACTAAAAAGCCTAAAACTTTTTGTCTTATTGGTTAATTTTGTTTGCTCTTTTTTTTTTTCCTCGATCGATTGTGTTAACTTAATATGATTCTCTGGATTGCTTAGAATTGAAGCTGGAAATAATTCGAATAAGAGAAAAAGTTTTAACCTATTTCCACTTCTAGATTATCTGTGTTTGACTTTTGCTTTTCTGATGCTAACGCTTGTTTATAATTTTAATTCTGCTTTCTTCTATAGTTGCGTAAAAAGATATAAACCAGTGTATGAAATTCCTCTTTTTTTGTTAAGAATGTTTAACTATTATTAACCTTGTTAAGTTGGTCCACCGTTAGTGCTGAAATAAAAGTGACATTCCTAATAAGTGGAAACTTGACTTCTTGAAGCTTTTTTATCTGCTTAACACAAATTCCAATGATCTTATCTTCTAACACCATCCAAACACTATTGAGGATAAGGTTCTTTTCCGGCTAGGCAAGTTTCGATCTTTTGTTTTTATCGGTGGAAGATGAGGAATTGGGTGATAGTAGAGTTGCTTGAAGTGACAACCTCTTGTGTTCTTTTAGCAGTCACTATAGCTCATGTTTCATTTGTGATCTTTTTGGTGTTCTCCAAGGTCTTGGGGTCTTCCATGCCCTCTCAGATTCTTGATTTTGCTTTTGGTTTGGTTGTTTTTTAACAGATTGTTTTGTATTTCTTGATTTTGCAGTTGAGGAAAACATGAATTCAACATCGACACATTTTGTGCCACCGAGAAGAGTTGGGATATACGAACCTCTCCATCAGATTGGTATGTGGGGGGAAAGTTTCAAGAGCAATATTAGCAATGGGAACATGAACACTCCAAGCCACCTTATAATACCGAGTCATCAAAAACTAGACAACAACTTGGTACTTTTTTTGTTGTTGCTTCATTGTTCTTTCATCACTCTCTTGATGAAAAGTATGTCTTGTTTTCGGAAAACTAATAAAAGCGTTCATTGCTTGAAATCTTTTTTTTTTTTGTTTATAGTCAGAGGATACTTCACATGGAACAGCAGGAACTCCACACATGTTTGATCAAGAAGCTTCCACGTCAAGACATCCCGATAAGGTAATAATCACTACTTACAAATGCTTCTATCAGTTCTATTTAACCCTCTACTATACACTGAATCTTAATAACGTTACAGATACAGAGACGGCTTGCGCAAAACCGCGAGGCTGCTAGGAAAAGTCGCTTGCGCAAGAAAGTAAGAAAAAGCTTATTTGCTCCCTTAGAAAACAATCTTTTAAAAGTGTGTTTATTCAATTGGTAGATTCTTTGTTTTTTCTTTTTTCTTGAAGGCTTATGTTCAGCAGTTGGAAACAAGCCGGTTGAAGTTAATCCAATTAGAGCAAGAACTCGATCGTGCTAGACAACAGGTTTGACAAAATTAAATCTATATTCGTATTTTTATTAAATTTCCAAAAAATATAATGTGATTTCTTATAGAAAATTGGATTTTTATTTCAGGGATTCTACGTGGGGAATGGAATAGATACTAATTCACTAGGTTTTTCGGAAACCATGAATCCAGGTTTTGTATCAAGAACAATGAATCTTTTTAAACAAGAATAACATTTTTTTTAAACATAAAGATTTTGACTTGTGAAGAAAACTTGTTAATTGATAAGCAGGGATAGCTGCATTCGAGATGGAATACGGACATTGGGTTGAAGAACAGAACAGACAGATATGCGAACTAAGAAGCGTCTTGCATGGACACGTCAGCGACGTCGAGCTACGTTTGCTAGTTGAAACCGCCATGAAACACTACTTTGAGCTTTTCCGGATGAAGTCATCCGCTGCGAAAGCAGATGTTTTCTTCGTCATGTCAGGGATGTGGAAAACTTCAGCCGAACGGTTCTTCTTGTGGATCGGCGGTTTTAGACCCTCCGATCTTCTCAAGGTAGTTTTCTTGGATCGCAAGAAACACGATTTAGAGTTACAATGTTGAATCTTAATTTTTTGTATTTGTATTTCTAGGTTCTTTTGCCACATTTTGATATAATGACGGATCAGCAAATTCTAGATGTATGCAATCTAAGACAATCGTGCCAGCAAGCGGAAGATGCATTGTCTCAAGGTATGGAGAAGCTTCAACACACTCTTGCCGATTGCGTTGCAGCTGGACAGCTCGGTGAAGGAAGTTACATTCCTCAGGTCAATTCTGCTATGGAGAGATTAGAAGCTTTGGTCAGTTTTGTTAACCAGGTATATATATATATCTAATCTTTTTATTTATTTAGTTTAATTACAGTTTCTTGATTTGTTTGTATTTTTTTTATTTTATTTTTTATTTTTATTTACAAGGCTGATCACTTGAGACACGAGACGTTGCAACAAATGTATCGGATCTTGACGACGAGACAAGCGGCTCGAGGATTATTGGCTCTTGGTGAGTATTTTCAACGGCTTAGAGCTTTGAGCTCGAGTTGGGCGACTAGACATCGTGAACCAACATAGATTCAAGTTTTTTGAAAGCAACATAAACAAGGAGAAGAAGAGAAAGACCTCAAGAAGAATGAAGAAGATGAGTGCATCTGAAAACAGAGGATTTTACTCAGGATAATAAATGGTGGTGGGGTTGCTGCTGATGATTATTTTTATTCTGCGGCGGAATCAACAAATTTGAAAAAAACATGTATTGATAAGTTGTAAATATCAGAAAAAGGTGGAGGCGTTTGTTTTCCGGGTGCAAAAAAATTGTACTTTGTAGCTTTTAAAGAGACAAGTTTTTCGGATGTTTGTTTGATTATATAATTTGATTTCGAATAGATATATAGATAATAATGATACTCTCTCCATTTCAAATTAGTTGTCGTTTTGGCAAAATGTATCTGTAAATATTTTAATGTATCTGCAATGTAAAACATGTCTGGATACGTCCAAATATTTACAGATACATTTTGTCAAAATGACAACTAATTTGAAACGGAGGGAGTAATACATGTGTGTTTCGAGTTCGAGCTGTATATATAAAAATCCATCATTGTGAGTATTTTTAAAGTTTAAAACATTCACTGAAATCTTTCATTTGGATGACGGCATTTGCAATCTGGAAACTATCGGGAATATTTGGTAATTGTAAATAAATAACGGGCTTTGTCATAATTGTTTCACTCTGTAGGACCCTTTTTGCAATTTAGATAGTATTTGGATACATTTCGTAATTAAAGGTAAATAAAGGGGCAAACGGGAATATATAAGAGAAGCCTTATCCCAATGAGTGTCTTCGTTATCCTCAAAATTCGCGAGTAATCAAAAACTCCTCTTCTTCCGCCATAGCCAACAATGCTTAGTCTCTCAATTGCCTCGCCGGGGACGGCGGTGACTTTCCTCCGAGGAAATGCTTCCGCGAATTCAACCTCGTCTTCGTTCCACGGTGTCAGAATCCAGCACCAGGTTTCCGCTCGCGCGACGCCGGCGGCGACGATTGCTTCTTCGTCTCGTAAGCTCTCGGTGGTGATGATGTCGAAAAGAGAGGCGGAATTGAAAGATATCAGAGCGAAGACGACGGAGGAGCTTCTCGAGGAAGTTGTTGACCTCAAAGGAGAGCTGTTCATGCTCCGTCTCCAGAAATCGGCAAGGAACGAGTACAAATCAAGCGAGTTTCGCCGAATGAAGAAACTTGTAAGCTTCCTTTTCTTGGGTCGCTCACTGATTTATGCAAAATTAGTCGAAATGCTTGAAATTTACATCGATTCTGCTTTTGAAATTTACTGATTCAAATGTTTATAGAATCGAATTTCGCAGAGTCCAAGAGTGTTTGAAAGGTTTAAATACATTTGGGATTTTGAAATTGGGAATCTAATTTGAAGTGAATGTTAGCCAACTCTGTAACCAATGTTGATTAAGGTGGAAACTCATAGCTAATTTACCAGTTTTGTGATATATCTGATTCTGTTTTTTTTTCTGAAGGAGATTGAATGAAAAATTATAGCTTTAACATTCATCTCTGGGTGGAGTTTAGAGAGCCTGAGGTTATTTTTTTATTAGATATGAATCTTGAGCTTTGTGGGTATGTCTTGTTGAGATCTTGAGACATGGATGAAACTAAATTCAAGTTGAAATTTCTTGGCTTTTTGGGTTTACCTGTCTCTGTTTCTCGTTTCTGGTGATAAAGATATGTTCTTTTGGTTGTGGGTGATTTAGGTAGCGAGGATGTTGACGGTGAGAAGAGAGAGGGAGATAGAAGAAGGGATAGGGAAGAGGCTGTCGAGGAAGCTTGACAGGCAATGGAAGAAGAGCATTGTACCGAGACCACCTCCTTCTCTGAAGAAGCTGCAGGAGGAAGAAGCAGCAGCAGAAGCAGCTGAAGCTGCGAAATCTGCTTGAAAGCCGCTGTTGATTGATGGAGGATCTCTTCTTGTTGTTTACTTTGTCACTGTGTTTCTGTATCATCTTGTCTCTTGTTGTGTCTTTTGGTGTAAACTTTTCTCATTAAGTAGCTTGCATAAATGCTTTGAATTGAATGTCTTTGCTCAGATGTTTTATTTTTCCAGATTTTGTTTCTAATCTGACAGAGAAACGAGTATTAGCTCCTTTACAAGAAAAGTTACTCTTCTTCTTTATTTTTCTCCTAAAAACAGATTTCAGAGCAGAGTGATAAAAGGGAAATTCAAAATTGGCGGGAAACTTAAGAATCTATTTAGGCATCAACGGATGTTTCATTTCATATATCTTCTACTTGTTTTTCTTCATTACCATCTTTTGTGGAACAACAAAACTGCTGTAATAGCTGTGAACTGGACCACGAAGATATACCTAATACCGTACATCCAAGGATTAATTAGTCAAAAGTTATTTTGAAAAGATCTATCAACCCACAATTGTTTTATTTATTTATTTATATATGAACAATGGTCAAAACTGTAGATTTTTTCTTTCTTTTATGCGGTATGATCTGTTTTCCCAGAATCAGCTAAAGTTAAGTTTGACAGCTGCATTGTGCCTTTCACACGCATCAGTTTACACTTATAAATTTATATATCCTGCATTTCAAACTCACCAAGTCATCGAAGTATGCTGTGTGTTTCTGCGAAAAAAATAGTGTTCAAATGTTGAAGCTCTTTAAGATAAGCCGATGTAATGTTACGTACAAGAGGCTTACGACAAAAATGCACATCTAAAGAAGGTTTATGTCTTTATGAGGTATGCATATGAATAGCATCATATATATTGTCTGTTGAAAGCTTTTTCTGAAAACCTGTCTTACCAACTCCAGTCATGTGCTTAAAAAGGTTTGCACAGCTTTTTATGATGCTTTTGACAAGATTATTCTAATTATATGCAAGCGTCTTAATTACATATATATTCATGCAATTAGATCCTGCTTGGTACTTCTGGATCACCACATGTGACTTTTAATTGCTTTTCATGCAAAAAGCTTCCCAAGTGTTTGTCTTTCTCTTAATACTTTCGTGAAAAGACCAAACCCTTTAGCCTGTTACTCTAACTACTATCTCCTTAAAAGCAACAAGGGTCTTTTAGATTTTCTTATTAATGTCTTCTTCTTGATGCCTGTGAAGGAAATGATGAACAAGACCGACTCAACATGACTTTCCAGGTTTGTTGATGCTTATATATGCCCATTTCTTTTTATAATCATTCACCATCTTCAGCACCACTTTTGATTCTTTTCACGAGGCAAATCTGATTGCTTCTAACATATATAGTGTAAAGCAGCTCTAACATGATTTTGAGCTTGGCTAGGTCCCGTGTATACGCATCATGAAAATGGTGACATGACTTATCCATCTAGGTTGAAAATTTATAATTCTTTTCATATGTGCTTGTTTTGTGGTTGCAATATACTCTTCTTGATTAATGTGAAAGCTAGAACTTCCATTGATGCATCTAAAAATGAACATACTATGTAATTAAGATATCATAATGCCATTGTCTCCCTCTCTTTCTCTTTCACTGTCTTTAGCTGTAAAGTGATGTTATCATTCACTGAAGAAATTTCGACACCTAAAATTACATGTAGTGGTTGATGGCTAAGAAAACAACGCTTATGACCCACACAATGTGGTTCATATATATATATATATATATATAGATAATACTAGAAAATGACTTTATTTTATAAAAATTGTAATAACTCTTATTCTTCCTGTAAACTCTGTCCCATGTTTTTGAGGGTAGTTGTGATATTGATGTAAATCTAGCAGATGTTACGTTTGAGAGAAGTATAATGCTGCTAGAAGATTTTGAATCGTAAGTTCTTGTCTTGATTTACTGATATTAATAATCAGATAGTGTCTTCATAAACAAAGAAAATCAGTCTTTATAGACCAATTAGTAACAAGACCAACACCAAACAAACTCTACTGACCCCACATCTAGACTTCTTGCTTTTCCAACAAGGTTGTTTCCATGTGAACAGTTGAAATATAAGAGTCTTAACTTTGTTGTCTGAATATTTTTATGAACTCGAATCTTGTTCATGAAATAAGATTATCTTTGTGTGTATGTCAGTATGTGTATCTGACTAATATAATTCCGTGCTGGATGCACACTTTTCACATTTACAGACAATAGATATAGGGAAGAGGAGATAATTTTTTCAAAGGCTGTTTGTTTTTAAAGTCACTAAGTCAGGGTTTAGATGTGTTTGTTAGGAACTTCGGAGAAGAAGAAAATCAGTTTTGTTAGCTGACATTTACAACCATTTTTTATATTAGAGGAAAAGTACGGTTTAAGTGACATACGTATTATTTTATAGTATGAAACTAGTGCCTTTCTTATTTCTTTAATATTTAGTGTACCTGCTCCTTAAGTGAGATTGTGGTCCACTCACTCTTTGAGAAACCCTAGATGACAAGCAACTCTAAATCTCTCTCTTTTTCCAGAAAACTTTCAAGATTATCTTTGCAAAGTCGGCACCATGAAAATTCTTACTGTTTTTCGCGAATGACACTCTGAAAAACATCACTTGCTAAATCTGACAAGCTTCTTGGGGATACATTTTATTTAGTTCGTAAAATAGAGTGAAAGTATCGCAGAGTCTTGCCTCCTTATGGTGTGAAAACGTTTCTTTCTCCAAATTTTCTATATCTTTCTTACTTTGACTTTTCTGTTGAGGACAAGTTAGTTTTTTAATAGGAAACTTGCAGGAAACCCTAACATATACTTTTTGGAGAAGACACGGAGGAAAAGACAAGAAATGTCATTTTGGTCCAATGCAGAGGCAGTGTGGAGAAAGTCTTGTTAGCTAGGTTTCAAAGATGGTAGAGATTTTTAGATCATTTTTGTACCAACCTCTCCTCTAACAAGCTCCTTTTTCGTTGCCAAAAAAAAATCATCCTCTCCATTTTCAACAAAAATATGTGTCACATCGAGCCAGTCACCATAATCAACAGTAACTACTTCTCTTCTCATAATACAAAGCTCTGTTGCTGCTTAACTGCCTATGCATTTTTGGAAATTGTGTTTTTCAATGAATCATATATAGTTATGTGTTTAGAATGAATTGATACTTATATAGTCTATAGTCTGTTGCCGGTTTCTGTATTTTAGTTTATTTTTTCTCACCAGAAAAAAAACGTTAATTGAGTATGAAATCTCTGTAAGTATTACCTAACTTTGCTATATTAGGACTTCCTCAGGATCAAAAGATGTGTGTTGAACAAGAATTTAGGACTTATGGTTTCCTTATTGGGACTGCTTTCTTTTATCTGCTTCCCCTATATGATTTTCAGAGACAAAGCTCTTAGTGCTCAATACGAAAGAAATACAACTCGAATATTTCTTTTTCTACATATAGTAGAGAACACCAAAAATACATAATAAACGAGTCCATGAAAATGTGATGACGCAATTGAAAACCTATCTTTGCGTGCCAAAGGAGGTTTCTCTCTGTCCATCCTTGAGGTGACATCTGTTACTGGCGCTGACTTCTTCTTTAAATCGTTGGCCAATGATTTTAAAGAATGATTTGAAAGAGGTTTAGTTTAACTCTCTTGTCATATTCTTATACATACGTAGTTGCCCTTGGCTTCTTCTCTCCCACCTGAATAAACATTTCTGTAGAAACTCTGGCTATGCAACTGTGATCATGTTTCTATGTTTTATGTTTTCAGGTCTCTAATGATGTTACTCCGTACGTGAAACCACAATACCACATGAACTAAGAAGATTCGTCGTAATGCTTAGGACTGTAAAACTGGTTATGCCGTACGTATATGAGCGAGTAAAGAAGAGAAAAGTAGAATTTTAAAAGGTTGAAAGCGACATGGGTTTGTTTTGCTATGCGAATAAGAAAGAAGCACGTGGTGAGTGGACATTGAGGGAGGCTCGACTAAATACAAATAGAAATAAGAAGCAGTTAGTGGTTGTGAAGAAAGGAGGCAAGCGACCAAATCTTTGCAAGAAGAAATATAACAGTAAAAGAGAGAAGGTAAACAAGAAGAGAGACAAACATGGGAAGATCTCCTCCTGGCTCAGATCATGAAGCTGGTCTCAAGAAAGGTCCATGGTTGCCTGAAGAAGATGACAAACTCATCAGTTACATTCACAAACATGGCCATAGCAGCTGGAGTGCTCTTCCCAAGCACGCAGGTCTTAACAGGTGTGGCAAGAGTTGCAGACTACGATGGACAAACTATCTGAGGCCTGATATCAAGCGAGGAAAATTCTCTCCGGAAGAAGAAGACACCATTCTTAACCTTCACGCCGTTCTTGGCAACAAGTAATTAAACACTCTTTCTAAATTCTTGATGTTATTCTGATTTCTTGTATCTCAAGTTGTAAAGGTTTCTTGATTATATGATTGATTTTGTATAAGGTGGTCAATGATTGCAAGCCATTTACCTGGAAGAACAGATAACGAGATCAAGAATTTCTGGAACACTCATTTGAAGAAGAAGCTGATTCAGATGGGTTTTGATCCCATGACTCATCGTCCAAGAACCGATGATATCTTCTCAAGCTTATCTCAGCTTTTATCTCTGTCTAACCTAAGAGGACTTCCTGATCTACAGCAACATGTTCCAATTGAAGATCAAGCTTTACTCAATCTCCAATCTGAGATGGCTAAGCTCCAGTTAATCCAATACTTCCTTCAACCTCCATCTCTTCCTCCTATAACTACTAGCTGCAGCATTAGCCCCAATGACTTAAACATTCTCAATCTCCTCATCAAAGGAAACTCCAACACCAATAATCTTACTTCTTACCTTCAAGACTTCAACAACAACCTCCCATCCCTCAAAACCTTGGACGAGAATCACTTGGAGTTGGATCATAACAGTTCTCCAATATGGCTCCATGAACCACCGAGCTTAAACCAAACCATGTTGCCTTCTCATGATGATTTGGCTCAGAGCGTAGATGGTTTCAACTGCAACCAGGTCTCCTCAAGCCATGATCAAGAACTAGCAGCTGCGGCTTCTGTAGATTGGCCTGATCTTATCTTTGATGACTCCATATTTCCTTATCAATCTTGAGGTATGTATGTATCTATGTATATGTTTCAAAGGAACTCGGCTGGATTCGTTTGGAGTTTGTTATCTTTATATGTTGATTCATCATGTGGGCAATGTAAATGTGTTGTTATGTATAACTCATCATACATGTTGTTAATTTATGTTCTTCAATCTTCATAGAAACATTATTATATATGTAAAGACAAGGCTACTTGTTTACCTATTAGGCGATACGCCAATTTCCTTTTTTTTTTTCAGGCAATTTGCCTTTTTTATAGCTAAAGAAAAATGAAAATCGATCGCTTGATGTACAAGTTACGGCTTTGCCTATATATTAACCTAATAAGGGGTCGTCGTATTATTCATTCTCCTTCGAGAAAACAAAACGACATGATGGAAAGTGACAAGGAAGAAGCAAGAAGAGCATTGGAAACTGCAGAGAGGAAACTATCAGAGAACGATTACAATGGTGCGAGAGAATTCGTTTGGAAGGCTCATAAACTGTATCCAGAGCTCGTCGGTTTGGAACAAGTCTTGATGATAACACATGTTTACATGTGTGGATCTGATTGGTATGGGATCCTCGGAGTGGATCCTTTAGCTGACGATGAAACTGTGAAGAGACAGTACAAGAAGCTAGCTCTTTCGCTTCATCCAGACAAGAACAGGTTTCATGGCGCGGAAGGTGCGTTTAAGCTGGTTTCAGATGCTTGGTGTCTATTATCCGATAAACCTAAGAGACTAGCGTACGATAGAACAAGGAGATGGAAAGAAAGTTATCAGAAGAAGAGCGATTGGCCAAAAAACGAGCCCGCTTCTTCTTCCTTTTCTCCTTCTTCAACTTCAGCATATCATCATCAAGCACAAGAAAGATGGAAACAATGGGGTAAAAAGTTACGAGAAGATACAAAGCCACAAAAAGAGCAAGCTTCTTCAACTTCAGCATCTTTTGATTACGCAAAAGCTGCAGAGCGATCACAAGAAAGATGGGAACAATGCTTGAAGAATCAAGAGAAGATGTCGATGCAGCAAAGAAGAAATAGCAATATTTTGCACCAAAAAAAGGGAAAAAGCAATATTAAAAGAGAAGAAGAATTAAAACAAAACAAAATAGAAGAAGAAGAAGACGAGATGAACATTACAATAGAAGAAGAAGAGATGATGTTTTAGTAATCATATATTTGTTATATGGTTGTAAAATTGATATCTCGCAGTTGTCAAGTAATCTTGAATTTTTCTCTGAACCTCCTTTGCAACATACTTCAACAATAACTAAAATCATAAGTGCATGCAATTTAATCTATCGCAACTGTATGACAAGTGCAGCATGTGGTGCTATTATCTTTATATGTTGATTCATGATGTGTGCTAATGTCTTAGATTGATTGATGTTTTGAAACCAAAACTACTTGATTCTTCTTCTTCTTCTTCTTCTTCTTCTACTTACATTGTGAATCACACAGTTTCTATCTCTTGAACTGAATCAAAGCATTCTTCTTCTTCTATCTTCCACCGGATAATTCAATGGCATCTTGATTGTTAATCGAGTCTTCACCCCAATCAAATCTCCTCTGCAACCTCTGAAACTCATCTTGTCTCGTGACTTCAAGATTCTGCCATTCTTCCCATCTCTCTGCAAGCCCTTCTCCGTCAAGCATCCTCACAACATCCGACATCGCTGGTCGTTCTTCAGGATCTCCTTGCGTGCACAACAAGGCTACTCGTATCATCATCTCAACTTCTTCCTTCACATAATCCTCACCAAGCTTCTTATCCACAATGTCTCCTAACCTCTTCTCTCTTTCCAATTTCTTCACCTGAAACACCAAGAGATTTGATATTTCACCATACGAGAGAGTTTGAGAAAGAAGAAGCAAAAAAGATTCACTTACATGGTCTAGCAACAAGACATCATCTTCTTCCTCTAACCGAGAGAAATCAATGGCTCTTTGTCCGGTTACAAGCTCAAGAAGCATGATTCCATACCCGAAAACGTCGGTTTTCTCTGACGATTTCCCTGTGGAGATACACTCAGGTGCAATGTGGCCCATTGTTCCTCTAACCTGAGTGGTCACATTGATTCTTTTAACATCTACCAACTTAGCTAAACCAAAATCACCAACCACTGCTTCAAAGTCTTCATCTAGCAACACATTTGCAGCCTTCACATCTCTATGTATGATCTTAGGGTTGCAATGTTCATGAAGATACTCAAGTCCTCTTGCTGCTCCTAACGCAATCTGTTTCCTCCTAAACCAATCCAGAATCTGATCCCCACGTTTAATCTCTGCATATATCATCATAACCATCAAATCTTGATTTACAAGAAACATTTAAAACTCCTAAACAAAAAAGAGTAAAGTTTGTGTTACCTCTTAAGCGATATGCAACGCTTAGATTCTGCATGAAAGGATAAACCAAAAGACGTTCTGTTTGCGTAGTGCAGAAGCCGATGAGACGGAGAAGATTCCGATGAACAGCGACACTTATCATCTCGACTTCTCTCTGGAAAGCTTCGTCTCCTCCAGGACGTTGGGAATCAGTCAATCGTTTCACAGCGACTTTAGTGCCATCCAAAAGCAATCCTTTGTAGACTTTGCCAAAGCCTCCTTGTCCAAGAACGTTCTTCTCGCTGAACTCATCTGTAGCTAACTGAAGCTCTCTCCATGAGAATCTTCTCAACTGTCCAAACGCAATCGTTCTGTCCACTTCACCTGAATAAAAAAAAAAAAAGATTGGATCTTTCTCTAACTACAAACAAGAAAAAGATTTGATTATACATCTATCACACACCTGCGACATCTACAAATTCTTCACGTTTATATCCTTTATGCTTATCCTTGCAGAAGTAAAAGAAGAAGAAGAAGAATCCAAGGAGAATCACTGTGATCCCGGAGACAACTCCAGCTATGATTCCGGTTTTCGAATTGCTTGAATCATCTATCAGAGTTAAAAAAAGAAACTCTGTGTAATTAGATTATGTTCAAGTAAAGTAATAGGCAACAAGAACTTGAATATGGAAGTACACCTGAAAAATTGGACACAGATACGCAAGGTTGAGGGTAGATGCCATCACAAGTCAAGTTGTTTGCTGTGAAGCTACAAGTTTGTAGAAAATTGATAAATGAAAACTGTAAGCAAAAGATGTTGTGTTTGAGATTGAAGATAGTCATACTTACTTGTATTTTGAGATTTTGAATAAGCGGTGAGGAATCTCACCGCTGAGATGATTTGAGTCCAACAAACTGCAAAATATAGTTTCAAGCAGTAACGTTAAGAATACTTACTGAGGAACAAAAAACAGAAGACAACACAGAGAACAAGTTAACACTCACATGTTAACCAGTTTTGGAAGGCTTGTGAGTGAATCAGGAACAGTCCCATTGAGGTTATTCCTAGTCAGGGTTCTGCTCAATTAGCCAAACAGAGGAATTAACTATTAAGACATGATCTTTTATCATCCTTTTGTCACATTGATCTCAAACTCATTGGGAAGAAGAAGTTACTTACAAGTACTGGAGATTCTTTAGATTACCGAGCGTGGATGGTATCTGACCAGTTAGCTGATTATCCTCCAAGTCCAAGCTTGTCAAGCTCGACAGATTTCCAATCGATTCTGGTATCCCACCGGTAATTCCATTTCCTTTCAATGTACTACGAGCAAGAATCAAACAAAACTTTCCACCAGAGAGACTGATAGAATCTCAGAAGGAAATAGGAGAGTTTTTCTTACAGAGTCTTGAGAGATTTCAAGATTCCTATTCCTGAAGACAAGGTTCCGGAGGAGAAGTTCATGTAAGACAAAGTTCTGCAAAATCAAACAAACATAAAGCGGAAAGTTCTTTCCTCTCACCAATTCCATAGCTAAAATGTGAGTTATGACCGAATTTTGCTTAGTGTTATCAAACACTTACACAGAAGAAACATGTATGTTGTCATCACAATGTACTTGAGACCAAGTACAAGGATCGACTTGAAACTGGTTCCAATCACTTAGCTGTTCAGGAGATGCATGTAACGAACTCCTCAATGCATACAGCGCATCCCCTTAAAAACACGAAATTGCAATAGTTTTAACAAAATACATAGTTCTTTAGTTACAAACTTGGAAGTTACCAAAGAGAAAGAATGTTAGAGATTTATAACAATAAAGAAAAGACAAGGAAATAAATGAAATATACCTTGAGCATCTGGTGAGACAGATGACCATAAACAGGCAAACACCAAGGCAGCCATAAAAGCCAGAGCCATTTCTCTTAAGAGCTAGCAAATTTCATAATGCTGGATTCTGAGGATTTGTGCCATTCTACAAGAAAAGTTTCATAAAAAATTCAGCTTTTGAGATGGAGTGAATATATAACCTGGAAATGATTACTTTCTAGATTTAAACTCTATAAACTAAATATGTGAGGAAGAAAAAACGAACCTTTACAGTTGCCAAAAGATAAAAAATGGATTTTTCTCAGAGAATTCAACAGTTTTCACGGAAAAATAAAAAAACAGAGATCAAATCCAAATCTAAAAAGAGGCGAAATTTGAGAAACTGAGATTTGGGAACAGAACAGTTGGGTCCAAAAAAAAAAAAGAAACTCGAAGCGGAGAAGAAAATCCAAAAAGGGAAAAAGATTCACTCGGAGACTGACTTGGATAGTTCCACTTCCGAATTAAAACCTCTTTGAAGAGAGAGTTAAAACTCTTTTGTCTTTTCTTTTTCTTTCTTCGTTCCGTTACATTTTATTTCTTTTGTCTGTTAACGAAAAGTCTTACTATAAGCTAATCGCAATTATGACAGTCGCATTTGGCCAGTCAACGAGGAACAAAAAGGCCGACACTGGTCGTAAAACTGCTTTTCCTGCGTGAATTTAAAACAATTAATTAATCATGATGATGCTTTCAATGTGATTAATAAAGAAACAGGTACTCCATAGTGACATTATTTTAAGCTTTGAATGTGACATTAAGAGCGAGCCATAGTGGAGTGGAGTGAAAAACAAAAGTTGGGGTGAGAGAGGCTCGAACTCTCGACCTCAGGATCACTCAGTAGCTATGAGACCTACGCGCTAGCCAACTGCGCCACCACCCCTTTTGATTTAGTAGCTTTACATTGTTTTAATAATCAAAACTCTACACATATTTATTTTGTCGGTCAATGATCATCAGATTCAACATGTGAATGACGAAGTAGTTTCTTTTGTCTGAAACTTTGCACATTATCATCAAGAGGTCTAAATTAGAGGGAAAACTTGTATTTTCGAAACAGGTGGAAACTTCAAACCCAATACAATTATAAAAACACAGCAACGAAACCACATTTGAGTCATCCGTATTCCATGCTCTTGCTCTCTTGGCTCCAAAGGCTCCATGAACAACTTATCCATACAAAATCTTACACAATGTCGATCACTGGCTCTTGTATGTTCGCATTATGACTGGTTTATTGAAAGAGTATCTGTTTGGATGTTGAGGGCTCCTCTGCTTTATTAACTTTCTGTTGCTCGTTTGGTGCTTGCTTGTTACTACTGCTCTCAAACATCTTCGCGTTTTTGGCAATCGTTAGGATCAGCTCCAGTTGCTTTCGCTGTTGATCCTGCAAACCAAACAACCAGCTTCCATGACCTCAAAAGAAACTAGTACACAAACATCTTCAATCCAAGCATTGCAGAATCTTAGAAGTCACAGTTCTTCACACTGATTATCTACGGTTTGATGGATAATATACCTGCATAGCAAGAAGCACCTTTTGAATTTCGCCAAGCTCCTTCTCTAGAATCTCTTGCTGTGCAGCTAATACTCTTGTTGCCTCAGAATTCTTTTGAGCCAAAGCTGCAGTCTTTCGACAAAAACAAAACAAATCTCTTGAGAATTGAGATACACACAGAAAAGTTAAACTAAACTTAACATAAAGACAGCTGCATTGATCAGTCAGAATCTGAAAATTCGAAACTTTAAAACAACTTTTTTACTCAATTCCCAAAACACTACTTTTGAATCAGACTTTTACAGTAGAAGCATATGAAGCAAAGGCATAACCTTTACCTCAGAAATGGGTTCCTTGAGAGCTTTTCGGGTGACCCGAAACCGGATTCCCAATTTCTCCAGATGTCTTGACAGAACTCTAACAATGGAGGTCGAGGTTTTTAAATCATTTTCAAGTTTCTCCAACCTTCGGATTAGATTCGTCCCTTCACCGTCTCTCGTTCCTTTGCAAATCCTCATCCATTGCCGCCGTCTAAGCCATGAGCCAGACGCGACGGACCCAACCAATCCCACGAAACCTAACGACAAAACCTTTTTCCCGATTTCACCAACCACCACGAAATTCACAGCGAGAACCACCGAAATCGCGGCCGAGGATATGATACAAAGCGCCTCCGCGAAAGATATAAAGCTGCTCAAATCGAAACCGTCGGAATTGGCGGCGTCTTCGAGGTCGTCGATTGAAGAGGAGCTGACAGAAGACGCATTAGCTCTGCAATCACGCACGATCTCGAAATTTGATCGGGTCAATGTGACGTGGCGGAGGAGGATAGTCTGAGGGAACGATCTAGAATCCCGACGTGAAGGACGTACGGCGGAGACGGCGAAGCAGAGGTTGCTCCTGCTGATGCGAAGAGGAGTCGACGTCCCCGAAGAGAGAGCGTATCGACAAGGAAGCGATAAGGACATTATCGTCTTTTCGGATCTGCAACAAGTGACTGACTCAACCTCTCGGGTCACTGCAAGAAATGGCTACGACACTGAGGACCTCCTAGTGCGCATGATAGCAACGGACTTAAAATGCGCTGTTCAAAGCTTCATTTACTTCACAGTTTACAGTTAGACTCATTTTACAGAGGAGGTTAAAATGGAAGCTACAGACAAGAAACTAGGAGACAAAAACATAATTACTTGAAATGTTTTGGGTAGAACAGTAAATAATGGCTTACGTGAAGGTATTATCACAATTAGCGATAATTCAAGGATAATATAACAATTTCCGGGCTTTCCCAGGATAAAACAATAAATATGTCAAAAACAGAAGGGAAAACCAGAATTACCGAAATGACAAAGGGAAACAATAAATAACGATAAACTATAGGACAAATGAATAATTACGGAAATATTTTAGTGGAAAACCGGAAATGGAGTCAACTCTTTCATTTCACGGATTTTAGCTATCAAACCCAGAGGCGTTATATAACAGATGAGCCAAATATGACATCAAATGATCCATATCAAACGATATGAAAGATTATAATACCAGTCAAGAAGATTCGAAATGTTTAGGCGCAAAGTTCAAAAGGCAGAAAAGAGCCAAAGTCATTTAGAAAGCTCGATCACATATGGATATAAGCCAATACATGAATCCTTCTCTTCTTAACACATTATTTATTGGTAAGGCATGTAACGCATTGGCCTTCTGAACCTCGGAGCTTTCCTGCAAACATTTCACCCGAAAGAAAAAATGTTTCTTTAGTGAGAAGAGGAGAAAGCTGTGACCTAATAATATATGTCTTTGTGCTAAGCGAACTTACCCGTATCCGTATGGAGAATACATGTAAGGAGGCATGAAAGGTCTGCGGAACCTGTAGCCCATGTATGGGTTGAAACGCCTACCGCGGAACTGTTTCAATCCAGGAACGTTTGTTCTCTTAGGCAAGACCTGAAACCCACAAGAGAAGACGATGGAATCACAAGGTTCTACTACACTTCATGGTCATAGGCTAGCAAGAAGGAAACATTTGGAGTACCTTTAGTTGACGACCATGTAACTCTGATTCATTCAGTTGCAGTGCCTCTTGTACAGCTTCGACTTCCACAAACTCCACATAAGCAAATCCTTTTGGCTGGCCGAATTTGTCTGTCAGAATAGTCACCCGATGGACAGTGCCGCATGTTTGGAAATGCTGCTGCACTTCTTCCGGTGTACATGCATAATCGACCTGCATAGTCAAATTTGCTGTTATAGAAAGTATACGACAAACAAGCATAACCCGTGGAGTCTTTCACTGAGCACACATAGACTATTATATCAAATAAATAATTTCAGCGAAACAAAGTGAGACACTGAACAAAAACACCAAGCAAAGCAGAGTAGAAAACTAAATTACGTGTAAACTTCATGACATTCTTGGTTTTATGTTAGCACCAAACAGCAGCCTCTCACCAAATCTCTGCAGATAGCACCTATGCATCTTGACTAGAAGATATCCATCATCTTGATTCAGCTCTCCAAAGGTCATTTCCTCGAGGATGAATTATCAGTATGACATTTTCTTTTTTTCTATAATGTTTTTTTGCTCTAAATTGTATTCCCTCTTCTCTTTTTTTCTTTTTTTTTAGCTTTTTTTTTCTTTTTCTATAGCATCTTTTTTTTTATATAGCTTTTTTTCATCATGTTCCACAACAAAACAGAACAGATCTTTTCAACTCTATAAAAAGAAAAAAAATCAAGACCCCACAAGACCTAGTTGATAAGCCAGAGCTACTAAAACTTCACGTATAAGAACATTCCTGCGAGTGCAGTGAGAAAAGTTATAAGAAAAGCAAAACTCAGCATAAAAATATCTAAAAAGGACATCCTAAAATTTTAGTAGGCATATTAACATATGAAGTCTTCATCTCTACCGCCTTTATAGAACCCTCAATATCACTAACAACATAACACCCTACATCTTCTCATTTGAATATAGTCTACACTCAAGTCACCAAGTTTACCATTCAACATTTACCTATTCTAGAGTGCTCATTGAACCAAAATTAATGGTTAACTAATGATATAGTCAAATTCAACACTACATCTGATGGCATAAGATTTAGAGAATACAATCATGGATCAGGAAGAGAGCATATCAAAAGAGCTAGTCATCTCGGCAAAATTCAAAGTCTAAGCACTTGCACACTAAGATCAGTAAGAGCCTAAGAGGTACGAACTATTTAGTAAACCAGAAGCAATCAAAGAAGAATAAAGAGAACAGAGTCTTACATTGCCAACAAAAACCGATCGAGCATCCACCTCCTCCTTCCCTGCTTGATTTGCTGCAATGCTAGCAGGATCTGCATAAAAAAAAAAAAATCGACGAAAATTGAAGTTACAAATCAAAACAACTGCTACACAAAGAGCTTAATTCGTAGCTCGTGGAATCCAAATTAGATCCAACACCAAGTAACAATCAGAAAATAGTAGCGAATTACGGGAAGGAAAAGGAAATCAAATAGAAGAAGAGCCTAACCTTGAGCTCCCATTTCCTTCTCGACCTTAGCCTGCATCTCACGCAGAGCAGCAGCCTCATCCTCCATCTCCTTCAATCGCTTCTTCATCTCATCCAACTCCTAGTATCAACCAAAATTACACTAATCAAACAGTTATAAACGCGAAAACTAATCAATCGAGCACCGATCAGATTCCCGATTACATCACGACGAAAGGTAAGAGTATGAGAGAAGAGTAGCAAACCTTAACGGCATCATCATCAGCAGCAGTCATGTCCATATCAGGATTAGGAACTTCCATATCACCATCCATCTCTCCGACGTCGGGAATTTCTCCCCCATAAACCTCGTGCTCCTCTTCCTCCATCGTCTCTCTCTCTCTCGCTGTCTGTCTCCGTCGCGACGTTTGCTTTTTTCTGCTGAAAAACGGCTTAGGGCACTTTTTGACGATTCGGATAGTGACACGTAAGCATCATATCTGGGCCGTTTATTGAAGATAATCAAAAGGCCTTTAGGCCCAATGTTGATTCGATCCTCGTATTATCTGAAATCACCTTATCGATGCCAAAAACATGCGCCTGACGAAAAGATAATTGTCGATCTGTCAAAATCTCACCGCTAAGATTCGAACCGTCAGAATCGAACGATGAATATTTAAACACGTCACCAAATATAAAAAATATTGACCAATAGTTGACAACGACGACGCCAAAAGACGACCGTATCAGATCTCTGCGTTTAAAAAAGCTCCTTTTTCTGTTTTCTTCATCTCGCTTTACGGTAAAGCTCGCTCACGGAGGATTTTTTGAAAATTAGAAACACAGGATTTAGCGAGAGGTTGAAGATGGCGAGTGGAGGAGGTTACGGAGACCCGTCGCAGAAGATTGACTACGTGTTCAAAGTGGTGCTGATCGGCGATTCGGCGGTTGGTAAATCGCAGATACTGGCTCGATACGCGAGGAACGAATTCAGTTTGGATTCGAAAGCCACCATCGGTGTCGAGTTCCAAACTCGGACGCTCGTTATCGACCACAAGAGTGTTAAGGCTCAGATCTGGGATACCGCCGGTCAAGAACGGTAAAATCTCCGACGACCTCTCTGGAACTTTTTTTTGCTTTGAATCGCTCTTCACTCCGGTTTGCTTGAAACTTAGATCTCGTAATATTTCATTCAATTTCTAGATCCGATAGATAGTAACTCAGTCTAGGACTTCGAATTCTGGTAAATCCTGCTGATCTGTGTACTCAATTTCGACAATTTTCCGATTAACCGTGAACACTCGTATCTGAAGTAGAATCGCCGAACTTAGGAAGCTGAGCTATTGAGATTCTGTATAGACTAGGCTTAATCACTCTTCCAGCTTCTACAAAGCATCCATCCATAGCTCTTGAGACTATGGAAATTGACATTTCACTGCTAAATGGTTTTGATCTCAGGTCTTTAGCGTCATTGTCAATAATCAATAGCCTAAAACTATGTAATATATCATAATCTCCACATTTCAGGCTTTGATCTGTAGTGACTGACTATAAATAGATACATTCTTATACAGATTTTCTTTATTTATGTATTAGTGATTTTGGTTTCTTGTATCGAACAGATACAGAGCGGTAACGAGTGCGTATTACCGAGGTGCGGTTGGGGCGATGCTGGTTTACGACATAACCAGACGCCAAACGTTTGACCATATCCCTCGATGGCTAGAAGAATTGCGAGCTCACGCGGACAAGAACATTGTGATAATCCTTATAGGGAACAAGTCGGATCTTGAAGATCAACGGGCTATTCCAACGGAAGACGCTAGAGAGTTTGCGGAGAAGGAAGGATTGTTCTTCTTGGAGACGTCTGCGTTCAACGCAACCAACGTTGAGAGCGCTTTCTCCACGGTTTTGAACGAGATCTTCAACATTGTGAACAAGAAGAGTCTTGCTGTGAGTGAAGAGCAAGATCACGGGTCGCTTGCTGGTAAGAAGATTGATATTGTGCCAGGTCCTGGTCAGGTGATACCGAAGAAGAGTATCATGTGTTGTAACTCTTAGATTTTTAAATACTTTGACCAAATTCAATTCTTCAAATTTACGTAAGATATATATATATAGGTATTTTTAAGATTCTGGTTAGTAGTATATGTGCTTCTATACAGAGTCTGTGTTTGATTAACAGCTTTTGTGGGGTTTTTGGGTATTGAATACAAGAAAAATGTGATCTTATTCTGAACTAAAAACAGATCTAAAATGGTCAAACTAGATTTCAATTTGATTAAAATGGATTTGCAGTCTCAAAGACTTGGAGCCTTCTTAAGTAAGAAACATTTATTCCATCTGAGTAACATTTCGAAGCCTAAACATGAATTGAGTACCGCTTATCAAATATCTCTTCTCTGCCAAACTCTCAATCCTCCTGGTAAAACTATATACAAAGCTTCTCTTTTTCCTTTATTCAGCGACCATTTCTCACTAGTTACGGACAAGAGGAGAAAAACAAAAACAGAAAGTCATCCCAATTAATTAAAAACCCCACATCCGATTCTCAATTTGTGTATCACAATTCTGAGAGGTCCTCTCTCGATCGCTTGATTCTCTCTGATTTCAGGTAAGCTTCGAATCCTGCTCGATTCTTGTATGGTTTGATCCTAAATTTCTGGATTACTGATCTGATCTGAAAGCTGTGAGACATCTGTGTACAATCGGCGATGGAATTTTCATTTTTCTATCTGATTAGAAGTTGATCTTCTATTACTTCTTCGGGCATTTCTGTTATCGGTTAAAAAAAAATTGAGAGGAAAAAACGTATTTTGTTAATTCTCTGTTTTGCAATGCCTCGTTTGATTAGTAATTCGAATCCTCTCTGTTTCCTTATGCACTGGGTTTTTCGATTTGAAATGAAATGATTTGGTTTTAGATAATTTTGCTGAAAATTGGAAGGAGAAAGAGAGAGAGAGAGAGATCCAATGGCTGGAGCAGCAGAATTTGTTGAAGCTGATAATGCAGAAGCAATAATCGCGAGGATCGAAACCAAATCACGGACAATTGAAAGCTTACTCAAACAGTAATTTACCTTAAGAGTCAAACACCATAAAGTTCCCTTTTTTCTTCTTCTTCCTTGTAAGACCTATAATAGTTACTTTGTTTGTGAAGGTACAAACATGTGGAAGCTCTGAAAACAGCTCTTGAAGGCTCCCCTCCCAAAACTCTCGATGAACGTTGCAAGGTCTCTCCTTTCCTCTCCCACAACACTTAATAACCTCTCTAGTTTGTTTGTTCCTGACCAAATAATGGTTTGCTTTTAAATTGCAGTCGGCTAATTGGATAGTTGTGCACAGAGCTTTAATGGCCATTAAAGATATTGACGGAATGCTCAATGCTCTTGATGTCGAGTACTACGACACTCTCATGAAGTAAGTTCCTTACTGCAATCTCATCTCTTTTTGAAAAAGTAAATGTCTTTTCTTGTCTGGAGGATTGCATTTGGAGATATAACCATGTTTAGATTTTGTTTCTGCAATGGTAGCTTCATGAGGTCAGTGTTAAATCTTTTTCTTTTGGTTGAATGGTGTGGAACAGGTACTTGTACAGAGGCCTCTCTACTGGGGACAGACCCACATGCGATCAGTGTTTGAAGATTCACGAGAAACTAACAGAGAGAGCTGGTCTCGGTTGCATTCTCCGTTGTCTTACTGATACCCTCAACACCGTTTGATCCAATGATTTGTATTGTATTACTCAAAAGACAATGAAGCATCATGTCTCAGTTTCACAGTATAGTTTTTAGAAACTGGAATAAACCGGAAGATACATATCAATAACCGAAACCGGTTTGAGTTTATATCTCATAACCAGGAAACTTAGAATCTTCCGGCGAAGCAAGATCGAACCAGAGACATACTGGTCCAGCTAGTCCCCGGAAAAGCGAATAATCACGTTCTGTTTCCTCCCTCGTATCACAACACAAGTAACTCGCGAATGTTTTTGCTCTCTCTTCATACACAGCATCTCCGGTTAACCGATAAAGCGACAAGAAAGCGTATGCGTTACCGGAAACTCCATCAGCTAAACCTACCTTGTTCACCAAGCCACTCTTCCACACTACTTCCCCTGCTTCAACAGCTGCTTCTCGGAAGTCTCTTTCCTTAGGAAACACTTGAGATGCTTTAGCCAAAGTAATCGCCATGCAAGTTGCTCCATGAGCCCATTGGACAAGCTTATCTCTCGGATTCCCTTCGCTGCAAGGATAGTTCCCGCTGTTTGAGAACCTGTTCTTCATCATGTACCTCAACGTCCCTTGAACATCTTTCACATCCTCTTCCGATAACGGGAAATGTAACAGCACGTGCAAGATTCCAGCTAGTCCATTCGCAGCACCCCAAAACCTTGTCCCGTGAAACCTGTATAGCAGAGGGCAAGCTTCGTGATCCGCGGCTCCAACACGTCCACCGGATAAGATGGCTGCGACGATGGGGGATAAGAGATGGTGAGGAACAGTGCCTTCGCCGAGATATCGGTTTAGGAACAACGCAGCCCAGAGGAAACCCGCTCTTCCATAGAGAAGGTCATATGACATCCCAAATCCTCCTTCCTCTGGTCCTGCTGGTAACTCTCTCTCTTCTGCTACCTGTTTGTACAAAATTCATAAGTTTTAATAATGTTAAGATTCTTGTGTTATTAGTGTTAATTAATTAAACCAAAATATTAGTCTATAAATAAAACACATCACTTTTGTCTGAATTTGGTGAAACTAAAAGAAACGTGAAAGTAGTTAGAAGTGAAAGAGAAAGTTAGCGACCTCAAGAAAGAGACCGAGGAAGAAGTCACGCTTTGATTGGTGCCCACTGTAATTGGCTACGACTGCACCAAGTGCATAAACTCCTCCTCTTCCACATAAAAACGTCACGTGCCTAATATGTTCATCATGAGCATAATAAATCCAATTATTAGTTTAGAAATAGACAAACTTGTTCCAGTGTGTGTGTGTGTAGATATTATTCCATAGATTGCAAATTTACATACTCCATTAGTCAATAATAATTGGTCGAATGTGACATTCTGCTCCACTACTTACTATTTACTACTCATTCCAACTATTTTTGAGAATACTAGTCAAAAGTGGTACAATACATTTTTGGTTTTTATCAAAGCTGGATTTTAGACCGACGTTTAATGAACTTAGCGGCAAAGATATTTTCACCTGGTTGTGGCACGTGGGATGTTGGCACACGTGTCGATTATATCAGCGCAAATTAGCAGATCCTGATGGTTCCTCGTGACCTCGTACGACTTCAAGCAAGTGAAAGCTGTGCCGAGTAAACCTGTGTAAACAGTCGGATCCAGAACCATACCCGGATCCGTAACACCGCCTTTCCACGTAGCTTCTATAACCTGTACATACACGGACCAAGAGATACACATGAGCCATGTACGGACTATGGCTTACGTTTACTACTTTGTAGTCTATATGGCGTCGCGAGCTTCTTGTCTAACGCACCTGGTCCTTGAGTAAAGTTGCTGCTCTAAGAAAAGATTCCCTCGAGAGAGAAATTGTCGGAGCCGTTGGTTCGGAGGAGGTTCGTAGAAGCAAATGATCAAGCTCGCCGTTATCTACTGCCTCTCCGCCGTTACCATCGTCGCCGCATCCCCGTTGCTCCGCCACAATCTCCACCACTGACGACGACATAGCTCTCTCGATCTCTCTCTCTCAATCTTTGATGCCTTTAAGTAAGAGAATCAGATACAAACACCGTTTGTATATAAGAGGGTTACTTTACAAAGGACGCTATTAAAATACGAATAAAACAAAGGTAAATGCGAAAAATGGGGCCTTGATGGAATAGGATTCTTCTTCTGGTTACAGAGAACATGAAGGTGATACACGTGAACTGATAAATGTTTCACGTGTCATTATCTTGTCGGCTCCATCATTTTACGTAGCGACTTGCCGTTGGATCTGGCTAAGGGACAGGGACAGATAGCAAACGGTCCATGCTATCTTGCGCATGATATATGATGAAAACCATGTCTTATATACTGGATAATAATAAAATCTGAAAAGAATGCAGACATTTTTTATTAAGAATCTCAAATTATGGAAACTACTACAAAAAAGCTAATCGAATCTGTGATTATTTTAAGAAATTATGAAACAGATTAAACTACTCGTCTATTAAACCGAAAAGTGGGAACGCGTTTAAATTAAAGTTTATAATGTTGGCCCAAAAAAAAAATTAATGGCAACTTATCGGCGTTAATCAATAATCTTCTTTTTTTTTTTAAAGGGTCTTCATGGCGTTAATCAATAATCAGAAAAGGAAACACGTGTGGAAAACGTGAATCACGTTATATTACTTCACGCGGATGTATATACACACTAAAATCAATCTCCCCTCCAAATATTCTTCAAATAAACCCTAGCTCGCTAAGCTAGCTAGCTACTTCATTCGAAACCCTTCGTCGATCATGGCGGAACCTAAATTAAAGAAAACGCTAGATTCTCTAAGAAAACCGTCCATAGCCGCGGTTTTGCTCGGTCTGCTTTTGTTCTCCTATCCCAATTGTGCCTTTGCTAGGTCCGGTGGTAGGATTGGTGGTAGTGCATGGTCTGGAAGCTCTTCATCTTCCTCGTCTTCATACTCGACTCCGTCAAGCTATTCTTCCTCTTCTATTGGGTATTATAACCCAATCTATGTAAACTCGGCTACTTCAGGGCATGAGAGGATCTCACACTCAAACTCGGCTCCGTCGGCGCCGCATCAAACAGCGGAGTTGATATTATTTGTTCTGTTGCTGTGTTTCTTTGTGGCGGTGTTTTGTGTATGCCTCTCACTCTCAGATCGTTCACAAGATGAGAAAACTAGCGTCCTTAAACTACAGGTAACCTCTAGATTAGAAAATTCTCTAGTTGCTCATCAGAATTTTTGTTTTCCGATACTTTGCTATTGGAGTTTTATGTTTATTAAAGAAATCCTTAGGTGTAATTAAACTTCAAAATATTAGGACATGAGATTGAGAATTTTGCTTCTGTTTTCATATGAATTTGTGTATTTGTTTATGTATTCTCTCAGGTAGGGTTGCTTGGCGTGGGGAGGAAGTTACAAAAAGATTTCAATCGCCTTGCTGAAGATGCAGATACATCCACTTTAAAGGGTCTCAGCTATGTTTTAAACGGTAACCTATTTCTCAATGCATCTCTTCCCGTTTCGTATCAATGTTATAACATGAGATTTTGGCCATGACTTATATCTCTTTTTCTTTGGATTTGTGTCTTATAGAGGCAACATTGGCTTTGTTGAGGCATCCGGACTATTGCATTGCTTGTCATTCATCAGTAAGTCCACTTGTTCTTTCAAGACTAATTTGCGTTGCTAATACATTCATGGATGCATAAACTAACCACCATATATGTTTGTAACTTTCAGGTGGATGTCGAGTGTAAAGAAGAAGAGGGAGAGAAGCTATTTAATCAACTCTCCATTGAAGAACGGAGAAAGGTCGACGAGGAGACAGTTGTGAATGTGGATAGCATTAAGAGAAATGTCTCGAAATTTCGGACAGCTAGTGCACGTGGTCTCCCCGGCCAGTACTGAATATATTGTGGTACGTACACTTATTAAAACTCCTTGTTGAATGTTTAGTAAAATAGGATTAAGACAATTAAAACCATGTCTAGAAGCAACAGTTAACATGAAGTGTTGTGCATGTTCAGATAACAATCTTGGTGGCTGCAAAGGGTATACATAAACTACAACCAATAAACGGAATTGCGGATCTCAAGGAAGCTTTAAAGAAGCTTGGATCGTTACCAAGCAATCGAATAAAGGTAAGCGATTTTTGTACCCCTAAGTTCCATATCATGTAAAAAAAGTTTAGTCTTGCAAATGGATGATGTTGATAACAAATTGTTGCAGGCGGTGGAATTATTGTGGACACCAGAAGACGAGAATGAGGTTTTGTCAGAAAGAGAACTACGTGAAGATTTCCCACTCTTGACGACTTTCTAATTTTTTTTTTTTCAAACGGTCCTTGCTATCTTGCGCATAAATATATGATGAATACCATGTTTTATAGACTTAATTAATAATCAAATCTGAGAAGAATGCAGAGAAATTTTATTGAGAATCTCAGACTATGGAAAGATTAAAAAAGCTACCTGGTCGAATCTGTAATTGTTGTAAGATTAGATTATGAATGGAAACTACTAAACAGATAAACTACACGTCTACACTATTAAACTGCAATGTTGACGCAAATTATTTTCCATTTTTTTAATTGCAACTTAACGGACGTTAATCAAATGAGTAATTACTAGTTTAGTTGAACTGGAAACACATGTGGAAAACGTGCATCACGTGATATTACTTCACGCGGATGTATATCTCTATTTGGTAACCTGTCACGCGATTTTAAGTAACCGAATTTAATCAGAAACAAATTAATCAAATTCGAACCAAACCAGATCCACGTCACTTTATTCATCAGGTCAACCGACTCATACCTTTCCTTTTCTTTATATATATATATATATATATATATATATATATCCCCTGTACATAACAAATCGATCTCCCTCCAAACGTACTTCATTCATATAAACCCTAACAACTTCAAACCCTCGATCATGGCGTCTACTTATACCTTGCTCCAGTTAAGTACGGTTGTGCTCGGTCTGCTTTTGTTCTGTGATCCCAATTGTGCCTTTGCTAAGAAGACCGGTGGTAGGATTGGTGGTAGTGCCTTCTCGTCCCCGTCTCGAACCTCTTCTTGTACTTCACGGTCAAGCTCCTCTTCCTATTCTAGAACGTATCATGTGCCAAGCTATTCACGGTCTGAGAGCTACTCATACTCATATTCTAAGCCGGATGCGATCGATATTCTGTTTCTGTGTGTTTTATGCTCTGTGGCACTGGGGCTTTGTGTATACCTCTCACAAGGAGAGAAAACTAGCGTCCTTAAACTACAGGTAACCTCTCTATAATGTTTATTTTTTAACATCATGATTTTAATCACAGTGGGAGGACTCGAACCCTGGTTCTTGATGAGTCTTTCAGGTTTCAACCACTTATTTATTATGACTTTGCTCTTTATTTCGGAATTGATTTTAAAACATGGATTAGGAAATTCTCTAGCTGCTCATGAGAAATTTTGTTTTCCTATTGGAATTTTATGTTTATTAAGGAAACCTGTTGGGTTACTGTTTAGAAGACAGATAACTAATTTAATTAGATTGCAACAAAGAGTTTCTTTGTTTTTGTAAACTTGAGCCACATCGTTTAGCCCTAGAAGTTATTGTTTTTACTATAGCTTTGTTACATTCTACGAAGGTTTGCGATATGGTTAGGACATGAGATTGAGAATTTTGCTTCTATTTTCATTTAAATTTGTTTATTTGTATATGTATTCTCTCAGCTAGGGTTGCTTGGCGTGGGGAGGAAATTACAAAAAGATTTCGATCGCCTTGCTGAAGATGCAGATACATCCACTTTAAAGGGTCTCAGCTATGTTTTAAACGGTAACATATTCCTCAATGCATCTCCTCTATTCTTCTCGTTTTGGTATATGATCAATGTTAAGACATTTTTTCTTCTTTTAGATTGAAGATTGTGTGTATCTTTTGCACCATTGTTGTATTACAGATTTGCTAAATGTGTTCTTGGAACTCTAATAAAATGAGATTTTGGCCATGACTTATATATCTTTTTCTTTGGATTTGTGTCTTATAGAGGCAACATTGGCTTTGTTGAGGCATCCGGACTATTGCATCGCTTGTCATTCATCAGTAAGTCGATTGGTTCTTTCAAGACTAATTTGCGTTGCTCTCTATATATTCACCATTTTAGTTAACATGGATGTATAAACTAATTTCAAGACTAATTTGCGATGCATAAACTAACCACTTTATATATTTGTAACTTTCAGGTGGATGTCAAGAGTAAACAAGAAGAGGGAGAGAAACTATTTAATCAACTCTCCATTGAAGAACGGAGAAAGGTCGACGAGGAGACAGTTGTGAATGTGGATAGCATAAAGAGACAAAACTCGAGAATTCGGACAGCAAGCGGTTCCACCAGTGAATATATTGTGGTACGTACACTTTTTTGCAGGGTAACATTTACTTTAATTGGTTTAACAATTAACATGAAGTATTGTGCATGTTCAGGTAACAATCTTGGTGGCTACAAAAGGTGTACAGAAATTACAACCAATGAACGGAATTGCGGATCTTAAGGAAGCTTTAAAGAAGCTCGGGTCGTTACCAAGCGATCGAATAAAGGTAAGCGATTCTGTATCCTAAGTTCCATGCATAATCATGAAAACAAGTTTAGTCTTGCAAATGAATGATGTTGAAAACAAATTGTTGCAGGCGGTGGAATTACTGTGGACACCAGAGGACGAGAATGAGGTTTTGTCCGAAAGAGAACTACGTGACGATTTCCCACTCTTGACGCCTTTCTAGTTTTTTTTTTTTTCTTATATAATACCAATTAATAGAACCAATGACTATATATATACAGTATACTTATGATCTGAGCTTAATAGGGTTTTATTTTTATTCTTCATTATGTTTTCGAAAATGCGCAGCATGATCTCAAATCAAAACTTCATGCCTTCCCCATTTTCTCTTGCATTTTCCTCCAAACAAAAACTTTAATATAGTTAGTTGTTCCGTAATAACAACCATTAATCGATAATTGGCGATAAAATTATATTTTCGAGTATTAAAATCTTATGTAACTTCGTAACGCAAAAAGTTCATGATGTTGTCTATAACAAAAAACGAGTTGCATAAGAGAAAAACAATTTCTTATTTGGTGGTTGAAATTATTTAATACATTTTTTAATCGGACTAACCCCAACCATAATGAAGTTGGATACATATTTACGTTTTGGTTATATACAAGAGAAAGAAAAAAACAATCTGTTTCCTGCTTCATCCTCACATAAACCGAACCGAAATCGAACCAAGAAAAAGTATACGAAACTGATCAAACGAAGAAAAGTTTACAGAGAAAATAGACCTTCTCTCAACGGCGCGTTGCTCCCACGCGCACGTACTCAGAGACGACGACTCGAGCGATCTCGCTGATAGGCGTAATCGATACCTCTGAGCTCGATTGCTGCGTCGTTTCTTAATTGGTTGATTGTCTTGCGTCGGGAGAGATGTGGGTTTTTTATCTGATCTCGTTGCCTCTAACCCTAGGATTAGTTGTATTCACGCTCCGATACTTCGCCGGACCGGAGATTCCTCGGTACGTTCTTATCACCGTCGGATACACCTGGTTCTGCTCCGTCTCCGTTATCATCCTCGCTCCTGCCGACATTTGGACGGTAATATTTGTTTCCAAGTTCCCTTTTTGCTTGTTCTCGTTTTCACTGTTTTTGATTTGTTTACATACCCTGCGACTGCATTTTCGGATTGGAGAATTCGAATTAGTGCGATTAAGATTGAATTGGCTGTTACGAGCAGAAAATTATGCATCTGGAATTAATGAGAAACCTCTAGGAGTCGTCTTGCTTGATTTGGAATCGAAATCGTAGTTTATAATCAAAGGGGTTTTGTTCTGATCCCTGGAAGTTCCATATGATCGTACACAGGATTAAGATTTAGCTGAAGAATGTGGTTTCTGGATATTGAAATTGGTATCTAATATGGGAAGAGTTTGAGAGACTCGCTGAAGCCTAGTTGATTTGGGAGTCAACAAAATTTATGTTTAGGGATGATAAGCTTTGTCTCTTTCATGGTTGAGAGCTGTTGAGGAATACCATTTGACATTTTAATAGCTTACTGCAACAAACGAACTTCTTTATCAGATTAAGGAATCATCTGAAATGGGTTTCTTCATTTGTCTTCTTCTGTTCTGCAGACACTGTCTTTGCCACCTAATCGTCCTGAGAATGGGGCCATTTCCTTCTTGTGGAGTTGGTCTTACTGGAGTACGTTTCTGCTCACCTGGTATGGACTTGTCAAATTCCCCAATACCTTTTCAGTCGGGTGTAAATTTGTTTTGGTTGGCAGAATTGAAACTGTACCCATCATGAATATACATTACCTCATATAAGAAACTATGTTACCTCTAAGCAGGGCTGTGGTGCCCCTTATTCAGGGTTTCGAAGATGCTGGAGACTTTACCGTCTCAGAGAGATTGAAGACTAGCGTGCATGTCAACTTGGTTTTCTATCTGGTACTGGGATTCATTGGTCTTCTCGGCCTCATCCTTCTCATCATGATGCACAGGAACTGGTAATTTTTCCCTTCATGAATGAATATGCTTCTTATATATCGCCTTCGCATCCCCCATTACTGGACTTTTGAATGAGGAGTTGTTGTATGTTTACAGGACAGGAAGCATTCTGGGATATGCTATGGCATGCTCAAATACTTTTGGGCTGGTCACTGGTGCATTTCTTCTTGGATTTGGCTTGAGTGAGATTCCTAAGACGCTTTGGAAGAATGCAGATTGGACCACTCGCCAAAAAGTTCTCTCGCACAAAATTGCCAAAATTGCTGTGAAGCTTGATAATGCCCATCAAGAGCTTTCGAATGCTATTGTAGTAAGTCTTTTGGATTAAACAACTCCGTTTTTTCATCCGCTCAGAAATCCCTTCTCTGCTTTTAACTTGATTACGAAGATCATGTATGTGAACTTTGTTTGCTTGTCAGACTGTTTATGTCTTCATAACCATTGCCTTGCTAGGTTGCTCAAGCGACTTCAACTCAAATGTCCAAGCGTGATCCTATGAGACCATATATGAATGTTATAGATGCTATGCTGGCTAAAATGGTAACTTCTGATTCTCACTATCCTTCTGTTGTGAACATACGGGAGGCAATGTCTCCAATTTTAGTGATGATTTGCTTTATCAGTTCAGGGAAGACCCATCATTTAAGCCTCAAGGTGGTCAATTGGGTGAGAACGATATGGACTATGACACAGATGAGAAATCGATGGCAACGTTAAGGCGGCACCTTCGAAATGCTAAGGATGAATATTATAGATATAAAAGGTGTGGAGAGTTTTCTATTGGCCCTGTCTTAACTTCTTAAATACTTTGTTAGGAAAGAAATCTATAGTCATGTGTCACTCTGGCTGTTTGCAGTGAGTATCTGACTTATGTTACGGAGGCGCTTGTTCTTGAAGACACAATGAAGAATTATGAACGTCGTGATTCAACTGGATGGTCAGATTTTCTCTCTTTTCGACTCTCATACTATTTATAATTCTCTCTTCCGTTATCATAAACATGATACCTTTCACCTTTAACATTTTTGTTGCACCATTTTTCAGGATATATATTTCAAGCTTCAGAGCCAGTCGAAGCGGAAAATTGGGGAATCTTCTTGATACATTGGGTATACTCTTTAGATATTTTTGTACATATTCGCTTTCTGAAGGCGTTACTGAAGTAGAAAATGTAGTTAACTATACCGTCTTTGAGAAAGAAAAAAAAAAGCATGAAAATATCCTCTTTGACAATACTTTTGCGCATTGTTGCTATCGGCAGAATTTGTGTGGAGGTGTATGTTGAAGAAACAGATTCAGATGGTGTTGGCAATAGTTACTGGGATTATGTCAGCTGCAATTCTTTTAGCAGAGGCAACTCTCCTTCTTAGTAAACTGGACTTGTCCCTCTTCTCAATCCTTATCAGCTCTGTCAAATCCGATGAACTGCTAGTGCAGGTACGTTTGTACTTTACATTTTGTTACAATTCTCGCTTTAATGGAGCAAATTGCTTCCACTTTCCACTTAAATACTGATTATTTTTCTCTCAGGCATTTGCTTTTGTGCCTTTGGTGTATATGTGCATATGTACATACTATTCACTCTTCAAAATTGGGATGCTGATGATCTATTCCTTGACTCCTCGACAAACAAGTTCTGTTAATCTACTAATGATTTGCTCGTAAGTGACTTATCCTCTCCTTTTCAAAAAGATGAAAAAGAAAAAACTTTGATGCTTATAAATGGTTTATTTGTTGTATCTCTTTCAGGATGATTGCTCGATATGCCCCGCCAATATCTTACAATTTCATTAATCTCATTCAACTTCATTCCGAGACTATATTTGAAAAGGTATGTTTTGATCTCTCCCTTTGCTCATTTCTTGGTCTTAGGAGTCTTAAGGAGTCATGTTATAACTTACTATTTTGTTCTGCAGAAAATGGGTAGGATCGATGACGCTGTCCCAATCTTTGGACAACGGTTCAATGAAATCTATCCTCTCATAATGGTTATCTACACATTGCTAGTTGCAAGCAATTTCTTCGATCGCATATTTAGCTACTTTGGTAGCTGGAAACGATTTAAATTTCAAACAGAGTCCGAAGATATGGACGGCTTTGATCCTTCGGGGTTAATGATTTTGAAAAAAGGTAAAGAAAACACATTTTCTACATTTGAGCGTTGAGATCAATAACTAGTGATTCAATGTGTAATTCATCTTTCTTTTTTGTATGATGGTTAAGAACGAACGTGGCTTGAAGAAGGACAAAAGGTCGGCGAGCATGTTCTTCCATTAGCAAGAAACTTCAACGATGTTGACATTGAAGCAGTAAGCAACTTCTCTGTAATTTAATGTCAACTTCCAACGAGTTTTACATGATTTTCCCAAAAGCCTGACATTGACTTTGCAGGAAAATTCATCAGTTGAAATGAAGATGTCGTCGTCTTCGAGCTATGACATTGATTCAAGTTCATCGAAAGACGAGATGTCACGTAAATATGGATCAGCTAGAGAAGCAATCACTAACAAATACGCAGCCATTAGAGAACAGCAGAGCAGAAACTCTCCATCTACCGTCACAAAGCCAGAGACCATGGCTTCAGCCAAAGTGTCATTACTCGAGACAGACGTTTCGGGTCCAAGTAACGGTGACGGAGGAGGAGGACCATCAGGAGAGCCATCTTCTCGTTTGGCCTCCACGTGGCGAAACATGAAACTAGGAATCCAGAGTTTTAAAGAAAACGTAGCCACCAAGAAGTTTCTTCCACTAAGGCAAGGCCCAGAAACAGCACCAATGACAAGCACAAGCACAAGAGTGACGACTTCATCGACTCCGCAGTCTTTGGATGAGATATTCCAGAGACTGAAGAACCGGTCAGTAGAACATGGGCACTACCTCGATGACGATGATGATGTTGATTACGAAGATGATGTTCGTCGGTGAAATTGAAAAGAGACTGCATTTAACAAAAGATGAGTGAGAGAAAGCAAAGCAAAGCAAGCACCAGAGATTTGTTGCACCATAGTGTAGAAATATATTTACTGATGACAAAACACTAATTTGAATGTTAGAGGGGGCCAATTTTTGTGTTGTAGACTTGTATTTACTATATGATATATACTGTTGGATCATATCTTATACTATACTCTTTTCTTTCGGAATTCATGTAAGACTGCTACTAAAAATTCACTGATATGTAAAGAACGAATATATTTTTCTATTTCGAACATTGATAACTAGAAATGTACCAATAGTCTCTTCGGAGACGACACCACTATAGAAAAGTTTTCCGTTCACAAACTATCGACACGTGAGATGAGTAATGTGTGGCTTAGCAAAAAAATATTAAACAAATACGTTAGGATATTATTAATAAATCACTGATTGGCTGGTCAAATCCCAGGAAACTTCATAGCTATACGATCTTTTGGTCAAATTTCAATTTGTAAAGAAACAATAGTAATCAAAAGTTGAAACCAATCTCTATTTTCATAATATCAGAAATCAGAAATCATCACTATCATTATTTTCCTCCATTTGACCTCTTTTATGAGTTTATCTGTAACTGTACACATCCAAATTAAACTTTCAGAAAAGAAATGAAAACAAAAAAAAGCTAAAAATCGGTCATTTTCAATAAACTCTTTGCCGTGAAGTAACCACTCCGACGTCAGCACCACCGCCTTTCCCTTTCAGATGAAGCAACTTCGTCCAAAATCCAGTCTTCTTCTTCGTCGTCGTCGATTTCAGTTTCTCCGTCGTCGTGTTCTTCTTACTCTTCGAATCCCTAACGACATACGAATCCCTCGGAACATGAGCCATAGATCTGCTTTTCTTCAGCCCTCCACCTAGTGCTTCGATCAGATTACCATTCAACGCTTCCCTCACAGCGAACGACATCACATCGATCCAGTTTGATCTCTCCTCAGTGATATATAACTCCCATGAGAAGCGATCAATGTACACCCCAACCAACAAAAGAATCATGCATCAAGAATACTGCTGAGTACTTAGAATGAGAGATGGCCTGTTGAGTTGTTGGAGGTGAAACCGGTCCAAGAACTACTAACGTTGCTATTACCTCCCCATGTTGCATACTCATCATTCCCCGTCGAGTTTATGTTAACATTCCCCAAAAAGTTCCTCGATAAGTTATTCACTCCATTCCCATTCCTATCCGGAACTTGATCATTCTCTTCCGCCTTCACATTTCTCGGTTGTCCAGCGCCATCCCCTCTTGAAGCCATATCCATCAAGGGCTTTGACCTTAGCTGATTGGAATACTCACTACTCTCTTGTTGATGATCAGCTTGATTAACACCTCCACTGCCTTCTGGTAATGGATATAACACATTTGAAGATTGCTCCAAGCCTGTCGTGTTCATCAAGAAAGGGAATTGTTGACCTTGTTGCAATGAAGACATTCTCCATGGATCCAAGATCCCACTACTATAGCTCATCCTGCTCATGGCGTTGCTTATCTGAATTCCGCCAAAATCCAATCCAATATTGCTTGAATTGTACTCTCCAAGGCCTTGCAGAGGAGGCACGATTGGTAAGTTGGAATTAAATCCCGGGATTTGGCCGTAGTTAAGAAACTTGCTAGGGTTTGAGTAACTTGGGTGAGAAGTAAGCGACGAAGTATTAGTATTGTTATCAGCCGAGATCACAACCGTAGGTTTGGATCTCCCGCCGCCACTTCCTCCGTTGGATTTGCTTCTCTTGTTCCTTCTGAAGCCTCCTCCAACAGGAACATTCCTCAGGGCACCGCCACGTGTCCAATAGCGGCGACATGTCTTGCAGAAATGACGAGGCTGAGTAAGGTTGTAGTTATTGAAGTAACAGAACTTGGTATTGGTGGAGTCACATCTAGGGCACTTTAGAGCTGCTTCAGGCAATGGGACTTTCGCGATCCGAGCACGTTCCACCATTGAATTCACTCTGGTTTGGCTCGAGCCAGCCTGAGAAGCTGGCGGTGATGAGAACTGTGGTAAACTGAAATTAGGGTTCTGGTCAGTTGTGACACGGTCTATCTGTTGTTGGTTCCCTTGCTGCATAATACATACTTGTTAGGATTGTGATGAAGCAGAAACGCTTTTTAGAAGAAAGAATTTTGAGCTTAAAACATTGGTCGGAGACAAAAGAAAATTGGTATCATCTGACGGTGACCGTGGCCCGTCGACTCGGTCTCAAACTCGCTTGCGACGCGTTACCCAAAACACAAACCCACTCGTGCGCATTCGACTCTACTTCCGTATTATTTCATTTTAATATTTTTAAAGTATTTAATTTACGTAAACTTGATTCTGTGTATTTTATCTGTTTCTTGAAGAATGGTGCGCCGTAAACTTCAGTTTGGTGCGCACGTGAGAGTGTAGTCAAAAAGGACGACCATAGTTTATGGGAAAATGAAAAACTGAGTGACTTCTAGAAGTTTGTACGGTTCATGATCGTGGGAATGCGTGAACCTCTTTTGGATCGAATTACAAAGTAGATACTCCTGTTATCTAACGAATCCGGAACACAATATTTATTCGATGAACCTTCCAAAACATTAAATGATCGTCCTTTACTTTTTGTTCATTAACACGACTGACTCTACAGTATGTTCTATGGACCTTGTCGTTTCAACGAAGCATAAATATTTTAAAAATTCACTCAAGGTAATTCACTTCTTACGTTAATGTTTTTTTCTCTCGGTTAGTATTTTTTTTTTTTTTAACATACAAAAATAATAACGCTTCTTGCTTAAGAATACAATTGCATTTACAAAAATTGAATTGAATAGTTAGATTCATTCTGGAATGGTTTTAACTTTTATTCGTGTTGATGGAGTTTTTGTAGAGTACAAATATACATATACGGAATGAGTATAGTTTTATTCTTCATGTGATATAGTAATGGGCATTATAAATTTCAAATTGGTGTGACTCTGAATCAAAAGAAGACAGCATGGTTCAAAACCAAGTTGGGCTTATGGATAACTGGAGGCCCATTAAGCCTAAAAAAATCCACACAGAATCTAAAATAGATTGGGGTGAGAGAGGCTCGAACTCTCGACCTCAGGATCACTCAGTAGCTATGAGACCTACGCGCTAGCCAACTGCGCCACCACCCCTTGTTGTTGAATTCTAGACAAGCAACAATCTGTATCAAAAAGGTTCAGAGAAAATGCAACGACCCTTTTAAGGTACCAAAATTTAATAAACTACAATGATCAAGTACAATTGGTATAGCAAACTAAGGTAATCGAATACTACTATCACTATCTAGGTGTGTTGGAGTAATTAACTAGTATAGTGTTTTTTTTCTATTAGTAAACCGTGAATTGAAAGCGACTAAAATTCGTCTGAATATTTGCTAATAATGTATCATTACCTTGATTATCCAGCTCTAGGTTTCAACAAAGTAACAACAAATTGACCGGTTTACTGAATGACAATTTGGACACGGCCATAAAATGTACATCTTGATTCTTGCAAAGTTGCAATAAAACATTTGAAACAAAAAAAAGAGGTAAATAGTTAAGCCGAGCCGAGCAGAGTCGGCTGAGCGAGCCGGTGGATAAACGACCAAATTGGATGTTGTGTTACGAATTACGAGACGCGCATGAAAGAGCGCGTGAGTCAGATTGTTTATTAACTCCGAGGCATATGGATTATGGAAAGGGCAAAACCGCAAATGGTTACTGCTGCTTACGTGACAGCAAGGGTCAAATTTGGCTGACGAGTTAAATTGAGGGTCCCACTTTGTGACATGACAAATGCCAAGCATGTTTCTTTCTGGACCCCAACTACATCCCGTTACTGGAGATATAAATTTCTTACTTTGCTAATTGTAAACACGATTATAATTACTTCAACATTTTTTTTGTTAAAAGGTCTTCATTATAATTACTTCAACATGTTCTTAAACGGATACTCTGATTTGCTAAAAAAATAGTACAACGTTTAACACGGTATAAAAGCTTCGATTGTGGTATACCGCAGATCATTTAAAGTGTTTGTTATAAAGACTGCACAATCTTGATTTCAAATGCATCAATATCACAAAAATTTCAAGGTTTTTGTAAAGCTGTATATAGTTCAAATTCCAAACACGAAGCATGGTTGTTTTCTCATCAAAGTAAATTTCTATCTTGACTACCAGGGCCGGCCCGATCCAGTATTGCGCCTAAAGCAAAAAAAAAATTTGTAGCCCATGTAAAATATGGTTAAAATAATAATAAGCGGTTTCGGCATTAAAAGGGTTCGAACTCGTGTCCTTTGTAACTCAAAGCAATGTCACAACCACCAAACTACCAAAGACATTTGTTGTTTGGCGTCCTAAAAACCTTATTATCCGTTGGCGTCTAAAGCATGATGCTTTACATGCTTTAGGTCAGAGCCGGTCATGTTGACTACCAAACAAAAGTCTGACAATTCTCATAATCCAGATTAAATTACCATTTATCAAACGAACAAAAATACTGTATATAGCTATGCCGATTAATAATAATACTATTTGTATCCGATATATTTTAAAATGAAGATTGTGGAGACAGCATATATCCTGCGGGTATAAGCACATGCATGGTTGGGAACTTGGGCAGCATCAAGTTGGCATTACACAAAATTCTCGACCAAAATTATAATATGTCCTTCTACTTCTTTATTTGTTGTATTTTTATTTCTAACAGACATGCAGATGCAGTAGTATACTTCTATTATATTCTTGTAGCAAAACCATAACTTTTCTCTGTTTATTTATTGGATTACTTACCTTTACATTATAATTAAGGGCAATAGAAAGTCGACTTATATGCTTCAGCCGTTGATAGTCATTAAGAAACTATACACAACTGACAACAGCAAGGCTCGTTTTTCATATTTATTTGTTTTTGTACTTTTTTAATCTTGTGATAATATCTAGTTAATTTCTAATATTTACCTTTGATTTTGAGATTCCTAATACTTATGAACATAGAAGCATCCTATTGAGCTTGAAATATGCAACTATGCAAGCTATAATACTTGAGACTAAAAACCTTATACGTCACGATAATGGCGTATCAAAGATTCAAAGTTTAAAGTTTTAAAGGGATAATTTTATAAATAATCACGATTTGCAGATGAATTTTCCAATTAATAAGTGATGGTGGTGGTGTACTTATTTAATAACTTTATTCTTTAGGCCGTATCCATAGGTATGCCTAGGAGTCTAGGACTACGCGTCCAACAATGCAATAGGATCCTTTTTTTTTTTGAACGTCCAAATACTTAATTAAACCAAACCGGTTACAATAGGATCCTTGTAATGCTTTTACGAAAAACATTCGCCCATGGGACCGAATGGTTGTAGTACTTGCGCGATGTTTGAATGGTGAAAGAATCATTTATTCGATGTTAGAGTTCTAACTTTGAATCCTATCATCCATCTATAGTCTTTCACTGATAGCTCTCTTACGGTTGGAATATATGATGTTTACATGCTTGGAACATTAATTAGCACGAAGTGTTGATCCAATATCATTGATTTAGTTTGTAGTTCACTTGAATGAGAACACGTTGTTCACAATAATGAAACAATAGCATTTATAAATACAGTGTGTGTAGTTAACTACTAATATATTTATGCATGCATGCTTTCTCTCCAACTTCGTTTTAGCATAATAGATAGATCTTTGGATGAATAGATCAAACAAATGCCAAGCACAAGAAAAGGAGCAAAAGCAAAGATGCCCTCGAAACTACGATACAAACGTTGTTTAGACAGAGTGGAGCATGTCACCCCAAGTGTTAGCTAATGATCAATTATTCTATTGGCTTATCATATGATTTATTAATTATCAGACAGCCAATTATAGTTACAATTCACAATCATTCCATATTTTAATGACTATAGTGCCTATATGTTGGATTAAAAGAAGAATATGATTGTGGGTGGAAGTCGACGTGAACAACATCTTAGGTTAATTGTAGTTCTGCCGAAATATGTAGACCTCGTTTGTGTTAATAAATAATAGTATTAATCTTGTTCCTACCCAAAACTTAAGTTTTTTTTTTGGTCTGAATGTTAAGATTTATACCAAAACTTAAGTTTCTTTCTCTTCTTTTTTGTTCATCAGCATCTTTTTCATTTCCTCTATTGTAAACTTTTGTAATCGAGCGCTAGTTTTGAATAACTTTTTTTTGTTGACCAGAAAACAAACTTTTAGACGGCGGTAAATGATGAGCAATTACACACGTGCATGTATTAACCACTCCATTACCGTGAAAACAAAAAAAAAAAATCAAAAGAAGACAATCATAAAAGAAAGGGAATCTGCGACATACGTGTGTGTAATTAACGGTGACGCGACGGCGTTAAAGTGACGTGTTCGATGTAAAACGGGTCCCACAGCACATGCCTCTCCACCAATGTCTTTGTCTGAAAGGGAGTGTGCAAAAGTCTCGTGGGGTCCACTGGCTATACCCTTGGCCCCACCACAGCTTTTGGGTAGAAGATCTCATGCAGATCTAACACGTGTACGGCTGTCACGTCTTGAAATTCGGTGATCAGGATACGTATCGCCGCATGGAGATAACATCTCACAAAAACAATTGTTTTCTGAAACTCGTTCAACAGAACCCCATGTGCATCTATCTCTCCACTTCGTCTTGTCTGACAATTTTCATTTTTTTTTTAATTTGTTTTCTTACCAAATTTAATATTCATATTATTTCTTACAATTGATGGTTATATCAAATTCAATGTATAAAAGTGAAAAACATCGCCGAAAAAGACTAATCAATAAAATGAAACTACACTCACACTCCACCACAAGAATCTAAAATACCAAAACAAAGACTATTGTGTAACACTAGTACTAATTTCGATTGGTGATTGTTTAATGAATTAAAGAACTAAAGAAACCGTTATGTATCATGATAATTTGTTGTTTGATTGTAATTTGTCGAACTAATCACACTTGGATGTTCTTTATATTAGCTACTTGGTAATCCTTAGTATTTACGAAGTTTGTTACCAAAGTATTCAAGATCGGCGGATGGAATTTGTATTTAAATAAATATAAAAGAGTTGATATTGAGGCTTATGTACTTTTGAAGCAAAAAGGCAAAGAAAATAAAGCTTTAGGTTACGGAAAGCAAGTAACAAAAGGAGAAAAAGGAACGGCTAGAAACAAACACGGATATTAAGGGAGATCCAATTAGGTGGCTCGGCTTTTCATGTTTTATCTCCCATGTCCTTTACTGCGACAAACTTCTAAAGACATGAAAAAGAAACATTATGGATGATTTCAATGTTTTTCTTTACCTCATATGATTTCAATCTTGAACGTTGTTACTCATCCATTTTTTAAACAAAGCGATATGATTCTTTAAGTACGATTCAGAATACTAATAGTTACATTTCAGCTTTACATTTTACAATTTCCCTTATCTTTTTTGTTTGAAGTCGTCAACAAATCAGTCCTTATTAATTAGCAATCGTACATTGCAACTTTTAATACAAATCATTTTTTTTTTCTTTCAAAATTTGAGAAAGATTTCTGTTGAAGGCTTTGTTATTCATATATAATTGCATAACATCTAGGTAGAGATTTGTTGAATTCGCAAAACTATAGAACCTTTTGAGCATCAAATGTCGTTAATGGACGACGATAAATAACAAATTTTTATCGTCGTAGCATCGTGTGCTAATAAATCTTTAAAACCCTTCGGAATTTAAAGATTTTATCATTACATTCAACTAAAAAATTATTCAAAAACTAGTAACGTAGACGCAGATACGCAGACGAAAAACACGATTTCTCTGTCACATAATAAGTTTTTTCTTTCCAGATTATTTCGGACCTATTTTGTCCTCTCTCTTGTAAATATTACGGCCGCACGTGATCTCTCGGTTTTCACCCTCTTCAACCAAGCCCCTACATTTTTGGGTAATTCACTTTCCAACCCCATATTCCTTCAGCAATAGTTTCATAAATCCCCCAAGATTACAAATTCTTTCAACTTGGCCCCTTAATTTTCTTTCAACTCAAGAATTCCATTGAGCGGAGCAATACCACTGCTCGTTATCCGCAAACAACTTGCAAGCTTCCTCTCCACTAAACAAATCTTCATGCTCTTCCATCTTCACAAATTGGCCAAAACATCCTAACGTCGACATATCAGCCGCGGTGGCCGCCGCCGGTGTGGGACTATACTCTTCGTTCAAAACCGCGCTTGAGTCGCTGCTATCTGCTGGATCTTCTCTAAAGCTTTCGGTTCGTGGGAAAATGCTAAACATTTCGTATGCTAGCTCCGACGTCGGAGCTTCTATAGGAACATGTGGTGGAGGAGGACGGTGGCTGAGCTCTAAGACTTCATTAGCCACAACCGTCTGATTTGTTACCGCTTTTACTACGCCATGTTCGTCTGCCGAGGCGTTACCATTGCTTCCGCCGGTCCCCTCCTCGTTAAGCTTTGCTCTTAGCTCTTTAATCTGCAGAAATGTAATATTTATAAATTAATCATCAATTATCAAATAACCCCAGAAATTAATAATTATCTCTAAATATGTCTTAGAAATGTAGTCGCAAATGATTAATAAACATGAAACTTTGAGTTTATTCAAAATAATAATATTATTATTATATTTTCGTTTTCGTTTTGTTTTCTACGATCACTTAATTTTGATTATTGAAACGATACTGTAAATGTTTCACTAGCTCGTTTATTTTTATAACCGAATTATTGATGGATTTAGTTGAAGTTGCGTATATCAGGCGTTTATTGTGTGCTTAAAACGTTAAATTTGTATTCACACAGAAAAAAAGCGTTGATCAATTATTAAAAGCAATACCTCTGCAAGGAGAGAATCATTATCACGTTGAAGCGAGTCGCGGTTGCGTTTGAGTGCGTCGAAATTTGACTTGAGAACGTCGTAATCACGTTCGAGCTGCTTTGTCTTCCACCGAGCACGGCGGTTTTGAAACCAGATTGCCACTTGACGCGGTTGCAGCCCAAGCTCTTGACCAAGCTTCACTTTCCTCTCCGGCTCTAACTTGTTATCAATCTCGAAATTCTTCTCTAACGCTTTCACTTGCTCCACACTCAACCGCCGCTTTTTCTCCGCCGCGGCTGTAGACGACGCGTGTCCGACGCCGATGTCTTCTAGACTTCCGTCTTCCTCTAGACCGTCGAACATTGGCGAGTAATCTCCGGCGCCTGGATAGAGAAAGCTGGTGGTTGTTGTTGGTCTTGGACTTATTTGTTTGTCTGATAATAAAAATCATTAATCACGGTAGTAAATTAGAAAGCGTGTATATATGTTAAACCAATCTGAATGGATAATTTTAATTCAAATATGGAATATTTATGATGTCATGAATGATTGCATTTACATTTCCAAAATCCAAACCTTATCAGGATAATGTCTCGATAATATGAATTGTCAGAAAAACACATCTTTACCAGTTTTAAATTACTAAATTAATCATTCAGAAAATCCGACTTCTATCTCTAGCTAATTGTACATTTCATTAGTAAGATCGACCATAATCTCATTATTAGATCATATTATGAACTAACACGAGTATTCAAAGAAATTAAATATATACTGCAAGACCCTTTTTACCTGATGCAAAGTGGCAAATTGGTAAGGAACCGGCTAGAGAATCGGAGCTTCCGCGTGATCTCTTCATCTTGTTTGGTCGGAACTATTGAGATCAAGAACGGAAAAAGAAAAGAAGTTTTATGGTTGACGGTGTTAGATCAAGGCCTAGCTAGATCGTTCTGAGTTGTAAAGAACGATCAAGATCTATCTACGACCAACATAACTCGAAGATACGATCCTATCTCTTATTCTCAAAAGAAGGATCGTTGCTCTGTGTCTACAATTAACCATCCAAGATGAAAACATAGAATTGATCAGAGTTAACTAATTATCCATAACGATTCATCTAATATCCTCAAAGAAAAAGTTCAACTCTACTTATCGGGAAAATATAAGCGAGAGAGGGATGGTGGTGGGATTCACAGTCGAATTTATTTTCTCTTTTTGTTCCCCAAGAATCCTAATTTATAACATAGAGAAAGAGAGAGAGGGAGGGAGAAGGAGAGAGATGGCCTCACAGTCCCTCTCCGGGTTTTAAATAAGACGACAGCTTAACCCTAGGGGAAGTGTTGGAGATATCTCCAGTTATTTCAAGAATTTTGGGCATAATTTTTTTAAATATAATAATAATTAAAATAAAATGCAAAAACAACTTACAATGGTTACTGTTAGACACCGGCATTAGCTATATTCGTCAGAGTCTGATCCAGGATCTTGGTGAGTCCATGGGTTTTCTTTTTCAGCTCGGCTACTTTTGAGCCGGCAACGAATTTTAAAGTTTCATCAAGTTAGGCCGTAATCATTAGTTTCTCTCTCCATTTTTATGATATACTTTTCTTTTCCATAGACTTGATGAAACCACCCCGTTAATTTTTATCACAAACAGAAATTGCGATTGGTAATATACGTCCTACTTCGTTTTTACTTGTATATGCATTAACTACTTCGTTTTTACTTGTATTTTCTGTTTTGGGTCGCGGAATGGTTGATGATATGGTTAGAGAAAAGGAAGTAAATTAATAGAGATTAAGGTATGGTCCAAATGGACTTTGTACAGTAGAGTTGATATTTTCCAAATGTCATAATCAATCGTAGTATAAATACACTGGACCAACCATTCATTTGAATACAATATATAGACATGGGTCACGGTGTAATATATTAAAAAAAAAGGTTGAGTAGATCAGTCGGTCCAGTAGTTGGCCATGCAAATTGATTTGCTTTCACCACAAGATTTAAAAATAAGTGTGGGTCAACATTTTTATCAATTTACCTGGTGAGTATAAGAAGCACAAGTTATATACAGTCATTCATATTCGTGAATTTATCTATATCTGTTGATACATTTAGTTAGACAACTTGTGGAGAGGCGAGTTTCCGAGTGTCGGTTTAGAAATATATAAGACTCCGGACGAAATTAATGGGGCTTTTTCTAGCTTCGAAACCACCTTTAATATAACTTGAAAAAGATAGAAACGTAAAGGGACTTTTTGTTTTGTTACAATTTGTATGAGAAAAATTGTTGTGAGTTTTTAATGGATTATCTTGTACGAAAGTGTTTGTAGCTTATAGGTTTTCTATCAGTTACTCAGTATCGAACTATATTTCTTCCGAGGGCACCAAAATTTACTACAGCGGACTATATATGTAATGTGTCGATTAACTATAGTTATGAATATAAAAGTCCTGAGCGGAATATAAAAGTTGTATGTTTGTTTGCTCGCTATCCACTGACGTGTATACATTTGTATATACATAATAGTTGTACTCAAACATGTATGTATTTTAGTGCAATTTATTTATATAAATTGGAAGAGTATGTGGTGTACAAAGGATATTCACAAGGTGCAAAATAATTTTAAACTCCGGTAATGGAAAAGGCGACAGAGCTTTGATGAGAATAGCTGTCTGTCTCTGTAACGATTTTGCGGTTTTGCCTATCTACTACAAAATGTATTATTGTATACTGGTAGTAGTATTTAGTAAATTAATATTTATAAAGGGAATAACATATTATAGGTTTTACTTTTGCGAGTGTTTCAGAATTAAACAGTATAATCATACAAAAATATTGAACAACTAGTTTACGAAATATCGAAGCTTTTATACATATAATAAACAAAAAAAAAGCATCAAAGCAAGGTGGAAAATAAAAGAGAAAAGCTTCTTGGGGTTGGGACTTTTTTGTTAATGTGTATATAATATAAACTAGCAAAGCTTAGTCATTTGTAAATTGACATACTGACATGATGATTTCGTATGTATCCATCTAAAATCTTAAAATGGAAAAGACTAAAGTAAAAGAGGTTTGATGTTTCTTTAAATTAAGAATTGTATAATCTTGTTTGGTTGATGAGCTGGTTATCCTATGAAAGCAACTAATTCCACTAGATTCTTGATGTTTTTTGTCTTCTAGAACATTAATCACGACATGAATGATCAATTACATAATTTTAGAAAAACTAAGAAACCCGAAATATGCCGTCCCTCATTAAAAAATAATTATTTTAGTTAACTTTGCCAAATACTCCCCTTTTATTTCGTTATTTATTTTACTTCTACGGTTCCACCAAATATCTTTTATACAAATATCTGATTCTCAAATGGCGACATTTTACCGAGCTCAATAGTATGAACTGTAAGATTTGTAAGTTGGGCGTAGTTGATCGTAGGAAAAGAGGATCGTTCGTAATCTAGTCGACTTTTTCAGTGCTAGTTAACTCACTTACTCTCAATCTTTTCGAAGAACCAAGATCCGGTTATCCCAAATTGAATATCATCCACGTCCGGTTAAACTCATCTGATCATGAGGTAACTTTTCAAGGCCTATTTAGTGGCTTAATGAGGCCCATCCTATGGACTTTATTGGGCTTAAGCTTAGCTATTGCATGATACTATTATGAAAGTATGTTTTTTTTTTCAAATGAATGGTTGGTCCAGTGTATTTGAATGCAAAACTTAGGTCTCTCGATTGGATTCTTCTTTTCTCCAACATTCAATAATCCATAATGTGTTGCTAACCATATAAGATTGTGTAAAAATCTTATGAATGGGAACTTGATTATTTCATATATATATATACGTATATTATTGCATACACAAGAGATTCTTTAGAGAAAATAGACTTTAAAAGTTAGTTAATGTGTAAACAAAGTTCAATTTCCGTCCTTTACCTTTTGTATTCTTCTAACGACGTCATGCACAGCGTCTGCGATCTCACTAACTGTAGTCGTTAATTGACAATCTTGCTCTACCTGAATCCAGAAAACCAATCATTTTAAGATCACTAGAAATGTTCGTTAAGCAGTTGATTCTTATAATCTAGTATTATCACGGTTATTGGACTCCCCAAGAATAAAAGAGGAAGAGAATATATACCTTGACGCTTAAAGTAAAGAGAGACATGCCTCGGGAAGTTGTGAGGTTGAGATGAAGAGTACTTAACCCTAAAGAGTAAAGCTCACTGATAACCTTGAAGAGTAATCTTGGCCGTGTCTTTGTTAACACTTTAATGTTGGTATGTTTTTCCATCATTGTAACCTCCACATCAGCAACCGCCGCTCCTTGCGCCAGCCTCTCGTGTTGGCAGTGGTTTTCCGAGGAGGAGGAGGTGGCGGTGATGGTGGAGTATTGAGGGAAGATAAAGAAGTCGGAGAATATGTTTGGTGATTGATTGTGATCTGTAGATTTTAATTGGGCTTCGAGTGACTGAAGAAGTTGTTCTTGCTTCTTTAGATAGTTAATGGTACCTTCTACGATTGATGCTTGGTCACTCTGATAATAACAACGAATATGGTAAAATTTTGTAAATATATAAAAGAAAAAACTACTAATAAAGATATAAAGAAACTCACACGTTGGGAATAAGAGAGAGGGATCATAGATTTGAGGGTAGAGAGAAAATGATTCATCTGTTTTCTCCGGTTACGTTCGACGGCAATATGATTCATCCTTTGGTTCTCTCTCTCTTCTATCTTCTTGTCACTTCTCGTTCTCCTCCTCCTCCTCTTCCGCGGCGGTTCTTCACCAAAACCATCTCGAGCTAATTTTTCCGTTGAATGAGATTGTTTATCTGCTGTGGTGCAACAGAATGGTGTCGCTGAATAAGAAGAAGAGGATGAAAGGGGGTTTAGCTGTGACGTTAGGCCGCCGGGACCTGATACGATGGCGTTTTCGAAGCAATCAAAGAATTTGTAGCTTAATGGATACTCTTGTTGGAACATCATAGTCTCTTTCTATAGCCTAAACGAACACAAAATTTGAGAGGCTAAAGCATAAAAGTTTGTGGATATGTATGTGTATGTTTATAATGGGGTCTTTAATTTTACTCTTTGTCATCAAATAAAAAATAAATAATCAATTAAGCTTAGTATTTATTAAATAATCAAAACTTATCGAAGTATAAGAGAAATGTATCCCTAGCGAGAGAGTAGAGACAAACGTATAAGAATTGAATAATGTGGAGATTTGAATGTTAAGTCACATAAGTACAGCTGGCGTTTACTAACTGGAGGATTTTCAAACATCATTAGCAGATACAGAATTCGACAAAACGACCCTAATAATTAACGACCACAATTCAATGCTGGTTTTGTGGTACACACGTACACAATAATAAACGGTGGTTATTGATGCAATGTGTAAATTTCATTATTAAGAATTTCAGACGCACTATTTTAATTTAGATTTACCACATTTTACGCTTTACATATCTTCATGAGTAACTTTTATTTTTCCATCACATATCTTTCACGTTTGACTAATAGTAATATATAAAGCGACCTCAAATGAAAAATATATTTGTGATTTTGTAGTTATTTGTGATTGCCAATCAATCACAATGTCGTTTATGTGATTGGTACTTTGCATCTAACAAGAAACGGAAGTTCCTATTTGTGATTTGAAAATCGTAATTTTGGTTCCCTATTTGATCGTCGTTATCAATATGACATAAATTGTACTCTTGTAAATAGTATTGTTGTGTCTGTAATAAGACAAATTGTTTGTCTACTTCCTCATTTTCAATTCTCGTGTATTTTCTTAGTAAATAAATATACCAAGAATTACTATCAAAAGTAATATACCGTGTGAATTGTGTACTTATTTTGCGATGAATACCCTCAGAATTATTTGGTTCATTATACAGTCTTCTAGAACGTTAACCAAACGGTTCGTTCAACTAAAACGCAGAGTTGATTCTTTTTCAATGTCTCGCAAAATCTTTTTCTTTATAAGATTTTCCTTCGAGATGGATCCCTTTTTTCTTTTCCTACAAGTATTTTTTGTAATTAGTTTAAATTATAAAAAATATTGGAGCAAATCTATTACTAATAAAAGTTGACCCTATATGCATTAGAGAGTGTCCACCTAGGATTCTAAAATTGAATTTGATTGGTCCATGTCATTATTTTTTTTTTGAATAATTAATTTCCTATTTTCCTTTTTATTCTTATTAGCAAATTTACATTTTTTTTTAATATCCAACAAATTGGATATTGTTTGAGAAAGATTAGGATTAGGATAATTCTAATTTTGTAATTACCACTTCTCTAATTTCCTTATTGCATAGTGATTCCTTTTACCATTATGAATACAATGATTTTATTCATTTTACTATCAGGAATACGATGATCTAAAATAAAAGTTGATTCTATAAGTCTCTAAAAGTGTTCAACTAGGATTAAAGAAACTGAATTTCATTGGTCCACATAATCACTTTAAAAGAATTTATTTTTTTAGTTATTACTATGATATTTCCTTAACACTTAATTTTATTTTTCTTCATACTAAAGTGTTTAAAAAATAGATTTTGTTTTTCTAATGACAGAAAAAGGAAATAAAAAATTCAATTTGATTGGTCCACATAAGAACCTTAAAAGATTTCCTTTATAATTGTTATTATGATATTTCCTTAATACTTAATTCTAATTTTAATTACTTCCTATGAAATATATAATCTTTAAATTACTTCCTATATATATTTTCGTTTTTATTAAAAGTTTGACTTTTTAATCATGAGTTTGCGCAGTCAACTTAAACTTCAGGAATTAAAGTGAGCAAGTGATAGTTGAGGAATAAAAATTCTCATTGCAAATAGTTGGGGAATAAAATGAGCAATTTTCTCATAACTAAACGTTATATATGTAACATCCCTCTTTGTGATAAATGAGGAGAGGCTTAAGAGAATTGATTTGGCTACCTATGTCAACAAAGTGCACTTACCTTTTCGGTCAAAGGTCTATAAGTAACTCCAGTTAAGCGTGCTTGTGCTGGAGTAGTTGAAGGATGGGTGACCTTTCGGGAAGTGGTTTCCGAAACCGTGTGAGTGAGGCCAAAACACGGGGAAAGGTCAGGTGTTGATTGCAGGGATAGTAAACAAGTCATTAGAGCCTCTCGAAAATAACGGACCGGCCGTCGGACAGGGGTGAGGCCCACGGGCCGAGATGGGCCTGCGGGCCCAGAGAGAGGGCGTGGGTGACTCACCGGGAGGGGCGGTCGGGGCGTTATAATTTGGTATCAGAGCCAAACCCAGACGAGAGTGTGGAGTCAAGTTGAAGTGGCCTTGACTCACACCGTCAGGGGGTGACGATCCAGGTGCGCAACGAGGACGTTGCGCAGTGAGTGGGGGTGAGTTGTAACATCCCGGTTTGTGATAAATGAGGAGAGGCTTAAGAGAATTGATTTGGCTACCTATGTCAACAAAGTGCACTTACCTTTTCGGTCAAAGGTCTATAAGTAACTCCAGTTAAGCGTGCTTGTGCTGGAGTAGTTGAAGGATGGGTGACCTTTCGGGAAGTGGTTTCCGAAACCGTGTGAGTGAGGCCAAAACACGGGGAAAGGTCAGGTGTTGATTGCAGGGATAGTAAACAAGTCATTAGAGCCTCTCGAAAATAACGGACCGGCCGTCGGACAGGGGTGAGGCCCACGGGCCGAGATGGGCCTGCGGGCCCAGAGAGAGGGCGTGGGTGACTCACCGGGAGGGGCGGTCGGGGCGTTATAATATATCTATAGAAGAAACCAAAAATTAAAGGCTGGAATAAGTATATGATAGATCCAAATTTAAATAGGACTCAAAACAAAACAAAACAAAAGGATTAACGGCAAATTGAGTTTAGATAGTACCTCAAAGAAATATGATTCTTCAGTGATGAAACATGGAGCTAACTAAGTTTGATTAGTGGATGTTTGAAAATTATAAGAAAACGGCAAATTGAGTTTAGATAGTACCTCAAAGAAATATGATTCTTCAGTGATGAAACATGGAGCTAACTAAGTTTGATTAGTGGATGTTTGAAAATTATAAGAAAGATTTGGGGCTAAGAGGATTTAGTATGAATTGTGAGATTCAATGACATGAAATTGTTATGAAACAAAATAATTGGTAGTATGTATATAATTAAAGCAGAGGAGAGGTAGGGAGATAATATAGATGTAGAGATATAGAATTTCGACGAAACTGGTTTACAAATGAGATTTAATTTAAGGTTTTTGAAAAATAATGGCAAAAGAGTCGCATTTTTTAATCTTCATCTTTGCATATGGAAGCCGAAGGTAATAAATTTATAATTTCAGAATGATGACTAAACCCAAAACGTGACAAAGCCGGCCAAACTTTTGAACCGAAAATTTGAGATTCGGCTATATATACTCAATTGAAACAATAGGACAACAAACTTTAGGGATTAATGTAACTTCTCCAATGATCGGGCCTCTATGCCTTACGAGAAAATGTGAGAAAGTTTGTAATATGTTTTTAATAAGAAATTATCACAATGCAATTCCTTTTATTATTGTGACCAACTATACAAGAGTTAAATTGATTTGGTAAATTTAAAAATATAAAGAAATTAAATAATAAGAAACTATAATTATAAAATAAAATATTAAAATATTAAAAATAAAAATAAAAATTGTAAAGATTTTTTAATCAATGAACGTTTTAAAAAATTGAAAATTAGAAATTCATAATTAAAAGAAAAAAAAACATAAAAACATAAAAAAAAAAACCTAGTATACGATTAAAAGTTCCCTTTTTTCTTCTCTACCTTCGAGAGAGATTAATTAAGGAAATATGTAAAAATATGGAAATCAAATCTCATACACACACATCTTCATCTCGAGTTTCGTAATTAATAACCGACGAGAGACGTTTGATCCGTGGGGGCTATATAAGATATTCAGTAGTCCACAACGTTTCTCTCAATTTCATAATTCTTATTCTTTGTGTTGATGTCTTGAGAGCGAGAGAGAAAATAAAAACCCTAGTTTCTTGCTGAATCAAGAAAAAAATCACCATGCGAGCGTCTTCTTCATCGTCCTCTAAATCAGCCAATGCAACCAGTTTGAACAAAAGACTTAAGACAGTCTTCAAAAAAGCTTACGAGCTTTCGATTCTCTGTGGAAACGAGGTCTGCGTCATCCATTACGGACCAGACTGCAAATTGAGGACATGGCCGGAAAAAGAGAAAGTGAAAGACATGGCTTTCAGGTATGTCACGGCCACGAAACGCAAGAAGACACTCAATCTTCATGAGTTCCTCGAGGAGAAGAAGAAGGATCCAAAGAAGACGACGACGAAGAAGACGAAGAAGAAGAAGAAGACAGTTTTGGAGAATATAAAGTATCCTGACTGGTATCCAATCTTTGATCATTACACTCCTCACCAACTTTCTCAACTGATTCTGTCTTTAGAACAGACTCAATCCACACTTCAAGAAAGGGCTCGTTTTGTCGAGGCGCAGAAACAAAGGAACACAAACTTTGTTCACCATCAGCATCATCATCAATACCAGACCCAACCCTTGAACCCTAGCCAACTCTCGATTTACAATGGAGATTCTACTTCCTCACAGCTCCCACTCTCTTCATCACATCCCAACCAACTCTTCAATTACCACCAAAATATCACCAACAGAAACTTTCAACAACCTTGCTTCTCCAACACGCAAGGTTACCAAAATCACTTGGTGGAGCAGAACCTTCATGGTTTCGATCAGAATATCACCAGCGGAAGCTTTCAACATCCTTGCTTCTCTAGCACGCAAGGTTGGCAAAATAACTTGATGCAGCAGCCGAATCATTATGGCTTTGATCAAAATCTCATCAACAGACACTTTCAGCATCCTTACGCACAAGACTACACAGCGTTACCTTCAGTACAAGAATCTGAGTTGAAGAATCACTTGATGCAGCAGCAGGGTTCTCATAAGACGAACATGCCTATGATGAGTGGTATCACCAACAGCAACGCTCCTTGCCTCTCAAACACGGTCTCAGATGAGTTTGGTTCTGATTTCCAGATGACCCCTAATTATGGTTTTGTGGTCGGTAGCACTAGCTCTTGTCAAGATTTTGCAGAGTTGTTTTCAAGCTATGGCGAATCTTCTTTCCGCGGCCAGTGACTCAAGATTTCTCTGATAATGAAAGATGTCTAGAAGAATAAAAGTTGAAGCAATTACTTCTTCCGGAATCAATTGTGAAGTTGCAAGCAACGCAGAGAGAGAGAGAGTGAAGCTGCTACAGTTTTATTTATTTTTAAATATATATTTGACTATGTGAGTACAATTGCATAACATTTTTGGAGATCTTTTTGGGTAACATTTATTTTCGGTTCATATATTTGTTTTTCCAACACAAAGTCAGTTGGTCGAAATCCAATCCTTTTGTTATAGAGACTCGACATACCTTTAAGGCCTATTTTAAGGCCTGTTTCTATACCCATCAAGTCTGCCCACCGTAAGAAAACGCCAATGTAAAACGCATTTAAGCGTTTGGCGTTTAAATGTTAGCAGTCTTGTATATTTTTACTGTTTGCTTCTGTTTTGTGAGATTGTGATTAATGGGCCTAGAACAACAAACAGAGCATGGTATGGTATTGGTATGGTATGAGATTTTATAGGATTTGTTCTTGCTAACATGTTTGTATTGTGTTTTGGTAAAGTTTAGTAGGATTATAACGCCCTGATTGAAAATTCCAAGATTTATGCATCTACCTCAAATTTTTGTTCTGTGGTTGTGGATACATAAAAGTTCAATAATAGAATGTATGTGATTTTATTGATCGTTTTTTATGGCTACAAACAAAAGAACATTGGAAAGACAGAGGGAATCAAGAACAGCTATGACGACCAGCTTGCCATTTTCTCTAAGCAAAAGTATAAAGTCATGAATGAATAATTTTATAAATACTGATTACTTATTTGGTTATGTGTATGTATATTAATATTATAATAGAAAGTTGTTAGTGTTCTTGTAGTGATGGATTCGCCGCGTGGACTCTTATTATTCTCCCATGACAAGTCTCGACTCTCATTGACCTCTACCCACGTACGAGATATTTTTTATTAGATTTAAGAGATAATAATGTGAGTACCTTCATGTTGTCTATATGTAAAATAATATACGAGTTGTAAATGTGAGTACCTTCATGTTTGGTATACTGTCTGGATGTAAAATCGGCAAAAAGAAAACGCCAATCAAATTATTTATTATGAAAATTACTATACAAATAAACTTTTTAAAAATACTCTGTAAATAAACAATAAGTCATTCATTTTTTTTTTGTGGCGATGTTTAGTTCTTACGTTTGAACCATAAGCTGCGTTGTCGTCAATTCAATAAAATTAAATTTCCATTTGAATAGCTAGGCTAGAAAAATTATGGTTCTATCATTTCGAAAACTAGCTAGATAGTTATTTAATAATTTTCATGTTTGGTTGTATATATACACATTCTATTATAAAGATGCCCTGCTAAATTATTAACTTTATACACCTCAAATTATTGACAATAATAGAAAGCAAATGTAAAGATAGATATATGTAGAAGATTAAAAAGCCTTTGCACTATAAGAAACACATGAACACATGGTCACCACTACTGCATACAAAAGTTGAGATCATCAAAAGCTATGCTTATTACATTTTCATATAACCAAGCACAGCTGAAAAAACACTACGATAATCACGTTAATCGGATTAGTTGCCTAATCGGATACAGTGAAAAAAGAAAAGAAGAACACCAATGAATCTCGAAATGTCCAACATATAGTATGCAAGTGCAACGATTGATGTCCTTCATGCTAGAAACAAAACGATCCAAGATCATTTTCGTGATGATCTAACAAAAAAGATACTTAGTTCTTGTCCGATAATCCCACGTGGGTCGATGAGATGAAAAGATTCCGAGTCAAACGATCCAAAAACTCGTTTGAAACTAGCTCTTAAGTACATCATATGATCGCTCTTCTCTCGGTTAATTTCTTCTCCATTTACAACTCCGGCTCCTTCAGCCACCGGAGTAAGCACCTTCAACGCAGCTAGCTCGGCTTTAGAAGGCTCTCGTTTGATGGCGAAACCGACATTCCGACCGTTGCAATACATGTTCCATAAAGGTGTTGTAAGAAGAGAAGAAGAATCTTGATGAAAATCATACTCGTTGTTATTGTTTGATTCGAGAGCGATTCTTAATACGCCTCCTTGCATTTCACGGGCCAATACATCGGTTGGGACGGTGAGCTCTAAGAGGACAATGATTGGATTTAGGGTTTTGGAGTTTGTCGCTTGGATACAGAAGTTTACTTTGCCACGGCGGAAACCAAAGATAGTTCCGGTGAAAGTGGAGGAGTTTGTGGTGGCGGAGGATGTTCTTGGTTTGATTTCGCGGCGAGATTTGTCTTCTTGATCATCATTTGGATCTACGAGTGTGCAGTAACAAGAAGGGAGGAGAAGTTGGACGATGGTACGAAGGAGCCTCCATGAACGGACTTGTTTATTGCAGTCTACAGCTGCGGTTGCGGCAAGGGGGCGCCGGTGAGGGTTTGAGGTGAAGGACATGTTTTCTTTTCGGACGTTGTGCGAAAAGGATGAGAATTTTATATGCATATGTATGTTAGGGTTTAAGTGGCATGGATGTATATATAGAGAAATGGTCGTGGAAAAGAAAATGATTTTAACTTTTGTTGTTGTTTTTTCTCTTTTTAAACAAAGCAAAAATAATCTGAACTTATTTTCCATATATTAAAAATTGTCTTACAATGGTATTATTTTGATCAAATTAAAGATTGTTGCCGTTTTCACATAAATTAACGTATTACAAATGTAGCAAATGTTTAAGAACTCAATGTTAAAGATTTAGTTTCATAGGTTTGAATTTAATTGTATAGTTTTGTGTGATTTTGAAGACAAAATGTGTTCTTTGGTTATAATGAAAAAGTTTCAGAGATGATATGGTCAAATGTCAATGATGGTTTTACTTTATCTATGATCAATTAAAACTATAAAATCTATTGAATACTAATGTTTTTTCTGTCACATGAATATTAATGTTAATTCTAGTTTGGATTTTTTAAGTTAAATATTGCAGTACTATTGATTCATTTGAAAAGAATGACACGGTAGCTTAGGAAAATTCCGTACAACCCACAGTGGACATGCTCCAATCATTGAATCATTATTCGTCATATTACCTAAATTCTTACTAATCTATATAGTTTTGTCTGTTAATTAATGATTATGCTCGTGCAAAACTTAGCAATAATGCTACTAATAATCTTAGTGGGTGATAACCAGTAAGTTTCTCATATACGGATCCAAAATTTTGTTAGTCTTATAGATATCGTCTTGTAGTTCTTTTCTTATATTATGTTGCGGTTACCTGATAAATTGTTCCATACAATAATTATTAACTAATTCGTGGATAATTAGAAACATCCACCCATATATCATTTATGCTTGCTTAGCCGTGTACATATATATATCTGAACATCTTTTGTAGTTATTTGAGCTATGATTCTCTTAGGAAATTTAGAATGTTGATGAAGGCAAAAATTAAAATCATTCAGTCATTCGGATGGAACAATTTCACTTGGATCAACTATCAAACTCCTATTAACGCATAACAAGTTGAATTTAGACAATGTTTGACTAAATCCAGGGTATGGTTTGTTACATTATTTTTCTCTAATTGTTGATACGCCAACCCTAAATGGACAAACAAAGTCAAATCAGCCGTCTATTCGAGCATCGACAAGGATTGATCATAGGGGCTGAAGTTGTTACCCATTTTGGTGGCCCATCATTGGCCCAATATATTCCTAATGGTTCCCACTAAATTTTGGACAATATGCAAACCAATCAAATTCTCCGGATATGTATTCCCCGTTGGATTTGTTTGAAAAATCTGAATCAAAAACCAAACTAAACCAGGATTAACATGTCGTAGTCGCGCGGGTCAGGCACGTTGATGTAGACTGTAGTCACCTGACAATTGACACGTTTAATTTCTTTAAACATTTGTGGAAATTTTTCTTTTCAATAATTTATCTCTGCAATTTTATTTTCCTTTTGCCAGAACGATAGATGTTGGAGAATACGTTGTCGTTTTGCACTTTAGAAACAATTTTGCAGCTTGGTTCTTTCCACAATTCCACTAAAAAGCATTACACTTTAAAAATTTTGGATCTTTACCCCAAAAAAATGACAACACAATAAATCATTGCCCCACTTCCCTCAAAATTGCCCAACATCTTATTTTGGATTTTTTACTTTCTTTTGTTGGTAATTTGTGGTTTGTTCTTTTCCCCTAAAATGATGTCATCAAATTACTAAGATACAGCAACGCAATCAAACACCTGATTAAGACTTTAAAATAACGTTATACTGGAAAAAGAAAAGTTTCTTGGAGGAATTTCGACAAACACCTTACATGCACTCATAGCATAGACTAATCCCACCTACAAATCAACTCTAAATACTTCAAAGATCTAAACTTTCATAAACCCATCAAAGCCCAGAACGCAAGGCAAACAGATAATCACTTCTCCGCTCAAGCTCTCTCACCTCTAATCCTCCTCGCCAATTGGATATCTTTAGGCATAATAGTGACTCTCTTGGCGTGAATCGCGCAGAGATTAGTATCTTCGAATAACCCAACGAGGTACGCCTCAGCAGCTTCCTGGAGAGCAGCGACGGCACTACTCTGAAACCTCAGATCCGTTTTGAAATCCTGAGCGATCTCACGAACAAGTCGCTGGAACGGCAGTTTTCTGATCAAAAGCTCCGTACTCTTTTGGTACTTCCTGATCTCTCTCAACGCGACGGTTCCTGGACGGAACCTGTGTGGCTTCTTCACACCTCCGGTTGCTGGTGCTGATTTCCTCGCCGCTTTCGTCGCCAATTGCTTCCTCGGGGCTTTTCCTCCGGTGGATTTTCTGGCAGTCTGCTTCGTACGAGCCATTTAGGAATCAATTAGGTTCTTGATTGATCGAAATTGGTATTGAAAAGTTTTGGGTGTGAAATTCTGAAACAGAGGATGAGTTTCTCTTATAGAGTGGAGGGGATGAAAAATATTTGGAGGGAGTTTTAAATATTTCGTTCGGAGGGAGAATTATTTTGATCCGCTAGATTTGACATGTAATCAACGGTGGATACTGAATATTGTTTTGACGATCGTCGTGATCATTAATCCACCAATCAAAAGCATTTTTATGTTTGGCGGGACATCAAGTTTTTGGAATTCCATATTTTAGTTTTTAGTTTAGGCGCCATTTGAAAAATTTCGACACTCTGAAATGCCTTATGAAAATAATTTAAAATATATAGTTTTTTTTCACATTAGTGAAGGAAATCTTATAGGAAAGTTTTTTCAAAACAGATTTATGAATAGATTAAGTTAATACTCAACTTTTCGAAGAAGATTACATACGTTGATACCAATATCAGGGAGTTATTGATGAAGATGTACAAAATGATTTCTGTCAATGAATTTTCGGTAAATTATGATTTTAATTGTGATTTTTAGGAGATTGTAGAAAGTGTTTTACGGTATCAGATCTCAGAAGTTTCTTACGAAAGATGAATATAAAATAAAAACTTGATTTAAGATTCAACGAGGCATTTCATCGAACATCATAAACGCAAACCTAACAAATCGAAAACGAAGGATGTACAAAAGCAAATCGGACAATTTGAAAACCATTGGATCACAAACTAGTCTGCTACTAATCCTCTTAAGCCCTCTCTCCTCTGATTCTCCTGGCAAGCTGAATATCCTTCGGCATGATCGTAACTCTCTTGGCGTGAATCGCGCAAAGGTTGGTGTCTTCGAAGAGACCAACGAGGTATGCCTCAGCCGCCTCCTGGAGAGCCGCGACGGCGCTGCTCTGGAAACGCAGATCTGTTTTGAAATCCTGAGCGATCTCACGAACCAGACGCTGGAAAGGAAGCTTGCGGATCAGAAGCTCTGTGCTCTTCTGGTACTTCCTTATCTCTCTTAGCGCCACGGTTCCGGGACGGAATCTGTGTGGCTTCTTCACTCCTCCGGTCGCTGGGGCCGATTTCCTCGCCGCCTTCGTTGCGAGTTGCTTCCTTGGTGCCTTTCCTCCGGTGGATTTTCTCGCCGTCTGCTTTGTTCGAGCCATTTGGGGATTAATCGAAACGAGAGAGATTTAGACTTTTGCGGTGAGATTTTGAGAGATTGATTGTTCTTGACAAGTTTCTCAGAGTGTGGATTGGTTTTTATAATAAGCGTAGATGAAGAAAACGGTAGTTTTGGTTCGTTAGATCTTTCGTTCTTTTGACGGTCAAGATTGATTGAAGTCTAGTGATCCGCGTCGTATGTATATTAGCCAATCAGATTTGTTTCCTTTAGCGCACGTTTGTTTTCGTTCGTTAGATCTTTTATGTTATTAACGGTTTTGATTGTTTGAAGGCTGGTGATCCGCGTCATATGTTAATCAACCAATAGTATTAGTTTTTGTTCGCGCTCAATTATTTTTAGTCGCGTCTTTCAAATATTTATGCTTGCTTCTGGAAACATCACAATAAAACTTCTTTGTGAAAAGCCCAATTTGTAGTTTGTAGTCTATAAATATTTTGAGATTGTTTTCAGTTTAATGAGATTGATTTTTTTTTTTGTGACATTGATAAACTGCAATTAAACTTCAATACCAAAAAGCAATTCATCAATGGCAAGATCCATGTGAACTTGAGAAGTGATGTCATCATCACAGGTTAACATCTTAACGTGCCAATTGTGTATAAACTTTTATGTTTAAAATTAACTGAGAGATAATTAACCTATATAAACTTCTATCCATATGTAAATACTATTTAGATTTGAAATCTATCAAGAAAAAAAATATTTTTAAACTTTCAAAATAGGCAAATCACATCTTTATTTATTTTTGGAAAAAAACATAGTAATAACTTTTAAAAAAGCAAAATGATTTTCTAATATCATTGCAAACAAAATAATTAGAATCCATATGCATTCAATCTTAAAGCACGTATAGATAATGAAATAAGATTCGGTCTCAAAAAATAATCTAGTGCACTAAATACATAATTATTAGAATAATAATGTATTTGATCTTAATTACCCTATAATTAATATAAGAAAATCCCCTCTATAAACATTTAGTGAAACCTTGAAATGTTATAAGATGCAACAACACCCCTACATTGAACAAGATTCAAACATTTCAAAAACATAATTCGATAAGAATTGATCAAATGGAAAAATTAACAACCTTGAGTGGCATAATAAAAGACGAAGCCTCACAAATGAAACTCAACGTGGTCCATTTGTGTAGCTCCAACAATGACAAAATCATTGACGTAGCTCTCTTCAAAGCCACGTCTCATACCTCACACGACCCACCTGCTACCAAATATGTCACTTTCCTCCAATCCGTTGTTGACAAGAGTTACGGTCCTCAGGCCATCGCTGCGACCGTTCAGAGACTACGTTTGACAGCGGACGTTTGCGTGGCTGCTAAATGTCTCATTCTTCTCCATAAGATGACTAAATCATCAGAAAATGGACACAATGGAGAAGGTAGTTCTCGTGGCAATTATACTCATCGTGCTTTGATTTATGATCAAGGAGGGAGTAATCTTAAATTGAATGACCTTAATGTAAATTCATCTCGTTTTACTAGAGAGTTGTCTCCATGGGTTGAATGGTAATATTCTTTGTTTTCTATATATGCTTATTAATTTCCGATTTATGTATGTTAAATGGCATTTATCACTCATAGTCTTATAATTATCAAAATTTTGTTCTTTTGAATAGGTACAAACAATGTTTGGATTGTAACTTTGTCATTGCAGAGGAATTAGGCATTATTCCGAGCATAAAAGAGATTTTAGAACAAAAGCGTATAGAGATTCGACGAGTCTCGTCTTACACAACCGAATGCATTTTCAAACAAATAGATCTTTTAGTGGAACTGTTGGAACATATAAGTCGCAAGCCAGAAACTCCGAAGTCGAAACCTAACAAAATCGTTATTGCGATGAAAGAACTAATAGCACAAGACTCCTTCTCAGCCATGAGTTTGATCACGATTAGGTTCGAAGAACTGAACGTTAACGCGAGAGAAACTAAACCGCACGACCTGTTTCCTGTTTTGGTGAGGCTTGAAAAGTGTAAGGACGGTTTGAGCGAGTTTTCTTGGCGATGCAAAAATCTGGTCGAAGATTTTTGGTCTTTGGTATTGAAACTTAGACAAGGGTAACGTTTGATAGCAGAAAAAGAAAATGCTGGATGGAAACTGAATAATTGGATTATGAATATTAGATGTATATAGTATATGTTATGAAGGATTTATGTATCCTTGATTCTAATTTTACTTGTTTCGAAAATATAATGGTTGTCATGATCAATTGATCATTGGTTATAATTTGGTTCTTTTCAGCTTTATTAATTAAAGAAAACCAATTTACAATATTCATGTTTTACCAATAAAAATATTTTGTTCGTTTGGACTTAAAAACCAAATATAATCAGTCCAATATCAATATGTAACGATTGTTCTGATAATATTACAAGGCATGTTTCACAAAGAAATTTACGAGTGGCATCCTATAAAGTTCATTTTACCACGTTGGACCATTTGTTAACACGTACATTTGCTTTTTGTGCCTGCCAAATTGATAATCAAAGAAAAAGATATCATACTTTCGAATTCGCTACACGAATTAAAGACAAACAAATGCAGAATATCAATTTACCTCTTTTTCCCAATCACATCTAATCGTGATAAAACCCAAGATAATTGTCTGAACTGCGGTTCCTCCAAAAATCATTCCAGCCCAAATTCCCTATAATAAAATAAAATCACAAAACATCATACAACTATTCAATAGCCTAATCAAAATACAGTACGAATGAAATTGTGATTACCATGACACCGAAATTAAAAACCCATCCCATTAGTAACCCAAGTGGGATCCCAATGCAATAGTAACATCCTAAATTTATGTATGCCACGTACGATTGCCATCCCGACCCAATTGCAACACCTACACGAGAGTCAAAATCAACACACACACAAAAATCATTAACTCTGTATATAAGATTTTTAAAAAATATAAAAACATTGTGACGTACCGGAGAGAACGGGTTGGACGCTGTTAAGAAGAATAGTAAATGCTAATAGAATGGTGAGTTTGTTAACAGCCATTAAAACAGATTCGCTTGAAGTGAAAATCCAAGCGATTTGGTTATGGAAAAGCATTATTATCACCCAAAATACTAATCCGATTATAAGCGATTGTGTCACTGATATAATCGTTGCGAATCTTGCTCCTTTTCCATTTCCAGCTCCTAGTTCGTTCGCCACACGTACTCTACAATATTTTATCCAAATAGATGCATCTTTAACAAAAATATACAAAGTATTGTATTTATTTTCCGAATTATTTGTAAACATACAATCAATCACAATCAATGTAATTATTGGTAAATATAGTAAACGAAAACTTTTAAAATTATAGTTAGAGGTCCCAGCAATAAGAGTAATCTAACCTAATACTATGAATATGATATATGGGTTATTGGGTTCTTAAATTTGATATAGATACATTCATGGATTTCAATTTCCTAAATTTTCCTCACAAAATTATTGTTCCTTCAAAAAAGGAGCAAGATTCACAAATTTTGATAGTACTATCGTGTTTTGCCAAGGTCCAAGTACTTTCGTGTTTGGGCAAGTACGCATTTACGATTCATTAGTACCATCGTATTGTATGATTTTTTTTCTCCAAAATATTTGGAAAATTAGAAAACCACGTTATTCACAAACCGGACATGACCTTTATTAGATTTCGCATTCAATATGACTTTAAACTGCATGGTCCTGTTCGATTAAGTAACAACCAATCGATGCTTAATTATGGAGTTATGGCCATAGCATTAAAGTTGAGGAAAGCGAAACAGATCCGTTAGATAAGATCATAATCATAAACCAGCGTACGTAGAAACCAAACCAGCAATAGAGGTTTAATGGACTCTTACCCGGTTCCGGCGAAGAAAGCGAGAGGAATCATCATCTCCCAACCATTTATCGACATGCTGTCAGAAATAATTAAAGATATAAACAATACAACTGTAACATTTCCTCAGCAACCCAAAAAAAAAAAAATGATCGATGTGAGAAACGATGCGATAAGATCGTCAGATCAATTATCATATGACTGATGAATTTTTCTTCTATTCTAGGATTAAAAAAAACACACACACACACACACAAAATCTAAACAAAAACAGAAAGGTAAATAAACGACTTACCATATGGACAACGAGTCAACAGCGATTCGAGCATTCTCAAGATTTCCAGTCATTACTATCAAAATCCGATAATACCAATTCTCCAAACTGTCCCAAAGAGCATGTATAAACATTAGACAATTAATTCAAAAAGGTGTATTATAGTATTAAAATATTACCAAAGCATGACGCCTGAAGAAGCGGATAGTTTGACAAACTCCCAAAGTCCGGTGACGGCTTCGGAGGAGAAGCCGGTCCAAGTGAGTGGACAGCCACCGCAAACGGAGTATGCTAATAGAATAAGAACATTGACCCACCAAGAGACACAAACCGTAGATATAGTCCCGGTGACTCCTAGTTTAAGCCCCTCAACGAACAGCCAACTCACTAATAAGTGAACCACCAATGCAACCGCAGCCGCAAATGCAGGCACCTAATTAATAAAAATAAATAAAAAATAGCTCAAATATTCATCTAAGAAATCTTACTATGAAGTCGAAGAGAGAAATGTTATTGTAAAGAAACTATGATTATTGTTTATTTTTTTCCCTTGGTACTAACTTAAGAAAAAATAAATCATTTTTAAGAAAAAATAAATCATTTTTTCTCCAAGGACTATATATGATTGTTCTATGTTTTAAACAAAAAATATATGTATCTGCGTTTAAAACAATGATTAAACCTTAGTTGTTTGCGTTAAAAAATAAGATATATGCATTATTTTGTAAATAAATCCACAATCTTAAACATAATAAGCAAATTTTATTTGTTGGTTGTAAACGTCAACCTTAGATAATTTTCGTATGTGTTTGCATTTTTTTATTAAAAAACGATGTGTTTGCATTTGTAATATAATAGATTATAGAAAACTGAGATTGTATTCTAAAAAACTATGTTTCAAACAATCATATGGACTATTTACATGGTTTTTGAGCTGGCACTGGAGGAAACGTTGGAGCGGAAAAGACAAACAAAAGGCGAAATGGAGAGGGATGGCCCAAAGGGAGATGACGCCGGAGAGCTCGGCGATATCGTCCGGTTGTCCGAGGAATTTCAGAACCGGAGTTGTGAAAAGGTAAGTCGGTAATAACAAGAGACAACCAAAGAAGAGAACAATCCAAGAACGCTGCATATAAACTCCCAACATGTGATATTTCTTCGCTCCAAACGCTTGTCCACACAGCGTTTCCAACGCACTCGCCATTCCAAGCTGCAATGCGTTTATATCATCAAATCTCATATTAGGTTAAAAGATGAAGAAAAAATGAAAACTCTTTAAATTAAATTAATGTTCGATTATTTATAGTATTACAAATAGGCCGAAGTTGAAGCCAACGACGACGCTATAGACGATGGACATTGCTGCAAGTTCGAGATCGCCTAGATGACCAGCGAAAGCTTGAGTTATTACAAGAGTCGAATAGGTTGTTAGTCGAGTGAATATCGCCGGAGCAACGATTTTCCACAGCTTCTTTGTCTCAACCCAAACTCTCTCCCTCAATTCTCCACCATCTTCTTCCGCCGAGCGAGGACTTTCCAACAGTGTAACTCTCGACTCGGATTCTTCTTCTCCTCCTTCTTTTCCTCTCATCGCTAATTTTGTTTATTATACACAAAAAAGGGGAAAATAGTATGAAGACAGGGGACGATGAAAGAAAAAAGTAGTGTGTGTATATGCTTTTTTTATGAATATGTATTTATAAACGATTTGTCTGTAAAAATGATAATCGACAGATGAGTGTAAAAAAAATTAGAAGAAACCGAACTAGCTTAGAAGAAACCGCTGCTCAACTAATAATGTCACTCTAAAGGGAACCAATACTAATTAAGATTAATAACTCGACCTAAACCATAGCTCAGTTGGTAAAGTTCCCGCTCTTGCGATTAGGTCGTTTAGATTATATGTCCTAGTCAGTCACTAAATAATTCATAGATCGTTTGGTCCCATATAGTACTAAATAATACACTATACGTAACTTGGAGAAGAAAGATGGGATGGGCTTATGTTGATTTATATCTTCCAAATATAAATGCAAACCAAACATAATAAATACAGAAAGTATTAGATGGAAGCTGGATTACGATTGAAACACATAAAAACAAATTGTTTGTTATGGTTATTAGTATACGTAGGGTCATTGGTGGGCACTGAGCGACAAGTGCAATACATGAAGAAGAAAAAGGTTCGTTGTTAGAAAGAAAACGTGGGTAGTCAGTCAACTACGTGTGTGGAATCTGTGGATGCAAATAGTCGGCCATTATTGTCCTGATTTGCTGGTTTACCAGTTTCATGTACGGTTCATCTTAAATTTTCAGTCACATACTCATCGATATACGTAAGAATTATATAACGGTCTACATACAATTTCGTGGGCTTGTGCATTTTTGCAAGTTGAAACTGATAATATTACGAATGTGTTTACAAAACAAATTACAAAGACCTAGTAACAACTACATAGGATCTCTGAAATATTTAAACAGGCTCCAAAATAATCTTTACTCTATAGCTCTTGACCATTTGTTAACACGTGCACTTGCTTTCTCCGCCTGCAAATTTTATTTTATTTAACGTCATCAATAAATTTGAATGTTAGGATTAGGAACAACTCTTAATTAAGACAAAAACAAACAAATGTGATTTACCTCTTTTTCCCAATCACATCTCATCGTGATGAAACTTAAGATCATCGTCTGAACTGCGGTTCCTCCAAAAATCATACCAGCCCAAATTCCCTATAAAAGGCAAAATCACAAAACATTTTACCTAATATTCAATAACCTAATCAAGATAAACATTGTCTAACTACATTAATATAGTGCGAAGGGAGAAATGTGATTACCATGACACCGAACTTAAAAACCCAGCCCATTAGAAACCCAAATGGAACCCCAATGCAGTAGTAACATCCCAAGTTTATATATGCTACGTAGGATTGCCAACCAGACCCAACCGCAACACCTACAAGCGAAACAAAAGCCACACCAAACAAGATAAACATCGATTTTGGAAATAAAGAGTTTTTTTTATATACATATATGACAAAAAAAAAAAATAGTGACATACCAGAAAGAACCGGTTGAATACTGTTAAGAAGAACGGTGAAAGCTAGCAGAATGGAAAGTTTATTAACGGCCAGTAAAACAGCTTCGCTTGAAGAGAAAATCCAAGCAATTTGGTTATGGAAAAGCATTATTATCACCCAAAAAAACAATCCGATTATTAACGATTGTGTCACTGATACAATCGTAGCAAATCTTGCTCCTTTTCCATTTCCTGCTCCTAGTTCGTTCGCCACACGTACACTGCAATAGTTAACTGAATATATCAAATAATTTAGATTGTAATTGACTATCAGTCAACTAATTTGTAGATTGTGAAAAAAAAAATTCTAGCTTTTATAGTTTTGTAAGGGTATAAATTTATTCGATAAGTTTTGGATTTATAGATAGACAAACCAGCCAAAATTTATGACTTTCTAATTTTTTTCAAATGGTCAAAATAAAAAATTTCGGTGTTTGTGCTCGTTTTTGAAACACTGACACTTGGTTGGTCATTTCCTACACATAAAATTGACTAGGCTGGTCGTCTTATGGCCTCAAATGTTTAGATGATAAATATACACTGATGATACTCGGGCCGACTTTTTCAGAAAACGAAAGGACAGAAAGAAAGAAAAACAAGTGGACAAAAAAATTATAAGATCAGGTTATGATAATAGGGAGGAGAAGACATCTCTAATTTGTGTCATCGTAGTCGTAAACGTCTTATTCAGACAACACGACAGCAAGTAGATAACAAAGAAGAATAAAAAACGAACACGAAAGAAGATGGAAGAAGTTGTAAGGATCTAGCCAAAATGCCAATTTTTAAGGTTCTATAAATTTTCCAAAATATACAGTTCCTTAGAAAAAGTATTCACAAATTCACTCTATAATCTAATCACCTACAGTACAGACGTTTTTTAGTGTATGGTCAACGTACATTAATTGTCCACCTGAAATCAGAACTAATAATAATACCCTTTATTTGGAAAACAAAAAAAAAACACGATTGTTTCACGAGCCCGACATGACCCCTATAGTAGTTCCGCTACATTTATTACTTTAGATTTCATTCATGGCCCCGTTGTAATTAACAGTCATACCATACTTTATATGGTTATATTTAATTTAAAGTCGAATAAACCGAGTCAGATTCAGTTAGATCATAATCGTGATCGACTTAGAAATTAAATAGCAAAATAGAGAATAACGTACGATCGAATCTTACCCGGTTCCGGCGAAGAAAGCGAGCGGAATCATCATCTCCCAACCATTTATCGACATGCTGCCAAAAACATTGTTATACTATAAGGTAATCGTGTACATTAAAATAAGGGATTAGAATAAATAATAACGAAAAGATAAAGACGAAACAATTATAACCTTTCCGCAACAACCCAAAAAAGGAGACGTGCGAAACGATGCGATAAAATTATATGATTGATGATTTCTTTATCTTTCTTTTTTTTGTCAATCATAGGAATGATGATTATATAAAATGTTAACAGAAACAAAACAAAAACAAAAGAGGTATAGGCACGACTTACCATATGGACAAAGCGTCAACGGCGATTCGAGCATTCTCAAGATTTCCAGTCATTATTATCAAAATCCGATAATACCAATTCTCCAAACTGTCCAAAAGACCAAATATCTACTGTTAAACGTTGTCTTGGACGCATTACAGATTGCCATAAAAGTGTGTATATATATAAATCCATAGGTACCAAAGCATGACGCCGGAAGAAGCCGAAAGCTTGAGGAAGTCCCAAAGTCCGGTGAAGGCTTCGGAAGAGAAGCCGGTCCAAGTGAGTGGACAGCCACCGCAAACGGAGTATGCTAATAGAATAAGAACATTGACCCACCAAGAGATACTGATTGTAGCCATTGTTCCCACGACTCCTAGTTTAAGCCCGTCCACAAACAACCAACACACTAAAAAGTGAACCACCAATGCAATCCCAGACGCAACCGCAGTGACCTAAAAACAACCCCAAAAAATGATTAGTCAAACAAAAAAATGTCATCTAAGAAAGGTTAATTTTTATAAAACAAACAAAAGACAAAAATATGGTAACGTATTTTCGGGAGACAAAAATAAAACTTTGAATGAAATATGTGCGTTTGAAACAATCAAATGGATGACGTACTTGGTTTTTGAGCTGGCACTGGAGGAAACGTTGAAGAGGGAAAGACAAACAGAAGGCGAAATGGAGAGGGATGACCCAAATGGCGACCTCACCGGAAAGCTCAGCGATATCGTCCGGTTGACCGAGAAATTTGAGAACCGGAGTCGTGAAAAGATAAGTCGGTAACAAAAAGAGACAACAAAAGAAGAGAACAATCCAAGAACGCTGCATATAAACTCCCAACATGTAATACTTCTTCGCTCCAAACGCTTGTCCACACAGCGTTTCCAACGCACTCGCCATTCCAAGCTACACCATTCAGATTACATTTTCTCATTTTTTTTTTTCCAATTATAAAACTTGTTATAGAGTAGTAATATAGATTTATACCAAGAGGCCGAAGTTGAAGCCGACGACAACGTTATTAACGATGGAGATTGCGGCGAGTTCTAGATCTCCGAGATGACCAGCGAAAGCTTGAGTTATTACAAGCATCGAATATGACGTTAATCTACTGAATATTGCCGGACCAACGATTTGCCATAGCTTCTTTGTCTCAACCAAAACTCTCTTATTCAATCCTCCACCGTCTTCCTCCTCCTCGTGATGGCTTTTCAACAGTGGAATCGTCGACTCCGGTTCTTCTTCTCCGCCTCTTCCTCTCATCGTTAATCCTCTCTTTTTCTCTATATTCTTTCTCTCTCTATGAGGAAATATATATAAAGAGAAAAACAAGGAGGGGAAAAGAAAGGTGAAGACAAGAGATAAGGAGTGTATGAATTGGCTATTCCAATGTAATATATTTACAAACGATGTCTCTACTGTTTTACTATACTAACTTTTTTTATAATTTTAAAAAATTCCGTAGGAATGTGAGATGGTCAGATTTGGAGTATAACAAGTTGATTGAAAAAACGACGTGCTAAGTATTATATGGTTTGATTAAATAACACTCGCAATTCGAGTTCCACTGAAATAGAGCAATCGCAGCATGTGACAGGCACGTGAAAATATTATATGGCCTGTGTGGTTAGTTTTTGCAACGTTGTTTTATTTCCACATGCGTCAGTGTCCCTTGTGATCTCATTGCTTACCCAATAATGGGTATGTCTCTGATTGACTAATGCCTAACCACAAAAAAATAAAATAAGAATATATCCTCCAAGTATTTTTTTTTTTGGCTAAGAACACACTGTAACTTTAGTAGTTGTATACGTTTACGTCGTTTTACAGCAAAGCTACAACCATTTTAGCACCGATATAACAGTAAATCATTCATTTCTTGTTTGGGTTTGACTTGTAACTTTCTATTTCGTTCCGATTGTTTCCATTTATTTTTTGTACTATTTTTGTTCCTTTCCATTTAATCGTCAGAACATGTTAGTTAGTCTACTATTTGTCTGTGTTCGAATTCATAATCGATCTTGAAAGCTTTTCTTTCATTTTTTGGCGTGGCTACATCATTTTGAGCTATCGACACTTATTCGATACAGTCATTGCTGAATAGTTCAAATAATAGTTTGTCCCGTAGTATATAATTAGAAGACTATACGTTCATGGGTCCATGGAAAAGACCGGAACACACTTATGTTGATTTTTCTCTTGGAAATATGAATGAAGACAGAAAACACTGTACAGTAGATGGAAGATGGACTGTATCTGAAACGCCAAGAAATAAAGGCTAGTTAAACTGTCTACCTAGAATCATTGTGAGTCATGAAGAATGTACTACGACAGGTGAAGAAGAAAGAAAATAAATCGTTGGAGAGACATAAATCAATCAATTAAGTCCAGTGTTCCCAAATTTCCGTCCTTGTAATTTGTATATGTGGTAAATCAACTAAATATCTTAGTGATATATAGAAACAGATTCAAGTGTAAATGTACGGATGTAAATATTCCGACATTCTTGTCATCGTGATTTGTTTGGTTTACCAAGTTTCGTCCAAAGTATCTATCTACAGGTGCACTGTTTGAAATGATCGAGGACCAATAACCACTGTTCTACGATAGATGCTATATTATGATGTTGGACCAGCAATAGCCCAAACAAGGACAGGCAGTCGACATGTGAAAGGGCTTATTTGGCCTTGTGGCAACAATAGCCCTACCCTAAGTAGTAGTTGATTTTGAATTTGTGAGGTTTTTAGGTTTTAACAATTACTAATTTTCATATGGTTCTGTGTAAAGATTCTGAAATACATATAACTCTTAGAAAATAATTATAAAGTTAAACTCAGCTATTTTTGTTTGATAACGATGACGTTAAGCACTATCTATATAGTCAAGATCTCAGATCTGAAAGTCACAGAAATATTAAATCATGTTTTGGTACTCATCATATTCCTTCAATACGATAAATTAATTTAGTAAAAAGAAAAAGCCAAGAACGTGATTTACAGTTCTGAATCAACACGAGAATGGATCTGGAGAAAACCTGGATAATATTTGTAATTCTTTTTTTTGTAAAGAGTAAACTCAGAGTGACGAACCATGTGAGATTTTTATTTGTGAAAAACAAAATAATGAAATAAATTTATTAGAACTATTACGGATTTACATAAGATATTCCACTTCCACAACAAACCACGAACAACAAATCACATGAGTCAATAACCCATTTAAAATCCACCGTAAATAGTTGCCAATCCCCGACTAATCAAACTCCATTCAACATCAACGATCGAATGACGAAATTAAATCAAATCCACGAAACTAAAGAATAATTTGGTTTAGAAAAAAAATGGAGCTAAAACAAAATGTTTTAAACGAAATCTCTAAGCTAAAACGACGGCGTAAATAACCGCAGCGAAAACGGTACTGGCGACGAAAGCCTTGTTGGACAAACCAGCGTTAGGTGGAGGAGCGGCAGCGTCGACAGGGGCCGGAGATATATCTCCAGGACTAACTGCGGGACCCTCCGGTGCTGGTGGAGAAGCGGCGGGGACATCAGACGGAGAAGGAGCGGAAGAAGGAGGAGTCGCGGTGGGGGCAGGGGTGGCTGCAGGTGGTGGAGTTGCGGTCGGAGCAGGAGTTGCGGCCGGTGGTGGGGTGGCGACGGGAGGAGGAGTGACGGTGGGAGGCGGAGGAGGAGTGGCGGTAGTAGTTGGTGAAGGAGCTGGAGCCTGAGCAATGCATGAGGTGGCGAATAGAGCCACGATCAAGAAAGCTTGGATGATGTTCGAATTCATTTTCTTCTCTCTTTAAGATTGTTTCACAGAGAAAAAGAAGAAAAGAGGTTTTCGTGATTCGGATGATAGAGAGTTTGAGCAGAGTGGTGAATGTGAGGGAAGACGATCGAGAGGTATAAAAAGAGTGTGCGAGTGTGTGAAGAGGGATCGAAAACAACAATAATTAAAATAATTCAGTATCAAATTAAATATCTTGCTGAGTTGGAAAAAAATAAGTATGTATGGAAAGTATTGCAAATCATATATAATGTAACCGTCATTTACGTGTAGTAGTATATTAACATACTGTATATGGTTTTGTAGGGTTGTAACAAAAAGGGCTGGTTTGTTTTAATCAAAATTCACTTAATATGATGCTATTCACTTATTTGTAATCTTAATGTACAATGTTATTGAGAAGAATAATGGATAGCTTAAATTTATGTATGTGTATTTAGACTTGCATGTTACCAGAACATGGGGGAGGGGGTTGACTTTTGCACCAATTAGACGTGGAAAAAGTTGGACTTTTACAATTAATTGGAATGTTTTTACAGTACTTTATTTCGAGTCATTCAAGCTGATTTTCCATGGTTAGAGATTAACCGAAATTAAACATCGTCTTAACTCGGTTAAAACTCAGACGAAACATGAAATCAATACATTAATCACGTAACAATAATTGGAGAGAGAACATAACATACAAAATTAATATCGTATCATGTTTGTCTTTCTGTTCCACTCGATCCACCCACCGGTAATATACTTTTTTCTTTATACTATAAAACTAGTACTTATAAACTTATTACTAGTATCTCTTTCCCTTGTATATGAATCTTAATTACAAAAATGATTATGAACCTTAATTAAGGAAGGACGGTGTAGTAATTATCACATGTGCGTAGCAGACCATCGGGATCATTATTGGCTGTATTGAGCTTGTTACCGTTGGATATTTGTTTATTTATTTCCTTTTGTCGACTAATCACTGATTTTATTAATAATAACAGGAGTCGGAGATAGCTGTCAGAGAATTTTAATCGTTGAATAATAGTATAAGGGAAAAAGACAATTTGATAGCCTGTAAAGGTTTCATTTCTTCAGTGGTTCCAGAAGTTTCGTATTATCTTCCACTTAAAAAATTTAATCGAATCGGTACCAACCAAGTTACATGATTAGTGAATTATATTATATATACAACAGTTGGCAATTTTATGATGCCACCATACGGTGTGAGTGTGTGACGATGACGAAACCTACTACAAACTATGCTCACAATATCAAAATAAGCTTCTCCATATACAAATTTTTGTACTATGATTTTAATGGATCTTTAATTTTTACCGTATTCTTATGGTAAAAAATTCATCTTTAACTCAGAATCCGACCGTTGACAAAAAAAGGAGATTAAAATTTACAACTGACCATTAAAATCTAAAAACGGTGACAAATGGTGCCATGTGGGTGCGAAATGGTCACGCCATGTGTCCCTCACTGAAGAGTTATGTTCGGTGGCAAGACTGGCGGAGAGCTACAATTTGTCCGACGATGCTGGGATATTCATATCCGGGTTGCCAAACAGCTACTCGATTTCGAACGGTAAAGATAACGGCGATGTCGTCGGGAAACAAACCGAAGAATCCTAGAATCCTGTGTCTTCACGGATTCAGGACTAGCGGTCGGATTCTCCAAGCCCTCATAAGCAAATGGCCGGAGACAATTCTCCGAGATCTCGACCTCGATTTCCTTGACGGTCCATTTCCGGCCACCGGGAAATCGGACGTCGAGCGGTTCTTTGATCCGCCGTATTACGAGTGGTACCAAGCTAGCAAGGTCCGTTTCAAAGAAAAACCCAAACTTTGTTCAAATTAGTGATCGATTAATGGTAAAGGTTGTGTTTTTATAGTTAGTGGATGTGTAGTATCTGCTGAATTTGACTGAGATGGAGAAAACAGAGAGGTTTGTTACTTAACTAAACTAGGTTTGGGTGTGTTGTGGTGGTGCTATTGGTTGTAGGGTTTTAGAGAATACAGGAATTTTGAAGAGTGCTTGGCTTATTTAGAGGACTACATGATAAAGAATGGACCTTTTGATGGTCTTCTTGGTTTTTCCCAGGTTGGTTTGATATGCTATTGTTGGGCTAGATTCTACTGTTTGATCACTTTGATATATATTCTTGATGTGACCATTTTGTTCTTGATATGACCAATTTGTTGTGTTGGATTCTTGTAGGGAGCATTTTTATCTGCAGCTATTCCCGGAATGCAAGAAAAGGTACATAAGCAATCTCTTCTGATGATAGTTTGTATTAATTTGATGCTGAAAACAGTGAGATTGAATGCTGAGATGAGAGTTTGAAGAATGAGACGTATTGGTTTGTTCTGAGTAAACTGTTTCTATTGATAAGATTTGATGTTGAAAACTGTTTTGTAGGGAACGGCTCTAACTAAAGTCCCAAAGGTGAAGTTCTTGGTGATCATATCCGGAATAAAATCTCCAGGGCTGATATTTGGACAGCCTAAAGCTGCTGTTGGTGCGTTCTCATCTCCAGTTCGTTGTCCGTCACTCCACTTGATAGGTAAACTTGGAACAACGTCCCTTCTCTCATGTTCTTGACTTGATTTCGCTCTTGATAAGACACTGATCAATGCCAAGTTTCTGCTAGTTTTTTTAAGCTTACAGTAATAGTGTGGCTTTGATGTAGCCAAGATTGTCATGGGAATGTTTAGATATAACCTACCTACTGTGCTTGCACTACATTTTAACATAGTTTTAAATAGCTTCTCTGCTGCGACATCTGGATTGGCTTTCGCTGTTTCTATACATAATATTTGGAACCTTAATTTAGCATGGAAAGATTGTAATTATGTATCCGGTTGCAGGCGAGAGGGATTTCTTGAAACCAGAAAGCGAAGTTCTTGCGGAATCATTTGTGGAGCCGGTGGTGATCCGCCATTCAGGTGGACACATCATACCGAAACTTGGTTAGTAAGAACCAAGCAAGCTAAACAATCTTCAGCTTCTCGTTAGATTGCTAGCAGCGGAATAAGTACTTCAAGATCTCTCTCTCTTCTTGGTTTTGATCTAATGAGCTTATCATTTGTCTTGTGCAGAAAGTAAGGCTGAGGAGGAGACAGTGTTGAGCTTCTTCCAGAGGATAAGGCAGATGCTTTCCGATGAATCATCTTCTGTAAGAAGCTTGATGTGATTGAGAGCTGCTCCAAACGGATGTCTTTGGATTGGAAGGATCTTGGAGTTATAAATTTGTGAGATGTTTATACTCTTTTGCGTATGTTTCTCTGGTTTAGTCCTTAGTCTTTGATCCACGGACAACCACTACTATCTCAATAAACTTTAGATTATTAGATGTACAAACCAAAATCAAAGTGCCACTCTTGTAATTAAGATGTTTACACATGTGTATCCATAGAGAGAGCAGCCAAAAATGGTCAAATATTGTGGTTCCACAAATGTCTATCTTTTAATATATATATATACAAACAGCCAATGTTTGTTCTTATCTACTACAGAAGATTTTCACATTTCCGTTAACGAATTTTCTACTGTGATTTATTAACAGATAATAATGATCTGAGAAGAGAAATTGTTTTTTGTGAGACTATGAACGACATTTCTCTCCAAAACACCCATTTGTGCTGCTCAAATTACTTTATCTTTTTAACAACAAAAATTATTTTCTCTTTTACAATAAACATCTGATAACGTAAACCTAATTTTGCATTTTATATTAATTTTCCTACTTTTCTTTTATTCGAAGTAAAATGATGGGAGAAGAAAAAATAAAGAATGGAGGAGGTGCACTAAAGAAGAGGAGTTAAATTATTGTCCTTTTGATGTATAGTATTTATGGGTCAAATGGATTCTCATGATAATCTATGAGTTCCACTTGTAACAAAGTTTTACTTCTTTTTCAATCTACCCTTATGCCCTATTTACTTAGCCTTGTCGGTTGCTTTTTAGTCTTTTTTTTTTTCGTTGTTGTCAATATTCATTTTTAAAATATATAATTTTCTTGTATGAGAGAATTTTGATTGAACATATCGAATTACCAATCCTATGATTACCCCCAATTTCAAAATATTATCTAGGCTAGACAATATATTTTAGGCTACACAGTAATAGAGAGGACGATCGGTTGTGTATAAATCATCACAGAGTTTTGTATTCTCACGCTTGCAGAGCTTTAACTGTTTCATTTTTATAAAGTTTAACAAGCCATCATCATCGTCAAAAATATTCAATAATTTGCTTATATATTTTGAATTAGTTGTGTACTTGTGTAACACAACTTGTGTTGCTTCCCCTATTCTCAGTACAAACTACATTTTATTTTGACAAAGTAAAATTATCATATCTCGTGAAAAATCTATAACAATTTTATTTAATCTTGGTTGTGATGACCATATCCACATCATACTAAATGTACACTGAATAAAATTCAACGTGACTATCATTGACTACGTACAACATTACATCACTCTTTTACCAAAAAAAAAAACATTACATCACTCTTCTATGTTTTTCTTTTCAGTTTATATAATATAACGAGCGTTCGTTTTTGTTATTTTTGATAAAAGACCTCTTCTAGTTCAATCTACAAAACGCGACTCATGTTGTGATTTCTGATTCACGACTAAATCCTTCCATTGTGTTATAATTTGAAAAAAATTCATTTGATTGTGTAAATGTAAAATTATTACTTAGCTGTTTACATAACGAATAATGAACGGAGACAAATACTATGTGTGTCTCCACGTAGGAAAGCGGTTTCCCGCCAGCTGACAGGTACACGTCAGCACGTCCTCTCAAACGTCTTTCAGTATCCATTTGCTTCATTCATTTCCTCCTCAGAGTCGGTGTTTTATATTTTCAGCTTCGTTATAACACATTTTTTTCTTCTTTTTACTTTACTTTAATCTTTCGTGTCAAATGAGTTATTTAATTCACTCTAAAATCTTTCACTTTGGTAATCTGAGACCCTACAAAAATCGAAACAGAGAATTTAATACTATAGTATATACGAACTAATTAATGTTGCCTATTGTTCCCTTTGGTGTAAAGTATAAACCACGTCCATGAAACTTTTAGGTTTCTTACAAATAAATAATGTAAATGCATCATGCAATTTCGTGTTGACAAGACAAATGACCCTCGACTGAATTAATGAAGAGACTAGTCATTAAAAATAATTTGGATGAATATCTGATTCTTGTGAAACTGTTTGAGAAAAGAAAAAACATAGAGATACGAAAAATTTGGCACCGTAGATCTAAAGCCAGCACAAGTTAATCGGGTGGTTATCGGCTGATAAATGATCACTTCATACGTTTCATCTTTAAACCTTTTAAAAAATATCTACACGTAATTAATTGCATTAAACTTTCTTTGATTTGATGACGCAGAATATAACAAAAACAATCATGGTTATTTAGTAAATAATTCTGAAAAGTTGACAACAAAAATTCAGACCTTGAAATTATTAAGGGCATTACTGATTTTGATGTGATTAGACTGCCCATCACTTTATTGCAGAAATATTAATGCATATTTATACTATTTGGCATATGGACAAAAATAATTATCAGCGTTTATTTTTATTGTATCTCCTTTTTTAGTTTCCCAAAAAGTTATCTCTAATACTATCCCTTCTCTTTACTTTATAAACCCTACACTAAACTATTTGTATTTTCGTGCAGAAAAACACAAAACCTTATTTCATTTATGTTTTTTGTCGCCAGCTTATTTCAAATTTTTAAATAACTCGTAAAACATATAGTAACAAACAGTGTTTTTAAACCAGCAACAGAAGTAAATTACATAACATTGTGAATCGTATTTGATTCTAAACAACAACAAAAACGACATACACATTTAAATACAGTTATTCAGTTCAATTTCAATATCATATAAATTACTTTTCTCAGTCAAAAGTTTCACTAAAATTATAATGTTTGTAGTCCATCATTAGAATTTTGATAATAATTTAAAATTTAATAGCCATATGATTAAAAACATGTAACCAATTAAGACTAAAATAAAATCTGTTTTTTTGTCTTACGAGTGTTCCGACCTAATTGACTGAAATAGTGGTAATAATTTATTATTAAGTATATTGGTTCTACTTCTTAGTTGACAAAAGAAAAGTATATTGGTTCAACTTTATTAAAACAAAAAATTAGAAAGAAAAACAAAAATGTAAAGATAAAAGAGAGCGTTACACAAAGTGTGGTTGAGGACAGATTTATTAGATTCCGATTTCCAATAACCAAGAATGTATTGAGCAAAAATAAAATAAACACTTCTCTCAACAAATCTCAAATCCAGAGAGAAGATAATCTTTCATGTCCACATTTTCTCTCTCTTCTTCTTGAACATCCTCTCTCAAAAAAACGACGTAGTTTCACATTTCTCCACTTCTTCAATGGAGTTTGAAGACAACAACAACGACGAAGAGGAAATGAATCTTCACGAGGAAGAAGAAGACGACGCCGTCTACGACTCTCCTCCTCTTCCTCCACCGTCCCGTGTCCTCAAAACCTCCACAGAAAGTCCTGACACCGCAGGAACAACCTCCACTGGTGGCGGAGGATTCATGGTGGTTCATGGCGGTCCCGGCGGCGGCGGAGGAAGCAGGTTCAGGTTCCGCGAGTGTCTCAAGAACCAAGCGGTGAACATAGGAGGACACGCGGTGGATGGTTGTGGTGAGTTTATGCCAGCTGGAATCGAAGGTACCATCGACGCGCTAAAATGCGCCGCTTGTGGCTGTCACCGTAACTTCCACCGCAAGGAACTGCCATACTTCCACCATCACGCGCCGCCGCAACAGCCTCTCCCTCCTCCGCCGGGATTCTACCGTCTTCCAGCTCCGGTGAGTTATCGACCACCACCTTCGCAAGCTCCTCCTCTCCAGCTCGCTCTCCCTCCTCCACAACAAAGAGAGAGATCAGAAGATCGGATGGAGACTTCTTCCGCGGAGGCAGGAGGGATTAGGAAGAGGCATAGGACTAAGTTCACGGCGGAGCAGAAGGAGAGGATGTTAGGTTTAGCTGAGAGGATTGGTTGGAGAATTCAGAGACAAGACGATGAAGTGATTCAGAGATTCTGTCAAGAGACTGGAGTTCCGAGACAGGTTCTCAAGGTTTGGTTGCATAACAACAAACACACTCTTGGTAAGTCGTCGTCGCCGGTTAATCATCACCATCAGAATCCTCCTCCTCCTCCTCCACAGTTTCATCATGAACAAGAGCAACCATGAATCTTGAATTTCGAATCTTGATCTTGATCGCTAGGGTTTTTTAATTTTTAGCTTATTTAAATTACTACTACTTGAGAAGAATTTGAGAACGGTTTTTATTGTTTAATTTATGTACCCATTTTCATCTTTCTGATGAGATGATCCTTTCTGGTTAATTATTACGTTTTTCATTATTGACTTCTAAATCTCGTATCGAATCCTCCTTGATTTGTCTTAAGCTATTTATTAGTGACATCACATGTGTCAGTGTTTGAATTTTTATCATGTTTTTGTGTTTGAATTTTATATGATGAATTCGTGCGTATACATGTGTGTGTATTTTGTGTATGTATTCGTTAGCATATGATTCATGTTTCTGTGTGCATTAATGCTTCCTTAGTACAATTGTTGATATTGTTCTTGTTTCTTTTTTTAAGTTCTTGGTGTTTGAAAATGTTATTATATTTCCTTGACCATCATTCCCTCGCCCACACATTTATAGATCTGATAGTCTCTTCTTGTTTCTTAACTTTTAGGTTGTTCATGTGTTGATAGATTTTCTTGATAATATTTTCCACACACACAGACACTCATATGTTATAATGTTATTATATATTGTCATTTAATTGTCCAATGAGTGTAGGACTCAAATGTGGATCGGTCGGAATCTCCTAGGGATGGAGATCTCTGCCCTAAAAAATGTTTTTCAATGGCTTGTAAACATCATATATGCGTGGATTCCTCAATCACCAATCAGTATAGATATATAAATATTTATTTACCTAAAATCATTTAATTTTTCCCCCTTGGAAATGAAAAAGGTGAAATAACATCAGCTAGCAGCTGCAACAACAGTATTCTGATTCCTGGGAATTAATTCTTCACTTCAATTATGCAAAAAAAAAAAAGACAAGAAAACTCGAACCATGTCGATGCATCCAAAGCTTCATACTGTTTATGTCTTTCTAGCTGTTTGTATATGTGTATCGATATATCTATATAGCATTGTTCTTTGAAGATCTGTGGAAGGTGACATGTGGGCTCTTTGGAAGCATGAAGGAGAAGAGATAAAAACATATGGGCACACATACATAACTACATTAATGATGTTCTTCCAAATCCCTAGACTTTGATTTCACCTGGAATTAATTTTGTTAATTTTTCTTAAGATCGTTCACTCTTTTAATTTCTGTTGATTTTCTATGTGTTATTATACTCTGATGATAATTTGAGTCAATTTAATCGAGAAAAACTTTCCCATAGGTTAATTAATAGTAGTAACGACAACTGAATCAGTTATTTAGTAAACTTAAAAAATGGTTTAGCCTAGCAAATTTATTCAAGTGGGTTTTGTGAAAGAAAGAAAAAAAACTTTTGTTTGAGGTCCATCTTTATCGAGACATTTCTGATAGCAACAAAAAAATATGAATTCGAGTGAAACTAGGGTTTTGAAGTGATGATCAGATGAAATATGCAGAGGAAAGAGGGAACAAAAATGATTGTAAAAGGAAACAAGAGGCAGATAAGATTCGAGTCCCCATCTCACGGCCACTTCCATATTTAGCCTTTCATGTCTCAACCTCTCCATGAGAGAATGCAAATAGAAAGAGGGAGAGAGAGAAAGAGAGACAAATATACACACAAATGAAAGGACTTGAGAGAGATGCTTTTGCTTGATAAGGCAATCTCTACGCCTTCTTGTCTATGTTAAAGCTGCACACTCCAAGAGTGAAGATGACTTTGTGGTCCTCTATCATTTCTCTCTTCTTTTTTTGGGGTCCAGAGTTTTGTTCTCACAAATTTCAAAACGCGTGTAGCTCAATTAGTTTGTACTTGATCGAGTTTGATCTGTACATGTTTGGGAATCATGATTAACGTTTGTTAATCCACTACATACATTACTATTCCTCCGTTTTCAATCGCAATCAGTTTTACTAACTGCTTTATAACCTAGCTTAATTCAAGGATTCAAGGAATGCTTTTCTCTCTTTTAATTTGTTGTGTGTTCCCTTCTCTCTATTTGTTTACTTCTGACTGAAAACATGATAATTATCTAAGCTTATCCGAAGAGTAATTAGTCAGTAAACTTAACTTTGGTTGAGGAGTAGTCTCCATGGCTCCACTAACAATTATGAAAAAATAAAATGATGGGGACATGTATAACATGGAGTATATGATTGTAACAGTATAATATACTCAGAGGTGAAAAATGTTTACTAGGCTTCTTGCTGCAGTAATGAGAAATGTTCGTACCATACGTTGGAGTCTGGATACGTAATAAATGTTCATAGAAACTAGTGAAACGCAGTTAAGTAAATAAAATTTAGGGTCTTTTTGGTTGTGAAGTACTTTAAATTATGAATGTATTTTATTTGTTCTGATCAGATACAAATTCAGAATTTTTGAACATAATTATTATTTTTACAGTGGTCCTCTTCTTCATGGAATCTTTCAGTCATACGCAGAAACTCATCGGACAACGACCAATCAATATGTATTTTGTGTACCATACATGTATGCATGTATATCATCAACATCATCATTCGCACAGTGTTTTTACTGTAGAATAGTTACTGTCGTTATGTTTCATTTAGGGAATCTAAATGTGACCCACAAGCAGGGTTTTATTACCACCCTTTCAAGCTAAGTTTCGAAACAGGTCATATTATTAAAAAAAGAAAAGAGAAAAAGCTCGATTTTGATTGCGTAAATAATTATATAGGACCGGCTAGGGTTAGGGTTTTCTTTTCTTTTTTTTCTTTAAACTATATGATATTTCCATACTCTTAGCTTCACAACCATTAACCTAATTTGGGAAAATTATGATGATTCACGTGCAACCGAACAATCTTCTCTTTTTCCCTTTATCACCGATTCTTGAGGATGTAGTTTATTAGTAACGTAGTATCTTATCATATAAAATTAGGTACGGTTTTATGTAATTACTGAAAGATATAATTTGTTTTTCTCTCTACAAAAGGAAAAGTNTAAAATTTAATAGCCATATGATTAAAAACATGTAACCAATTAAGACTAAAATAAAATCTGTTTTTTTGTCTTACGAGTGTTCCGACCTAATTGACTGAAATAGTGGTAATAATTTATTATTAAGTATATTGGTTCTACTTCTTAGTTGACAAAAGAAAAGTATATTGGTTCAACTTTATTAAAACAAAAAATTAGAAAGAAAAACAAAAATGTAAAGATAAAAGAGAGCGTTACACAAAGTGTGGTTGAGGACAGATTTATTAGATTCCGATTTCCAATAACCAAGAATGTATTGAGCAAAAATAAAATAAACACTTCTCTCAACAAATCTCAAATCCAGAGAGAAGATAATCTTTCATGTCCACATTTTCTCTCTCTTCTTCTTGAACATCCTCTCTCAAAAAAACGACGTAGTTTCACATTTCTCCACTTCTTCAATGGAGTTTGAAGACAACAACAACGACGAAGAGGAAATGAATCTTCACGAGGAAGAAGAAGACGACGCCGTCTACGACTCTCCTCCTCTTCCTCCACCGTCCCGTGTCCTCAAAACCTCCACAGAAAGTCCTGACACCGCAGGAACAACCTCCACTGGTGGCGGAGGATTCATGGTGGTTCATGGCGGTCCCGGCGGCGGCGGAGGAAGCAGGTTCAGGTTCCGCGAGTGTCTCAAGAACCAAGCGGTGAACATAGGAGGACACGCGGTGGATGGTTGTGGTGAGTTTATGCCAGCTGGAATCGAAGGTACCATCGACGCGCTAAAATGCGCCGCTTGTGGCTGTCACCGTAACTTCCACCGCAAGGAACTGCCATACTTCCACCATCACGCGCCGCCGCAACAGCCTCTCCCTCCTCCGCCGGGATTCTACCGTCTTCCAGCTCCGGTGAGTTATCGACCACCACCTTCGCAAGCTCCTCCTCTCCAGCTCGCTCTCCCTCCTCCACAACAAAGAGAGAGATCAGAAGATCGGATGGAGACTTCTTCCGCGGAGGCAGGAGGGATTAGGAAGAGGCATAGGACTAAGTTCACGGCGGAGCAGAAGGAGAGGATGTTAGGTTTAGCTGAGAGGATTGGTTGGAGAATTCAGAGACAAGACGATGAAGTGATTCAGAGATTCTGTCAAGAGACTGGAGTTCCGAGACAGGTTCTCAAGGTTTGGTTGCATAACAACAAACACACTCTTGGTAAGTCGTCGTCGCCGGTTAATCATCACCATCAGAATCCTCCTCCTCCTCCTCCACAGTTTCATCATGAACAAGAGCAACCATGAATCTTGAATTTCGAATCTTGATCTTGATCGCTAGGGTTTTTTAATTTTTAGCTTATTTAAATTACTACTACTTGAGAAGAATTTGAGAACGGTTTTTATTGTTTAATTTATGTACCCATTTTCATCTTTCTGATGAGATGATCCTTTCTGGTTAATTATTACGTTTTTCATTATTGACTTCTAAATCTCGTATCGAATCCTCCTTGATTTGTCTTAAGCTATTTATTAGTGACATCACATGTGTCAGTGTTTGAATTTTTATCATGTTTTTGTGTTTGAATTTTATATGATGAATTCGTGCGTATACATGTGTGTGTATTTTGTGTATGTATTCGTTAGCATATGATTCATGTTTCTGTGTGCATTAATGCTTCCTTAGTACAATTGTTGATATTGTTCTTGTTTCTTTTTTTAAGTTCTTGGTGTTTGAAAATGTTATTATATTTCCTTGACCATCATTCCCTCGCCCACACATTTATAGATCTGATAGTCTCTTCTTGTTTCTTAACTTTTAGGTTGTTCATGTGTTGATAGATTTTCTTGATAATATTTTCCACACACACAGACACTCATATGTTATAATGTTATTATATATTGTCATTTAATTGTCCAATGAGTGTAGGACTCAAATGTGGATCGGTCGGAATCTCCTAGGGATGGAGATCTCTGCCCTAAAAAATGTTTTTCAATGGCTTGTAAACATCATATATGCGTGGATTCCTCAATCACCAATCAGTATAGATATATAAATATTTATTTACCTAAAATCATTTAATTTTTCCCCCTTGGAAATGAAAAAGGTGAAATAACATCAGCTAGCAGCTGCAACAACAGTATTCTGATTCCTGGGAATTAATTCTTCACTTCAATTATGCAAAAAAAAAAAAGACAAGAAAACTCGAACCATGTCGATGCATCCAAAGCTTCATACTGTTTATGTCTTTCTAGCTGTTTGTATATGTGTATCGATATATCTATATAGCATTGTTCTTTGAAGATCTGTGGAAGGTGACATGTGGGCTCTTTGGAAGCATGAAGGAGAAGAGATAAAAACATATGGGCACACATACATAACTACATTAATGATGTTCTTCCAAATCCCTAGACTTTGATTTCACCTGGAATTAATTTTGTTAATTTTTCTTAAGATCGTTCACTCTTTTAATTTCTGTTGATTTTCTATGTGTTATTATACTCTGATGATAATTTGAGTCAATTTAATCGAGAAAAACTTTCCCATAGGTTAATTAATAGTAGTAACGACAACTGAATCAGTTATTTAGTAAACTTAAAAAATGGTTTAGCCTAGCAAATTTATTCAAGTGGGTTTTGTGAAAGAAAGAAAAAAAACTTTTGTTTGAGGTCCATCTTTATCGAGACATTTCTGATAGCAACAAAAAAATATGAATTCGAGTGAAACTAGGGTTTTGAAGTGATGATCAGATGAAATATGCAGAGGAAAGAGGGAACAAAAATGATTGTAAAAGGAAACAAGAGGCAGATAAGATTCGAGTCCCCATCTCACGGCCACTTCCATATTTAGCCTTTCATGTCTCAACCTCTCCATGAGAGAATGCAAATAGAAAGAGGGAGAGAGAGAAAGAGAGACAAATATACACACAAATGAAAGGACTTGAGAGAGATGCTTTTGCTTGATAAGGCAATCTCTACGCCTTCTTGTCTATGTTAAAGCTGCACACTCCAAGAGTGAAGATGACTTTGTGGTCCTCTATCATTTCTCTCTTCTTTTTTTGGGGTCCAGAGTTTTGTTCTCACAAATTTCAAAACGCGTGTAGCTCAATTAGTTTGTACTTGATCGAGTTTGATCTGTACATGTTTGGGAATCATGATTAACGTTTGTTAATCCACTACATACATTACTATTCCTCCGTTTTCAATCGCAATCAGTTTTACTAACTGCTTTATAACCTAGCTTAATTCAAGGATTCAAGGAATGCTTTTCTCTCTTTTAATTTGTTGTGTGTTCCCTTCTCTCTATTTGTTTACTTCTGACTGAAAACATGATAATTATCTAAGCTTATCCGAAGAGTAATTAGTCAGTAAACTTAACTTTGGTTGAGGAGTAGTCTCCATGGCTCCACTAACAATTATGAAAAAATAAAATGATGGGGACATGTATAACATGGAGTATATGATTGTAACAGTATAATATACTCAGAGGTGAAAAATGTTTACTAGGCTTCTTGCTGCAGTAATGAGAAATGTTCGTACCATACGTTGGAGTCTGGATACGTAATAAATGTTCATAGAAACTAGTGAAACGCAGTTAAGTAAATAAAATTTAGGGTCTTTTTGGTTGTGAAGTACTTTAAATTATGAATGTATTTTATTTGTTCTGATCAGATACAAATTCAGAATTTTTGAACATAATTATTATTTTTACAGTGGTCCTCTTCTTCATGGAATCTTTCAGTCATACGCAGAAACTCATCGGACAACGACCAATCAATATGTATTTTGTGTACCATACATGTATGCATGTATATCATCAACATCATCATTCGCACAGTGTTTTTACTGTAGAATAGTTACTGTCGTTATGTTTCATTTAGGGAATCTAAATGTGACCCACAAGCAGGGTTTTATTACCACCCTTTCAAGCTAAGTTTCGAAACAGGTCATATTATTAAAAAAAGAAAAGAGAAAAAGCTCGATTTTGATTGCGTAAATAATTATATAGGACCGGCTAGGGTTAGGGTTTTCTTTTCTTTTTTTTCTTTAAACTATATGATATTTCCATACTCTTAGCTTCACAACCATTAACCTAATTTGGGAAAATTATGATGATTCACGTGCAACCGAACAATCTTCTCTTTTTCCCTTTATCACCGATTCTTGAGGATGTAGTTTATTAGTAACGTAGTATCTTATCATATAAAATTAGGTACGGTTTTATGTAATTACTGAAAGATATAATTTGTTTTTCTCTCTACAAAAGGAAAAGTATTTTCTCTTTAGTATATGTGTAAAAAGAAAAAGCAAAGGTTCAAAAAAAGTTTAGAAGCTATAACTTTTAGCAACCTTTTTTTATAAGGGAAAATAATTAAAATAATTTTGTTTTGGACAGTTGAATGACTATGACGACTCATTATGACGAAGCCCAATGTAAGAATTATAAAAGTTTATTTGTTTTGTATTGTTGTCTTCACTTACTCCACTGTCCAAATAGTTCTTCATTTCAAATTTTCACACACACACACACACACATTGCTTGTATGTATATGTGTACGTTCATGCGGATCCCAAAATTGTCCTTTTAAGTTTTAAACACCAAGATTTTTAAATCAGGACCAAATCTAGACAAATTTATAGAATATGTAGTGATCAAGTAAAATCCGTAGCGCACTAAAAGCTTTAATGACAAGTAGACAATAGTGGCTGATTTTACTGAGAATGAGAAATTGCGTGAGTTACTATCGTAATTATTTATTAAGAAATACTTGTACAAACTAGCATTTTTCGTAATATATTAAAATTTAACATATCTTAGTTCACTAAATTTTTTTCCGGAAAGACTGGACCGATTTCTTTGATGAAGAGTAGAGATTTTTACCCTTTTGAGATTGAGAATAATATATTGATCAACTGATACAAATAAAATGTAGAAAGTATTATAGTTTTTTTCTCCAAACCCAATTATTTAGATGGTCGACACAATCGCTGGTGTGCAGAACGACATTGGTAGGCCCAAATGATTATTTTTAAAGAATATAGTATTGGCCCATCACCCATACTTACAGAACCTAGAGGTCTAGTAGTGGACCGGGACTCCAATCATTTATAAATAAAATTTGTCTTTTTTTTTCATGAAAAATTTATTTTCCATAAAAAATTTAGATTTTGGATTTTTGTTAATAAAGCTACAAAAAGCACAAAATCTCCATAAATAAGTTACTTAGATTATTTGGTCTCTTACGTCAGCTTGAAGTCAAAGACTTCTGTTAGTTGGCCCAATTCTAAGCCCGTTAGTGTTATGCGCGTCTTACTTTTTCCTAAACGACATCGTTTGAAATAGTCAACTCTAAGCGAACTACCTAACCGATACGGTTATTTTCCCGCTATATTTATTTGGCGGGAACCAAAAACAAAAAAACACAACACTCTGTTTTTGTTTGTTCCTATTTTCTACCAATATTAAATAAAAAAGATTTATCATCCATCCTTTAACAAGAAATAATAATATATATTGGAATTTAAATAAATGTTTATTTTTATTTTAAAATTTTGCTATGATTATTTTTCTTTTTCAACCTCTTCCTCAAGACATAATGATAATTGATAATAATTTATCAAAAAAAGAAAACAGAGAAAATTAAGAGCGATGTGTATGAGCAGAAGAATCATGAGTCTTAAAGCTGAAACAACAAGCTGATACTTCTAAAACCCCATTGGGTGTTTGTGAACATAAGCCTGAGCCATCCATCTCTATCATTTCCCCAATCTTCTTCACTCTCTCCTGCAACAGAGTTTAAACAATAAAAAGTTTAACGACTTGACAAACACAAAGATCTCATCAGCTATTTTGGGTGTAGACAAAGATGATCTAGATGGAAATCAGTCTATTTTTTATGGATTGCTAGATCAAATCAGAATCAACCATACCACAGCATGCTTTGTGGGGGCAAGATTTGGTTTTAGATGTGACTAGAGTGTACAGTGAGTGTGTATGTGAGAGAGAGAGAGTCACAAGACACACAGCTAGAGAATAATCTACTTTAAAGTGGTCTTTGGTCTATACGCTCCACTAGTTTCGGAAGTCAAAGGGTTCAGACTTCAGACCCATAAAACAATTTTCTTTTTCTTTTAACATATATAATTACACATGTGTATGCAATGCATGAGTCAGTGCACACACACACATATATAAAAATGTACCATCTTTAATAATTTCAATCTTCTCCACAACTGGCATTTCCTTGAAATTTGCTGCTTTATATTTGATATATTAAAAACAGTTTCTTTATGAGTTTGAGATTTTGGATGGATTGTTTACCTTTTGAAGTAGTGAGAAAAGAGGAGAGAAGTGAGGGTTGTCAAAGTGTACTGTTTGCAATTCTCCAGAAACAGAAAGTGCCACTGCAGCAGCAACTTCAGAAGGTCTAAACTCCAAAAAGTCAATACCTGCTCACTCACACAACCACCATTATACTCCAAAATTTTCACCCAAACAAAAATAAAAAGGGAAAAGTTTTATAGAAACCCAAAAAAGCACAAAAACAAAAGTGGTCAGGCAAAAACAAAACATAAAAGGAGAGACCTTTTGCTCACCTTTGTTTGTGCTGGCTATCACTTGTAGTGATCTAGATATCAATGTGTTGGATGGTTCTTGATCACATTTGCTCATCTTCCTCAGGAAATATCTTATGAATGAGCACGGAGTTATAGCTCTCAATCTCCATTCCAACTTGTTCAACACCAAAAGCTCCATTCTTTGGATTGATTTAGCCTCAAACACAAACTGAGGATCTCCAACCTGTTTACCAAAATGTGATCAGAATCGCAACTGATGTAAGAGATTAGCGGATCAAAACATTTAGGGGAGAGATTAAAAGCACCTGAAGATCTATCAACATTGGAACTTCAGTTTCTTCAGTTTTGGCTGCCAATGATAAACAAGCCACAGCCAACAACTGAAGTGTCCACACTTTGTCACTCTACAAGAAAGAATTAATAAATCAACAAATGGGAAGGGCTAAAAAGCAATTTCAATGTTTAGGATGTGAAGGAACTTACAGGCAAATCATAAACCGATAAGAATCGATCCAAGTAGTTCATTGACAAGCAAATACACAATGGTCCAAACTGGTGTTCTTCACAAGCCTGTTGTAATATGTAACAAGACACAAAAAAATATCAAAAGTGATCTCCTTTCCTATTTCTCTGGCATTTAGAGATCTATGACTCTTAGATTGAGGTGAATCTATTGTCAATAGGGCAATCAGATTCGCAGATTAAAGACAAAAGCTCTTTCTTTTGTTCTGCATAAAACCCTGATCTAACAACACTCTCGTTATGTCCAGATCATTTATCAAAAGTTATGTGATTTTCAGAATTTGAGCTGATTCAAAACCAATCAACATCCCAATTTAATTAAAGAGAAAAGATTGAGAACGAAAAATCAGACCTTCCAAATCCAATTAAGGGCTTCTCTTCTTTTGGCATTCAAATCCGAATCGCCACTTCTGAGTCTGTTGATGTAATCATCACTTGGCAAATGCTGCTTCTCTTTCTCCATCATCTCTCTGATAATCTCTTCGCTCTCCGATGGAAAACCCATCTGAGCAATCGAATTTTCAGCAACACCACCAATTGGAATTGTCTCAACAACTATGCCGTTCTCTGTACATAAAAGGCTCAGTTCCATATTATCTGCCATTATAACAAAGAGTTTTCAAAAAGTAAAATTGGTCCTTTCTCGATCTAAAAAGAATAATATTGTTAAGAAATTTGGACAAGGATTGTCATCTAGAGATTGGCAAGTGAAAGAAAGATTGGGTCTTTGAATTTTCTTTTTGCCCTCGTGGAGGTGATTTTTGTTTTGGGGTTGAGGTGTAAAACCAAAGGGAGGAGCTTTTTTTTTATATTGAGGAGGTGAAGAAATCAGAAATGTGGGTTTTATGGTAAGTGGGTAATGTGTGTGACAGATGAGAATTGAGGAAGAAGATGAAAGAATAGAGATTTGAAAATTTTAGAAAGTGATTTGACTAGCATGGTAACAAATGTTTCCTCACTTGAAGATTTATGGAAAATTATTTGAGATTTGAGGTAGGAAATGAAGCTTGTTGGTTTTATTTGTCGTTTTTTAGGTTTCCGATGATAAATCAAGTAAATTCAGATTATTAGTTCCGTAACACATATTTTATATATTTTTTGAAATTTGAAATACATGCGGTAAAACGTCTGTATTTTAAAAATATTTGTACAATACTAAAATAGACAATGTTGAAAAATATGACCACATTATATATTTTCACAATTTATGATTTTGTTCTTGTTTTTACAATGAATATAGTTTGACTACTATTTTAAAACAGTATCAAATCCATTATTTAAAAAAAAAACATTTTCTTTTAGTTTTTAAAAATAAAAAATCAATATAATAGGATCAAGATCTTGTGGTAATTTGTAAGTACAAGATAGAATTATTTTCCAAGTATACTAATGTTATATTGTGATATCGTTCTTTTTCAGGCGGGAATGTTCGCCGAACCATGAGATTTTGTTTTCTGAATACAATCAAATTAAACCAAAAAAAGATTATTCAAACAAACTTATGTAAATTATATTAACATGCCATAAATAAAATGGTTTGAATGTTGTATTGACTCAAAATCTATTACTGATGATGTTTGAACTTTGAAGCATTTGCTGTGATTGATCTTTGACCAAATGTTTTTGACTCTAATGTCACTTTTAGTCTTAGATTCAATGATTTCACAATTACTACAATCATTGCATATAGTTTGAATGGAACGAGTCTACTGTAGACATGCATAAAACTATGCCATATACTAACTTGAGTTTAATATATGGTCTTTGTGTTTTTTAGTACAATATGTCTTTCTTTACTATGGTTTTATTTACCCAAAGATACTGTCTTCTGTTTTACCCAACATATAAGATTAACTATAACTCTATAAGGTCTTTGTTTATATATAAAATGCTCTTTCTCCCCAAGTGGAGGTCGAGTTTTCGAACCCAAAGATTCTAATTACTATATTTCTTTAAAGTGATGACTGAAAGATTCTACACAGGAAAGATTTTTAAAACAATTTATACCGTCTACAATATATTTTCATCCAACTAATTTCTAAGGATCATGGACGGACACCGATAATCAGAGACTTTCTTCGGTTTGTTTGTTTGTCAAGTTCTGATATTCCAAAATCTAGATTTATATGTTTACAAGAAAAAATTTCTACAATTGCGACAGAAACCATGTTGAGGAAGGATTTCGGGTTTGGAGAATACTAAAAAGTATAGAAGAAATGAATATCATTTTTACCAAAGGTGTTTTTTCCTTTTGTTGGTAACAGTAACAACCAGAGCTGAAATCACGTGCGAGCTAATAAACTTTGGTTTGTTTTACAGTCTTTATCTTTTTCTGAAAAGATTGGTAAGAAGAAACAAAGGGTTCTAACTAAAGGGAAAATAAGAAGATGCATTTCGAATTAGACCAACAAGACTTACTCTTAAGTCTTGACTCTATAAAATATATATATTTTTCATGCATGCAAATACCAGACAGAAGTGGTCCAAGTACACTTTTGATGTTTTGCTTATCTTTGTGTGTTCTGAGATTCTAACTTTTAAATACTGCCTCACTATCTCACTCTCGATGTAACTTTCTGTATGGTGAATAAATAATTGTGTGTATTAATGTATTATTATGCTGTGCACGCCTATGGACCCGGTCAAACGAAGAGTGTGTCGAAATCACATGCCTTAATGCTTCGAGTTCGAGTAAAACGCCAAAATTTCATCATAGTTCAACCAAACCTAAACCAATTACAAATTGCTTTAGATCCCACTCTCATAGTGAAATCACGCTTTTAAGTAAACCGCAAACGTTCATCGTAGACAAGACACTCTCAATATTGATTGAAATATAAATCTCAAGAAGAAAATAGCAAAGATGAGATGACAAATTATATAAAAAAGAACAGAGTTGGAACAGATCAGAGAAGAGCAGACAACACCAAAGCTGTGCACATAATATGTCATAAAAAACACATTTTTTTTCGACAAGTTTTAGAGCAAAGGAGGTTTTTGGGGTTTGAACGCGATTCTTGTTTACGATTGTGGAGACATTAGATTTCTTCCACAAGACCTTCAGGCCTCATCCATCTGCTCCTGAATAAACCAGTCGATCATTGAGTTTTTTTGGGTGTTATTATCTGAATGGTCTTAATAAAGAGTATCTATGACTATGATCACAACACTAAGCGAATGAATATGAAGAAAGGGTAGAGAACTAGACTAACCTGCATATCGGAGGTCCAAAGGGTTAGATTGTCCCTTAGCAACTGCATGATGAGAGTACTGTCCTTGTACGACTCCTCTCCCAATGTGTCCAGCTCAGCAATGGCTTCTTCAAAAGCCTACAGATGAAAATCCAACAATCAGTGACCTCTTAAGTCTTTACTAAATCCTGTATCACTCAATCTGGTCTTTAATTAATGTATGAGAGATGTTATGGTTCTAAAGAGATTCTACTGACAAAAAGAATAATCTGGGCTAATGTGAGGCGTAAGTCAAAAAAGTTGTAAAGAAGAGAACTTTTGCAGGACGTCTTTTTCTTTAGAATCTCTGTTTATTAAAAGAAGTGGGTCCGTTCAGAAACAACGAAAGAGTTGCTTTTTACTACCACTTACCAACCTCTCTATTTCTGGTAGATTTTCAAAATACATTCAAATCAATCCAAATGAATGAAAGATAGAGACAGCAAGATTAGTAAACAAGTGGTCACTTAAGTCACTCAAAAAAATCAAGCTAGAAACAGAGTAAAAGTATTCATAACAAAACACAGATAGTGAATGATTTATGATTGTATCACACATAGAAACAAACATGCAGTTTAGAGAATGAAGAAATAGAGTACCTGCTTGGCCATGCTACAAGCTTTCTCTGAAGAGTTGAGAATCTCATAGTAAAACACTGAGAAATTGAGGGCAAGACCCAGCCTGATCGGATGTGTAGGCGCTAGATCAGCAACCGCAACGTCCTTCAAAGACATTTACACAGAAAAATAAAGTCAGAACATTTTTGTGAGAGGCTCGTTTGCACTCCAAAGCAGATTAAGGAAGCAATTGAATGCTCTTTTAAGACGAAAATGTAAAAGTTGACTACTTGTAACGATTTGATCAGAGTGGAAAAGCTTGATTTGAGGTCAATTAATTACTAATTACAGATTAGCTAATCGAAGCAATATCAGAAATATTAGGGATTTTGCTATAGAGTAGCTACCGAAACTAGATCGATTCACAGTAGCTATAGACGAAAACAGAAAGAGATTCAAAGAGAAAAGTGAAATTGATTATACCTGAGCAGCTTTGTAGGCGATCATGGTATCTTCGGCAGCAGTTTTCCTCTCATCTCCAGATTTGAACTCGGCGAGATAGCGATGGTAATCTCCTTTCATCTTCAGGTAAAAGACCTTAGACTCGCTGGCGGTGGCGGAAGGGATCAGATGCGTGTCGAGCAGCCTGAGGATTCCAGAGCAGATCGAGGAGAGCTCAGTCTCGACCTTAGATCTGTAATCCTTGACGAGCGACACGTGTTCCTCGTTCTTCCTGCTCTCTTCCTTCTGCTCAATCGACGATACGATCCTCCAGGCAGCGCGAAGAGATCCAATCACGTTCTTGTACGCGACGGAGAGAAGGTTCCTCTCCTCCACCGTGAGCTCGCCGGCTGGTGTAGCTCCGCCTACGAGCTGCTCCATGAATTGGACCATTTCCTCGTAACGCTCCGCTTGCTCAGCGAGCTTCGCCATGTACACGTACTGATCTCTGCTTAACGTCGCCGCCATTAGAGAGATCTCGGTTTTTTTTGTTTTTGTTTTGACGGAAATTTGAAATCGGAGGAAATTTCTGGAAGAAAAAAAGAAACTGAGAAGAAGAAAAGAGGAATAAAAAGAGAGCCTCATAGCCGAGTCACAATGAGCTGTAAAATGAAGTTCGCTCCACTCGCGCGTGGGCAACACTCTTTACCCAAACGACGACGTTGGTTGTAACAAACTTTGTGAGCGTGAGGCCCACGTGAAGGCTGTGAGGCGCGTGGGGAGATGGCTAGGTTTTGGTTTTTCGATAAGAGCGAGTGAATGGACATGGAAACGATGATAATTTAGTGCGTCAGATTCCACCAGTTGACACTGTTGAAAGTCAAAAGTTAGAATATGGGCTTTTGTTTGGGTCTGTTATGAGTCTCTGAAGCCCATTTAGGTTATAATACCTTGCTGGCTAAGCATATGCGTTTTCGGCGTGACCTGGACACAACTAATGCGGTCGGAGAAAAGACATATGAAGACAAGAAAAAGTTGTCTAGAATTTCTTTCGCATGATACTACTAGTTTATTTTGGTCAACAGTATTAGGCCTTAGTTTAGTTTGTTGATATGCGCATTATTAAGAAATTAAAAAAAATTAATTAGTTTTAATTTCCCAATACATAAAACTTTAAACGTCGGATCAAATCAACTGTATAGTCTGTATTCGTTAATCGATTAATTTGTGTTTCAATAAATGAGAATTGATGAAATTTATGCTCAATAAATTCAATAGTCAAATAGAATAATTCAGATCCCGCAGGATAATTGGTAGGCAGGAAGAAGAAACACAAAGTTGGTTAATCAAATGCGACCACATCATTAGAACACGAAAGATAAATAAATCGATTACTCATCTTTCTAATAATTGCAAGTTGTTTAGGTTATTGTTTTTTCTCTTCTAGAAATATTGCTAGTGTACGTAATAAATAATACTCCATACTTCAATTTTGTTTTTTTGACTTCCACACTCGTAGAAATATAACATTACCTTAATTTATAACAAAAACCAAAATCCTCACTCTTAAAATAATAGGCTTGTAGAAAATACTTAAAAAATGTAACACAAGTGGACTGAGTCTTGGATACAGCAGGCACCGTCAGGCGCGCGTAACGTTGCCGTTATGGAAAAGGGCGTGTCTCCACTTGCCACGTCAAGTTGATGCAGGCGTCTTAAAGTCTCCGTCACCGTCAACTGACGTCTCCATCCAACGCCGCTCTCTCCGCTCCGTCAAAATCCCCTTACCGTATAATGTACACATATATATGTACACTTTCTCCATGATGGCGCAAGTTTTAGTAAATTCAGAGATTAAAAAAAGAAGAAAAATATAGGATCTTCATCGATCTTCCATTTTTTCCCCCGAATCCGCCATTTTTGTTTCTCTTCATTCTGCATTTGACTCAATGACTGTCACTGGCGGAATTTTCTTTCCGTAGTCGTCATATTTTATATATTTTTTTTATCAGTTTGTTCTACTGGGAATTTCGGTTTCACACTTGCCTTCTCTCTCACTGAGAAAATTCACCGGAGGTTTGCTTTGGGCAGTGTAAGTGAGCTAATGCATTTGCTTTTGTCGTTTCGATTAGTAGATCGGCTCTTCAATTTCGCGTGTTTCCGTTCACGATTTCGCTTCCTTCATGTGAATTTCGTGGAAGCGAAAAAGTAACTCTCATCTTTCTCTTTTTTCCCTTTTGGCCGTTTCAGTAGAATTTCGCTTTTGTAGCCGTCGATTCGTTTCAGGAATAAACCGATTTTTCTAGATAGATTCCAGTTGCTATGCGCTAGGGATTTGATAGTTGTTTGTGAATGGAACAATCTGCATTTTGATAACTTCTCCTTCATAATCTCCGTTGGGATTTTTGAATTTCAGGTTAGAGAACAATGTTCAGAGAAGCTGGCTTAAGAAGCTTAGGAGAGGTATGAACAAAAACATTCTCTATCTTATTTGATTCACTATGTAGCTAACAAGCTATTGATTCGTTTTTGAGCTGTGAATAGGATGTTGGTTCGAGGTGGAAGATTGGTAACCGGAAAATGGATGCTAAATCTGTTGGCAATGGTTATGGAATGAGGACTGCTCCTCCGTTTACGAGAGGTAATAATAAGAATGGTGGATCAAGTTCAGATATGGACATTGCATCTTCTAATTCAGATGAAGAGACATCCGAGAGGCGTCACCACTCACCTCAACGATCTCCTCAAGATTATAAAATTCATCTTGGCTTGCCTCACTTATACTCAATGGCAGCTGCTCACGATGGACTTGGTCGCAGTGGTGCAAAGGCCTTTGTTGGAGATGACTTATCAGACTCAGCTACAAGCACCGAAGTCTCATATGTATACTTTTCCTTCTTAATTTTTTTTTGGTGTGAATATTCTGTATAATCTCTTCTCTGATTGATTGTAACGTTTACAGGAAGCAGAAGCTTGTGGTGGTGTGAGGAACAATGCTTCTTCGCATAATGAATGTGAAACAAGAAGAAATGTTGAAGCTGAGACTTCAGGAAGGACCAATACTTCAACATTGCCTCGTTTCCCAACCTTTCACGCCAGGTTTGAGTTACATATCTCTCTTATATTTTGTTATCTTACTCTTCTCTGTAAATACTTAATTCCAGTTTTGGTTTTTGGTATGTTTGATTGCAGTGAGCAAGGTCCATGGTCTGCTATGATTGCTTATGAAGCCTGTGTCAGGCTATGTCTTCATTCATTGTCAGTTGATAGTGTCAGTGACGCTTCTTACTTCCTAAACAACGAATGCACTGTAATGCGAAATGCGTTTAGTTTGGAGAAGTTTTTCCTTCAGTCCGAAGAAGAGTTACTGGGAAAGAGACCTTCTGAGTTGGTTACAGAGACATCTGCTCCTAAATCCAAGAAAACTATTGGGAAAATTAGACTCCAAGGTATAAATACGTTCATATATACCTTTTCTTCTTCCCACACCATTTGGTTGATTTGTAGCAGTTGTGTTGATAAAAGTATGGTTTTGTGACAGTTAAGAGAATTAAAATGGGAATAGATTCACCACCTGGGTGTAACATTGCATCACTGACGGTCTCCAAGGAGAAGCTCGAGGTTGTTCGACAGCACATTGCGGAACTGAATTCGACTTTATCTTCTGGATGGAAAGCAGCCAAGAAAGTTCATGTCACTCCTCAAGTTCCGCTAAATGGCTCAGTCTCGCGTCAAAGTTTGGCTTACCTTCAGGCAGCTGCTCGCTACCTTAAACAGGTTTCAAAGGCTGTTAAAACCGAAATGGTTGCATCTCACAACGGACCTCAAACTTATGAAACAGTACAAGGTATTGACATTGTAGTATGGACATTACTCATCTTCTTAATATTAGTCATCTGTGTTTGATTATTTCTGTTTTTCAGAAACATATTCATGTTCCTTGAGGTTAAAGAGCTATGCTGAAGAGGATCAAACTAGGACGCAACCTGGATCTGGCGAGACTTTTGTTTTGTAAGTGCCCTTTGTTTATTCCATCTGATCATTAAGCTTCTTTCTCTCTACTTCTTTATTGGTGGATCTTAATGTACTTTTCTCTTGTAGCTCACCAGATAGTCTTGGTGATGATTTGATCATTGAAGTCCGAGATTCGAAGGGGCAACAACTTGGTGGTGTTGTAGCGCAGCTAGCAGCTATAGCTGATGATCCGGTAACATTCTCTCCCTCTATCTCGCTTTCTCATAAGCTTTTAGTCTTTAGATGATGAAGAACTTAAGTCTTTATTTTTGCTTATCAGACCGAGAAGGGACGATGGTGGCCAATATATCATGAACCAGAGCATGAACTTATTGGGAGAATCCAACTTTATATAAGTTACTCAAGCAGTCTAGATGGAAAAACTAAATGTGGGTTGGTGGCAGAGACTTCAGCGTATGATCTTGTCGTAGAGGTGGCTATGAAAGCAGAACGGTTTCAGCGAAGAAATTTAGTGTTTAAGGGACCATGGCGCTGGATGATAACTCGGTTCGCATCTTATTATGGGATTTCAGATGCCTACACAAGATTAAGGTAAGAAATATATGACAGATAATGGTTTTAGTTTCTTAAATTATCTTTGTGGTAATTAAGCAGTGTTGTGAGAATTTGCAGATATCTTTCTTATGTGATGGATGTGGCATCACCTACCAAGGACTGTCTTGATCTGATATATGATTTTCTATTCCCTATTATGATGAAAAGCAACTACAAGGCTGTATTGAGTCATCAAGAGGTGTGTTAGTTTTGATTGTGAAGTTGTTCACTTCATTATTCAAGTAGCTTTACTTAATCTTTTGGTGCCTTTTTTGTCAGAATCGACTACTGGGGGAAATTGACGAACAAATTCAGTTGATACTAGCTTCAGCATTTGAGAATTACAAATCTTTAGACGAACTGTCTTTCTCGGGCATGAAAGATGTTTTTGAGTCTGCTACGGGGACTCCAGCACCGGCTATAGAATCAGCTGTCAAGCTTTATGGTCTTCTCAACGATGTATTAACCCCGGAGGCACAGCTGAAGCTTTGCAGATACTTTCAGGTATCAATCACATTCTTTATCTGTCTCCCTCTCTCTCTTGACCATATTTGATTATTAGTAATTTAGTATATGTGATAATCACCTATGGAAACCATTCAGGCTGCTTCAAAGAAGAGGTCAAGAAGGCATTTACTAGAAACAAACGACTTACTGAGCAACCGTAGTGAAGGTGCTTCACCAGTCGATCCCATGGCGCTTGTAGCTTCTTATCAGAAGATGAAGTCTCTTACCTTGAGCCTTAAGAGTGAAATATCCACTGACATAGCGATCCATAACTGCAATGTGCTCCCAAGGTTTGTTTAAGACTCTCAAGTCATAGATATATATACTGTTTGTTTCTCAGTCTATTGTTTTTGATGATTCTCTCTGTGAACTCTCAAGCAGCTTTATAGACCTTCCAAATCTTTCAGCGTCAATATATAGTGTGGATCTCTGCAATAGGCTGAGGGAATTTCTTCTCGTATGGCCTCCTCCTGGACCATCGCCTCCGGTTGTTGACCTTGTTATCACAACTGCTGACTTTCAGAGAGACATCTCTAGCTGGAACATAAAGTAATTAAACTCACTGATATATCTTTTCTGTAAGTTTATGTTATCGTAAGGCACTTACATATTGTGTTTGCCATGTTGCAGTCATATTAAAGGGGGTGTTAATGCCAAGGAGCTCTTCTATTCATATATCACAAGCTGGATTGAAGAGAAAAGACGCGTTCTATATGAACTCTGCAAACTAGAGACGGTACTGATCGTTTACCGTGGAAGCCTGTAAAAACGTGTTAAAGCCCTTCTTCCATCGCAATTGAATCACATTTTGTTTGTTTTCAGGTAAAAGCATGTGGCGAGATTTCAGGATTAACTTCTCCTTTTGTTGATGAGATGTATGAGAGACTCAATGGGACGCTTGATGAATATGATATTATCATTAGACGTTGGCCAGAATATGCAATATCCTTGGAGAAAGTAAGTGAAACAACAAAAACTTATTTTCATTGTTTCAGAAACAATGGCCTGACATCGCATGAACCAATATTAGAGAGTTGCTTTGAGCTTTCATTATCTTCTCCTTCTTCTTAAGTGTTGGTGTTGTTTCATGGAAAAAAGGTTGTAGCAGATGCGGAGAAGGCAATAGTTGAAGCGATGGAGAAACAATTTGCAGAGATTTTATCTCCACTGAAGGAAAGTAAGATATTTGGGATGAAAATTGTCCAGAAATTCACCAAAGGCACACCTAACCCTTACTCTGTTCCAAAAGAGGTATGTTTATTTACTTATTTGTAGATTGCAAGTTTTCTTGGATGTAAGAGTAGAAGACATAAACGCCATTTTGGTTAAAATCTCAGCTTGGAGTTCTTCTCAACTCCATGAAAAGAGTGCTTGACATTTTACGGCCGAGTATCGAAAACCGGTTCAAATCTTGGAATTCTTATATCCCTGACGGAGAAAACAGAGTCTTGGGAGAGCGGTTAAGTGAGGTTACAGTATTGTTAAGAGCCAAATTCAGAAGTTATACGCAAGCGCTCGTTGAGAAACTCGCCGAGAATGTATGTACTCTACTTGTCTAAAACTTTTGATTTTGTTCGCTCTACCGTTTGTTGATGATTTTTATGATGTTTAACAGACGAGGATACAAAGCCACATGAAGCTAAAGAGCATAATCCACGACTTAAGGGAAACCACAGCAGAGCCCGATGTAAGAAACAGAATGATGGCATTGAAAGATGTGCTTGACAAAACCATCGATCATCTACACGGTGTTTTCTTACCCGATGTGTTTGTAGCGATCTGTAGAGGAATCTGGGATCGATTGGGACAGGTAAGAGACATCACTAACATTACATTGGTTGTTTTTTCTTGTCTTCCGCATTAAGCTTCACTGTTCTTTTCTTCTTCTTCTTCCAGGATGTTCTTCGTCTTTTAGAAGATAGGAAAGATAATGTGACTTGGCACAAAGGCCCGAGAATAGCAGTTTCTGTAAGTTTGTTTTTGAGTGAAGTGAAACAAAATGACTTTGCCTGTTTTTCCATATCTTAATATGTTCGATGATTTTCAGGTATTGGATGAAATCTTTGCGACACAAATGCAGAGTCTGTTAGGGAATGCTCTCAAGTCCGAGCACTTGGAGCCACCGAGATCGATGATGGAACTCAGGTCTATGCTCTGTAAAGACTCTACAGACTACCGAGAAGGAGGCTACAACTACTAGTAGTACCACCAGACATGTGAACCAGTGAAGAATCTGGTTCTTCATGGTTTACTTCATAGTTTTGTTCATTCGTATTGTCAAGTTTTGGGCAATAACTTTGAAAGAAGCAAATGTAGTTAACGAAACACAGTTCACAAATCACAGTTATAGTAGTAAAAAGCTTTAAAAAAGACTCGCATTCTGCTTTTGGCACCTGGCAAAGTTTGAGTTTTGGACTTTGGTCATCACCGTCCGTTAAAGTCAGCTAAGCGGTTAAAACACGCGCGCAGTAACGACTATTAGTTGGGTCCCACATGAGAAAAAATGTTACAAAAGAAACGTCGCCTGAGAGATTCGAACTCTCGCGGGGAAACCCCATGTACTTAGCAGGCACACGCCTTAACCACTCGGCCAAAGCGACTTGTTGCTATATGATTCTTTCTTTCTATATATAAACCAAAATGAAAAATTAAAGATTTCAAAATGATTCCTTTTAACAAGAGACACTGGACCAAAAAAAAAATCGAAAACGACAAAAAACAAGAGCACGTTTATTCCCTCCTTCTTCTTTCCCTTTCTCTCTCTATGCAACAGACCATTTCTGATTTCTTCTTCCTCCCTTTCTCTCTCTCTCTCTCTCTAGCTTTAATCTCTCCAGATGCCCAAATCCTTCACTCGCCGTCGCTTCTTTAATCGCCACCATCTTCTTCTCCGCCGTCTTAGATTCCATATTTTTTACTCCTACTCGCACCACCACCGTCGCCGTTTACACCCGCCTCCTCTGCATTATTAGGCAATGTTGATCAACTTCGTAGGGTTTCTCTCCTCCAGATTGATTCTCGCCGCCGGGTGAAGAAAACATGTTTCATTTTCTATTGGTTGGGTTCATGATGTTGGCTTTCCTTCTGATTCGCCGGCAATGGAGATCTGCCGTGGTGAGGAGAGAGGAGGTTGTTCGTCTAATCGCTTTAGCCACCGAAGAATCTTATGTGGCGGAGGAAGAGGAGGTTCGAGCCACTGTTGATTACGCGTCCTCCGTTTCGGATGTTCATCGCTGCGCTGTGTGTCTCTACCCAACCACTACTCGCTGCGCTCAGTGCAAATCCGTCCGTTACTGGTTCGTTTTTCTCTCAATTGGATCATTGAAGTGAAAGTTTTGGTTTTTATTTGATTCTGTTTCACTAACGAAGAAAAGTTTTGGTTTTTTTTGTAGTTCAAGCAAGTGTCAGATTCGTCATTGGCGACGAGGTCACAAGGATGAATGTCGATCGCCTTCTCTTCCTGAATATGATGGAGAAAAGGACAAGTCTTTTCAATCTCATGGTAATTAACACTGGAACTACTTTCGCATTTTATTATTCTACAAAGATTCGCATTTTGATTGACTTGAAACTCTCTGCAGCAGAAGGTTTTGATGAGAGCAACGAGAGGATGAATAGTGATGGCGTGTCTGTTGATGTTTCCTTCGACATGTCTAGAAGTAGGCCTAGTGTTCAGAAGGTACAAGCGAGATCTGAAGCTGTGGATTTCACGTCTTCTTTAAACAGAAAAGATAATTTCTATGAGACGAGGCCATTGAGTAGGAAGAAATCACTTAACCGCACAGAGAAGGTTGAATCGTCGAGAAAGTATTCCAAAGTCAAGACTGATGTACTTGCTGATGCAGAGCCGCAAAGAATTGGTGATCAAAATTTGCGTAGGTCAGGTGGTGATTCGGCTGAGATGTCAATTCCGGATAAACTTTTGTCAGTTGAGTATGAAGGAGAAATGAAAGGACTTGGACATGGAAAAAGTACTACATCTGAACCTTCTGGTGCTTCTGCTGCAATGTCGTCTTCAACTATTCCCTTACCTTCAAAAGCTAATAGTAAGCCAAAAGTGTCACAAGCTTCAAGTAGTGGACTGAAAACATCTGTGCAGAAAGTTGTTCAGCATTTTAGACCCCCAAAGTCGTCAAAACTATCTCAACCTGAAGGAGAAATGAATCAGGTTACAAGTTCAGAATATATGATCGCAAGTTCACTTTCTTTGTATCATGATTCTATCTATCTACTGTCATTTTCCATATTGATGTTGCTGTTATTTGTGTGCAGATGAGCTTCTCTTATGAGATGTTTGTGAAACTTTATTGTGATAGAGTAGAATTACAACCATTTGGCCTTGTGAACTTGGGCAACAGGTACATATCGGTCTTATCTACAAGAACTTTTCTTGCTTGTAGCATGATGATGATCTAGTGTGCTGTTTAGGATCAAGTTATGGACAGAGCATTTTAATGTAGTTTGTCTTTAAGTATATTTGTGCGTATCACTTACTTATCTTATGTCTTTTCTAGCTGTTATGCAAATGCTGTTCTTCAGTGCTTGGCATTCACTCGGCCGCTGATGTCTTACCTAACTAGGGGCGTACATTCTAAAGCGTGTAAGTTTTCAGGCCAAAATCACTTTTACTGCTCTCATTGTGTAACCTTTGTGGAATCTTATTCCAAAGGTAGTTGGGTTTGGCAGGTCGAAAGAAGAGTTGGTGTTTTGTTTGTGAGTTCGAATTCTTGATTTTGAAGTCAAGGGTAGGAGAATCTCCTCTCTCACCTATCAAGATCTTGTCAAGATTACAGAAGATTGGGAAGCATCTTGGCCCTGGAAAGGAAGAGGACGCCCACGAATTCTTAAGGTGAATCATATGGGTTTATGCTGTTTGTAGCTTGTATCGTTTGTCTTTAACTCAATATTCTCGCAAAGGTGAATGACATTGTTCTTTCATAAGAATGTCAGGTGTGCTGTTGATACAATGCAATCTGTATTTCTCAAAGAAGCTGATGCAACTGGCCCGTTTGCTGAAGAAACTACTTTAGTAGGCCTTACTTTTGGTGGTTATCTTCACTCCAAGGTTTAGTACCAGCTAGAGATTTGTTTGTTGCTTTATGGAAGTCAGAGTAATCCCAATTATTGAGAATCTATGGTGGATGATGATATACAGATTAAATGCATGAAATGCCTCCACAAGTCTGAGCGATCAGAGGTGATGATGGACCTAACTGTTGAGATTGGTGGGGATATAGGAAGCCTGGAAGACGCACTTGCTCAATTTACAGCCTATGAAGTCCTAGATGGAGAGAATCTGTACTTCTGTGGCAGGTACTTGAATGTTGTCCTTTGTAAACCAAATACAAATACTACTTTAAAAACAAGTAATTTCAAGCTTTACATTTCTTCCTTTTTACAACCACGTACAGATGTAAATCTTACCAGAAAGCCAGAAAGAAATTGATGATACTAGAAGGACCCAATATTCTTACTGTTGTGTTGAAACGTTTTCAGGTGATAGTCTTCTTCATTCACTTTCATGTTTGATAGTGTCTACTGTTGTTTGTTGTTGGGTTTATTCTCATGGTTTTGTTCTTCATGCAGTCTGATAACTTTGGGAAGCTGAGTAAACCCATCCGTTTTCCCGAGCTTCTCGATATAAGCCCGTATATGAGCAACCCTGGGGATCATCATCCTGTGTATAGTCTCTACGCAGTGGTGGTCCATTTAGATGCTATGAGCACTTCATTTTCAGGACATTATGTTTGCTACATAAAGACCCTTCATGGAGATTGGTTCAAGATTGATGACAGCAGTGTAGGTCTCCAATAACATTGTTATACCAATCAACGCTATTTTCTTTCCTTTTCTTGATTCTTGAGTTTTGATTTCGGATTTGCAGGTGTTCCCGGTTCAATTAGAGACTGTGTTATTAGAGGGAGCATACATGCTTCTGTATGCAAGAGATTCTCCGAGAGCGGTGAGCAAGAACGGTGGTGGTCGGAAATCAAAGGAAAGAAGGAGTTTGGCTGCGATTCCGTCAAGGCACGACGACAAGAAGAAGAAACAGAGAGACAGCAGTAGAAGTAGTAGTTTGTTGCCACGTGTGGATTCGTCGAGTGGAAGTTTATCGTCAATGTTTAGCTCCTCGGAGACGACAAGCTCATGCAGCACAAAAGACTCTTCAGGCATTGAGAACTTTTCTGATTACTTGTTTGGTGGTGTTGAACCGGTTTGGAACCGGGATCCTCATGATTCATCTGCTCAAACGTTTATTTGAGTTTGAATGTCCATTTTTTGATTTTGTAAATGTACATTTTTGAGATAAAGCTTAAACCATCTTCGATTTTCTCTAACTTGGAAGGTAAATAAATATATCTGAATCGTAGTTAAAAAAAAAAGTGAATGTTTGTTTGCATATTGCATCTATCTATTACAAACAATACCAACATTTGTATAGCGGCAAGATACAGAGTACACACAATTACCGAGAAACCCAAAGCATAAAGCCTCACAATAAAAAAGAATACTTACACAAAACAGAGCCCTTTCTCTTTCTTTCATGTAGATTTGGTATCTTTTAAGACTCCTCCTTTCTCAAGCTCTCCAACGAGGTCCCTAAGAGAGGGAACTTTCATGGCTAGAGTCCTGTAGAGTCTAGAGTATCGAGCCCGTGTGCCATCAGCTGTTCTTGCTAAGGCCAGTGAGCTTAGAGCTTCGGGCAGTTGACCAAACACTTGTTTCATTTCCTCTAAGCTCATGCTTTCTAGAACCGGAGGTCTTGGCACAACTCTCACTATCTCGCCTCCTTTAGGTTCTTGAATTCGGGCATCCGCTTTGATCACGAGCTCCGAGTTGGAGTTAGCTCCGCATTTTATGATGAATGGAGCTGAAGTGCCTCCCGTGTTGAATTGCAGAACATTCCATTGAGACACATCGGTTTCGGCTGAGGATGTTGAATCTATTGAGGATCTCTTTTCGTCTTGAAGACTGTCCTCTTGTTCTGGGATTGTCTGCAGTCCAATAGATCAAACCGGCAAGTAACAAGTTAGATATTGAATCGAATCTCTCGAGATTTTTTGGATCATCAGTTTTTTATTCACATCACTTACCTCGACCAACTGGTGAGCCGTAGCAATTTCTCTCTGTGCGCATGGATGATCAACATCAAGAAGAGAAGGCATTCTTTCGTTAAGTTCTTCCAGAGCCTCAAGTAATGCCTTCTTCTTGCTTTTACTCAAAACGTGGACAGAGGCTTGTCTTGTTATTTCCTGCAAGAAGCAAACCGTTTTTCTTCTCATAGTTAATCCATGACCAAGATCAAGAAAGACTAGTGATGGTTTCATATGATAAGAGTTGTAATGAATACCTTGACTTGCTTCAGTATGGCATCTAGAGAAATGAGAGAAGCTAATCTTGAGTCTTCGGCTGCTGTAGAAGGATTTTGAACTGGAGAACTGCCTTCTTCCAAACTAAACAACGCTGCATCACTTCTCATTTGTTGCAAAATCTGATTTAGAAAGAAAATGGAAATTCAGGCACGAGAAAAAATCTTAAGAGATAATGAGATGACAGCGTAAGTTTCTTGCTCTGGGAGTTACCTTTCTTCTTTTATGGTCAACAGATTCCAGAGCTGATCGAAGCTTTGCTACTTGACCAGCATCTTCTGCCTCTTCCGAAGCCAAAGTACCAGCAATATCCTAATAAATCATCATTAATATTAGACGTCACATGGCAAACAAGTTCTTCAGCAAACAAGACCTGGATCTCAATATAAGCCCCTTCTTTATCAGGTTTCTTATTTCAAATTAGTTACTGCTGCAATCATTCTGGCATTTGCACTCAAAGAAGAAACTATATCATTTTGACATTGGACATGGCATATATAGTTATATACCTTCAGATGCTGCATCTGAGAAGTGTAGACTCGTTTTGCATACTCAGATAATAGCTGTCCCAAAGCGTCAGTGTGAGGTGGCACCGCAGCTCCTACCCCAGCCATCCAGCCATCCATAATTGCTGTGGAAAGAAGTTCTAATTGGCCAGTGGTTCCTCCCGAGACATCATCTGCTGTAACAGAAAGAAACTCAAAGCTTTCTGCAAGCCATGACCGAATCTGTCTTTGCAGTTCACCAGCCGGAGTGTGAACAAATAAAGCAGCTAAGGGCTTGTTTCCAATGGCGAAACTTTTGGCTTCATCTTGTATCTCCCTCAGCTTTCCTCCAGTCACTTGCTGCCTCCCAGTATCCTAAGACAATTTACAAACAAGAGAAGCATGTATATTTGTATCTTGGATTCTCGTTTATTCGGTTAAAAATCAAGCATCTCTGCGAGGAATAGGTATCTTCTTACCTGTTCATGTCCACGTATTCTTGAAACTACGGATACCAACTTACTTTTCTTTTCTGGTTTTAGATTTACTTTAAAGCCATGAATGTGCTCTTCATAATATCGAACTGGCGATCTACCTGGGCTGCTACTCCCGCTGGAGCTTCTAGTTCGACCAGAATAAGGCTTCTCCAAAAAGCGTTCAACAGGAGAAACCTAAAAGAAGTGGGTGGCGTGGGATTAGTCTTGCCGGAAGAAGGGACTTAGTCACGCACACAAGAGACAATTAAGGTTATGCTCACCTTGATCGACTGAAGCTCAGGTGATCGTGCAAGTAAGGACCTTATATACAATATCCTGACTCGAGAAACCAGCATTGTATCCATTACTCTTCTTGGCTCAATTTTCCGGATAAATGAAAAGACAGCATCTCTAATCTCAGCAAGGATTTCATGCTCTCTGGAAGCACCAGCCTTTATAACAGCTGCCAAAACCTGCAAGTCAACAATGGCATCAATAAAGTTCTTAGCATATAAACCTGCAAATTAGTTGGAGACCTATTATCCTAAACAGCGAATTTATTGTAGTATTTTATCTTCGAATTGTGGTAGTATGAATTCAGTTCTTTACATCCCTGAAAAATCTAAAAGGTACTCAAAATCAAACTATTATCAACATTGACAGTACCAGCATCAGAAGCTTGTTTGCGCCATCAGCAATGGCTGCAAGACCTTCATACTGATCGGGATCGAAATCATTCAATGCAGCTGTCAAGTATTCTCCAGCTGGAGTGGTTTTAACGATTTCAGAGCTAGATTTTACTACGGTAATTGCGCCCTCATTCTTATCCGCCGAAGATGGTAAAGCACCCACAATATTTTTCCTGAAAAAGAATTATTACAGATCATGTGACCAGGAGGATGGTAAACACATAGAGAAGACATAATTTTCTTCCACAGTGATCATATAAGTACCTGTCAACATCTGCAGGCTGAATTGTTGGTGAAGCTTTTGATGATGGGCTAGATACCTATATACAACAATCGATTAGAAAGCTTAATAGAATGATTTCTCTACCAACAGCTGCAAATAGAAAAGCGTCCATAATATGATACTGAATCATTCTCAGTGTAGGATAGCAGAAAGAATCACCTGAGTTGAACCAGCATTTGACTTTTCTGTTAATCTGTCAAACAATTTTTCATTTTCTTCATGCAACCTCTGCAGAAAGCAATAACTCTCTTCAGACAAATGTTCAAGTCCAAGTATTATTTGGTAATTTGAAAAATGGAAGAGTAGCTAATATAAATGTGCTCAACAGGAAGACAAAGCCGAACCTCAATCAATGCATCGCGTTTCTTCAGCTCTTCCTCAAGTTTCTTGGTAACTGCAGAAGAATCGACTGAGTTTCCAGCTGCTCTGGGCTGAGATTCCAAGGGATCTCTCGATCTTGTCATGTCAGACTTAAGGGCTTCACTCAGTTGTGATTCTAAGTCTTTTACTTGAGACTGAAATTTATTAAAAAGAAAAGGTGAATGTCATGGCTATCTATTCAGAGAAGGCTACCAGAAAGCAATCTCACCATCTATTTATTTAAATAGATGCTTCAGATAAAAGGTAAGGAGAAGTTCAGAATGTAGATACTAAAATGAAGTACCAACCTGCAGATTTTGAATGGTGGAATCTTGTTGTTGCGCCTGCAGCTTTTGTTCCTGTTCTAGCTGTAAAAGTTGAGTTATTTGATTTCTTAATTGAGAATTCTGCTCCTTTTCTATTTGATGTTTGTCTGCAACCATAGAATTCTCTGACTGCGCGGAAAAAAAGAGAGTAAATCATAAGCAGAAAGGAATAAGTAATATATGCAGACATTATCCCAGTCAGCAATGAAGAACCTTCAAATCTGATTGCAGTGTGAATGAAACTCTCCACGCTCTCTGTACTTCATTGTAGAGCAATACACATTGATCATTTGCTTCTTTAAGTGCTTGTTTTAAACCCGTAACCTCTTGCTTTAGACGCTGTGTCTCCCTCTCTTTCTCCAATACCTCCTTCCGAGCGTCATTTGCCTGCAGAAAAATAGGATATTTATACTGCATATATTCAAATTACGTGTACATATATAACAGAATAGCAAGTTAAGCTAAAGAGTTACAAAGTACATCCAAATCTGTTCTCCGGAGAAATAAACTAAACTTCAAAAGAGAAAGAGTTCACACCAAGAGAAGAATTAAGGCAAATCCCGAACTGAAGTGCTAAATGTCTGCCAAGTAAATCCTTTCACCCTCTGCTTTACTTTCAGCTATAGAAAATTAATATTTGTTCTTCATCCATAAGGTATTACTTGAGTTTGTATAATAATTTAAAATCTTGTTTGACTAACTGAGTTAAAAGCTATGAATCAATACACTACTTTCCTTTTCCAATTCTGTCTGTTACATATATATATGGAATTCTCTAGTTCTACTTACCACGTCTCTCCATTTCTTAATTGTGTCTCGATTCCCAAGGCTTGGTACAGTATTCCGAGCTCTAGCGGCATAGTTGAGACATGACATTATCTCAGACAAGTTCCGTGCACTTGGAGAAATGTTGACGATCATCAATGTTTTCGAGCTCCCTCCTGCACATTACAGGAAATTATTCTCATTTGAAGAAACTTCAAGCACTAGGGAGAAATCCGCAACACAAAGAGAATACATTTAGAGGTAAACGTAGAGGCACATGTCCAGGAAAGCAGAAGCATTTACCTAGTGAATCTGCAAGTATTCTTGTAAGAAATGAGTTCTCGTAAGGAATAGTATCTTTTTTCGACGTCAAAGACGATAAAACGTCTCCCAGCCTACAGAACACGACAGATATGTAGTAAGTAAAGGGAAAAAAAATCACGGATTCAAGCTTAAGCCTTCACATTGAAAAGCGGGAACGCGGAAAGGACACTTAAACTTACGCTGA